CCCCCCAAACCCTCAAAAAAGGAAATCTATATCTATTCCTAACTTATAAATGGGAGTGATGTCAATTTATAAATTTTATAATTTATAAAAAAGAAATCTAAATCGATTCCTAAATTTCAAAGGCAGTACCAATTAGATAATGTTTTTCGTTTTTGTTGGGATGGTTTTTAAATGTTCGCATTTTCTTCATTTATTTTCGAATAGTGAATAGTTATTCGGACGTGAATTTATATTCGAATTCGAACTAGGCATCTCATGAATCACCGATGCTATCCGCTCTACGACTGATCGTTTTTAGAAAAAGTGATCTTTTTTATAATGCTAGACATAATAAAACATTGCACGATTGCATTCCCTCCGATCTATTTTCAGTTGATACTAAAACGTTTTGCATTACAAATCAAAACTAATTTCTCCTGATTGTGCAATGAAATTTAAGTTGCATAGCAGATGTTGAAAGGTTCAAAATTAAACAGTAACAATTTCTATGCTGAACAATTTCCCAAGCAGACAAGAATTTAGAAAACTACTTTTAAATATACAAAAAAAGGGCAAAAATCTAGGAGAAGTGGGTGTATTTGTATGACAATCGTGGATTCTAACTGAGAGCTGAGAACGGTCATTTTTCCAAACCGTGCGAATCATAATTTGTGATTCTTTATTTCTTTTTAATAAGCAAATGAAACATCATTGAAAAAAGAGCTTTTTAAGCTGAATGCATTGTTGTATCGTTATTCTATGAAAAAACGTTATGTATCACCAAATATAACTTTTTGGGAAAATGTTACGGCTCAGCAGAACCGTCCGAACAGGCCTGGCTACGCCACTAGGTACAACTGTTCTATTCATTTCTTCTTCTGGCCAGCGACCACCTTGACTATAATTCGGACTTCGTTTTACTTCTGATAAAAACCAATGAGGTACAATCATAATTTTATCTCCATATTTAATACTACGATAAACTGCAGCCCATCTATTTAAAGCTGCTGGATGATTCTGAGGTGGAAACACGGTATATTCATTTAAACGAACGGTACTTGGAACTAGATACCATCCTTGTCGTTGGGCTCGTTGCCAAGCATAACCAAATTCGTATGTGTCCACGTCAAACTGTTGCTGTTTAATCGACATGCTTCTGTTGATATGCAACTAGTTTCGAAAGAAAATCTTTTGATATAGGTAGACGCTTAGGAGGATATGCGTGAATGAATATAAAGAGCAAAAAAAGCCTTAATAAATACATGTGATCGATTGTGCTGATGAATAATTTTTTATGACGATTCATTACCCAATCGTTAGTAATATCACAGTTTATTTACATCCCTATTCTCAACTTTATGCAGTAGTGATTGGCGTGCGCGACAATTACAATCAATGTATGCAATGCACCTTCGTAAACATCGATCATCGCTTTTCCCCAACTTGCCAACTAACACATAGCTAGTAGTCAGATGAAGCATCACTGTAGCAGCACGTTTTAATAACCGTGATGAGTAATTTCGACGCTACTCCAAAGTGTGTGGGTGTGAATGTGTATTGCACCCACACAGTGGCGTAGCCAGGGGGGGCGGCCATTGGGCAATTGTCCAATAGATTTTTTAGGCAATAGCAATGGCCCAACACCGAAAAATATTGATATACATGCATGTACGTTTAAAAACGTAGATGATGTTATTTTATAACGCTGATTGCCTGTGAAATATATTCAAATGATCGAGAAAAGTCAATTGACGATATTTTCCACCGAAGCAATAATCAAAATAATGACAATTCTATCATATTTTAACCTGAAACAAACTTATGCCCTCACTTAAAGTTGGTGATAAAGATATCAGTGTATATTTATGAATCTTGCGAGAGAACAGAATTCTTTTGAACGCAAACGACAGACGTAGCTTAAACCGAATACTTGAACGGTATAAGTGTGGACAATACTTTCGAAATTTGATTAATAAAAATTCCAATTCGCAAAAGAAGATGTTAATGAGTGCCGTTTGAAAATTTCACTTAGGAATTAGTAGTAACAGTAATGGAATCCCATGTAAAACAATTAAGGGTATAGTCAAATTAAAATCGATTACAAAATGATTAAAAATTGATTAAAATCATGCACCTTTTAGTCAATTTTTAATCAAAAATAATCGAAAAAATCAAAATTTCATTGATTATTTTGATCAATTTCGATTAAAATTCATGAAAAAAACCCGGTTTCAATTGATTTCTGTCCGTTATGCGTAAAAAAATCTTCAATTAATTTTCATCAATTTTAATCGAAATAGGTCAAAATAATCAATGAAATTTTGATTTTTTCGATTATTTTTGATTAAAAATTGACTAAAAGATGCATAATTTTAATCGTTTTGTAATCGATTTTAATCTGATTATACCCTTAATTTTTTTACATGGGATGATAATATATAGTTCAGAGAATGCACAGATAACTAAAAATATTAGCCGTTAAAAATCTTACAAGGTTGAAAGGACTCGCTAGGAATATAATATAGAGCAGCAGTCATCATTATGTGCTGGGAGATGATAAAGTGAGTTGATGTTCTTTTTGTTCTATTTATGATTAATCATGATTTTTACTGTAGAAATAAATAGATAGTTATTTAGAAATAAAGAATTAATTTTATGAAAAAGAGAACATGAGCAAACACGGTCATTTCTAATAGGGTAATGACAAATTTCCTTGAAACAACATAGATTTGGAGTCGAGGTAGCAATAAACTTTTGGCAACTTCCAATTGCGGTCCAATCGATTTTCAATTGCCCAATACAGCCCATGTCTCAAAATAATTTAGCTGGGAAGCGGCCCAACGCTCAAAAAATCCTAGCTACGCCACTGCACCCACACCATCAAGAGCTACTTAACAAGATTCTTTTGAATTTTATTCATCTGAATCTAATGAACTGATATCTTGCGTCATTTGATAAGATTCTAGTAAAATTGTCATGCCATTTATTGTGGTAGCTTTGACGCAGTCCACATCTACACCCTCCAGTAGATACGATTGTTCGTTTCTCTTCACTACGAAATATGTAAGTGTAGATCAAAATTGCAATAACGAACTATGCGACAGAATCTATTGTACAACGTTAACAAAGTATTCGTAACTAGGTCAATATAGGAAATATTGAATAAGGTGTTAAAAGCGACTAATAAATTCACAGAACATCTTTTTGCATACAAATGAATGAACTGAGTCATAACGCCAGATACCATTTGAAAGAATCTTATATTGACGACTTGGCAAATGTGTCGAAATGCTTATGTTCTGTAAGTAAACCCTAGATATGATGCAGCATAGTTTTCAAATTATCCAATCAACAGTTCGTCACTCGTATCAATCTTATCGTAATCAAGATGATTATCTTCACTTTTGTTGATTTCGCAAAGCTCATTTGTTTTTCGAAATCATCCATGTATTGTAACCTAAACTATTCAAAGATTATTATAAAAGACTGAAATGCATTTTTTAATTAAGCAACCGAATAAGTGAATTTCACGAAGAAAAGAGAGATAAATTGAAAGGTAAACGTTTATTAAATTTTATTTTTAACAGTAACGAAAATTTCCGTAACTACACAATGCATAAGGAGTGATTGCCAAAGATGACAGAGTTTACTTTTGCAGAAAAAATGCAAAGTAAATTCTGTATCGGCTATTTTAGATTTCGTTACAAAAGATGTCGCATTTAATAGGCGAAGCATTCTCGCGCATTGCCAACGAATCACAAGTATGTGCTTTCGATCTTGATCAAACAGCACATGAATATGTATCATACATAAGCTTATGCTTATCATGTATCATCCGTTGGTTTTTCACTTTTATTTTATATTATTCAATTTCCAACAATTTTCTCGATCGTAGTCGGAAGAATTTTATTTAATGGCTACTATATAACAACGTAGAAAAAGTATAATCAAGTCTAGTAATCGAAAATTTTCATTTTATTAAATATAAATGACTGTCGTTGTAGAAATTAATTTGGGTGCATCATATTATGTAAGGTATTCGTGGTTCATTAAATTTTATGCATTAAATGCTTATTTCTGTTTTTTTAGTGTTGGCGCGTTTCAACATGGTAAAGTTGAAATCATTGCAAATGATCAAGGTAATAGAATAACACCATCATATGTATGTTGCATTTACGGATAGTGAACGTTTGATTGGTGATTCGGCTAAAAACCAAGTAGCTATCAATCTGGATAATACAGTTTTTGCTGCTAAACGACTTATTGCTCGTAAATTTGATGATTCTACTGTACAGTCTGATGTGAAACATTAGCCATTTAAAGTAATTAATCGAAATGGTAAACGAATAATTCGAATTCAATATTAAAATGAAAGAAACTGCTGCACCGTATCTTGGAAAGCAAGTTTCTCAAGCTACTATGATAGTTCCAGCTTATTTCGATGATGCACAAAGACAGAACAATTGCTTATGGCCTAAATAAAAAAAACATTCGGTCAAAAATCTTTTCTCATATTTTGATTTTGGTGATGGCACATTTGATGTACCTATAATCAATATTGAGGATGGTATTTTCTATGGGAACATTCATTACACGTAATACCAGTATTCCAACATCAGCAACACGATTTTTTGTACAACATATGCATAGCAGCAATCTAGTTTCGACATTTAAACCTTTGAAGGTGAACGTATAAAGACAAAAGATAATTATTTACTAGGAAACTTTCCATTGACTAATATTCCATCTGCTTTGCGAGGTGTACCACCAATTGACCTAAGGTTTGATGTTGATGCTAATGGAATATTAAATGTATCTGCTCTGGAAAAATCAATTATCGAAGAAAGAACTTGAACAAATTATGAGAAGAACTCAAAGACATAGAGGAGACGATGAAATAGATCGTTCATGTCTAGCAGGAAAAAAATACACTGAAATCGTATTGTTTTAGTATAAAATTAACTATTAATGATGATAAAAATTGCATGGGAAATTTTTTAGATGATGATCAAACAAAAGCAGAAGAAATGATTGAATCAAATCAGTGTAAAATGAACAAAATGGAAGACGTTTGCTCGTCAATCATTACTAAACTTTACATTGATTAGCAATGAAGACGGGAATTTTTCTTTATTTAGAAAATGCTACATCTTCAATTATTGAAAAATTCGATTAAACTTCACAAAGAAAAAAATATATTCTTTAGTTTATCGTATTCCGATGGTATTTGTTTTTCTAATTTTAAACAAATGATTTTTTTTTATCACAAATAAAATATTCTCTGAGTTATTATTGATTTTTGTTTTATTATTGAGAAAAAAACCAAGAAATTTTTTGCCACGATGAATCCGAATACCTAAAACAATCATGATGAATGAAAAGTTTGTCTCTTTGACGGTTTTCTCCTCCTAATGGTTCAAACAATGCTTATAGTCAAGAGAAAGGTGTGTGGCTCTATAAGAATAATGTAGACAATTGTTTTCCGCAAAATACGCTCGAGTAGAAAAGTCAGTTACTTAGAATGTTTGAAGATTTCTAAAATTCTATTAACAGACATCATCACTTTACATAGCTTTTTTTATCTAGTAATCTTAGTACTTTTATAAGTAATTTCTTACTTTTTAGACACACTTGTATAACCTTTGTTAAATGAAAGTAACGTAGACTTCATTGATTTGCTCAAATAAAATCAATGTTTTTCTCTGAAATCAGCATAGACTAAAAATAAATACGCATTACTTCAATCAAAACCTCGCTTTGAGTATTTTTGACTATTTGACATTAATTCAGTTGATTGTACTATGATACACAAATAGAAATCGCTCGGTATCTACTTTTCTGATGTATTACTGGCATGCCGGAGCAATAAAAAACATAAACATTTGATGGCATTGGATGTAAAAAAGAGTAGTTTCCAAAACAATAAAAAGAAATTCCATTTTTTCAACCAAAACAAACTGAAAGTCTTTTCTCCTTTTTGTAGTTGCCACTCAATATATATTTATGAATGAAATAACAATAAATTTCAAACAATTGTTTGCATTATTCGATTTGTATATGACTATGGAAGATTTATTTTTATTATTTTGAAAAAAAATTTCATTTGTAAATTTTTTCTTCAAGCAATACCTTGATATCACTAGGTAACCTTCTGCTTGAATTAATACTATCTTCATCCGACTCATAGTTTAGATTAAAAAAGAAACCCTTAGGCCTTATTTCTGGAGTTTTGCATCGATCTAGTTTTCTTTTTACTATCAGATGTATGTGGAGTGAATGGCTCTCTCTCCTTCCTAAATATTTAAAGTAAATTTTTTTCGTACTTGATACCCTGATTGGCTAAAGAAGACTTTTTACTATTCAGACACAATTGAACTATAAATATGCGCATAAGCATTCTTATATCAAGAATATTATTGTCAAATGAAAATAGAGACAAGTCTGAAGGAAAATAATTTTTGTTTTTGAGGATCGTTCAGATCTTGGTGGTTTTCCTTCAATATTCGAATATTGAATTATAGTTCATATATGTATGCCAACATAATTGATTTTTACATGTCATGATAGAAGTACATCAAAAGATCTGAAAATTTCTTAAGAAACTATTCCTGCTAATATCTGTATCCATGCAGATTTTCACTTCGAAATTCCAAGATGAGTTTTTCGGAAAGAGCATCGTCTCAATTTTTTGAAAAGCAACAAAATCAAAACACGCACATTGATAAAAGTATTCATAGTTCATTTTATCTCCTGTAGTCTTAGTTCAAAAGCGATTCATCACTTCAAGGGTTCTTTCTCTCACTCGAGAGAATTTTCTTATCCTTACCTCACCTCACCTTATAGTATTCCTACGCTTACACACTTTGTTAATTGTATTAGAACCAATAATTTATCTTTCCAATTACTATTTATGTTTATTACTCTTTTCTTTACATAGAAATATATATAAGAGCAATATATGTTTGCCAACCGTAGTTATTGCATCATAAAATCATTCATCCGTCGTCAACATTTTTATATTGATAATTTCGATCTATCCGCGACCGGAATACCTCGACATGAATTTCATCAGCGACGACAATCACTTGTTAATCTTATTCGAAATTATATAAAAACTGAGCAAAAACAATCATGTAAAGATTTCACAATTTGCCTTCCATCATCGTCACGCTTATTTATGGGTCCTGATGTTGCCTATTTTCCATTTAAACAACAATCAGATTTTTATTATTTGACCGGCTGTATGCAACCAGATGCTGTTCTATTGCTCAATGGTAATGAGGAAACATTTTCTACAAATCTGTTTTTATCACGCAACACAACACATTCAATCGAGGAATATGAACGATGGTTTGGGCCAACGATAAGTGATAGAGAAAAAATTTGTGAAATATTTGGCATCGATGAAGTCTATCCAATTGATCAATTGCTCACATTCAGATTTCCACCATCATCTACTTTGTTTTATAATGCACAATTTATTAATGATAAAACTATTAATAAACAGAATTTAGTACCTTTTTTAAAACGATTTTCATCATCGATTGTTTGCAGTCAATTAACTAGTTTTCTTCATACATTACGATCAATAAAATCTTTGACTGAACAAAATCTTATTCGTCAAGCATGCGAATTAGTATCGAAAGCGTTTGTTAATACAATGAAAAATTGTAAAAAAGATACTCAAAATGAATATTTCATTAAAGCTCGATTTCAATATGAATGTGAAATACTTGATGATGTTTCAATGGCTTTCTATCCTGTTGTTGCAGCAAGTGGAAGGTAACTATGAAATATTAGTGTTATTCTAAATCGATTATTTATCTAGATCGAATGTTATTCATTATCAAAAAAATAATCAAAACATAAATAAAGATGATCTAATTATGTTAGATGGCGGTTGTCTATTTAAACAATATGCTAGTGATGTCACACGTCTATGGCCTATCAATGGTAAAATAAAATTCAATGAATAATCTGAAGATTTTTTTATCGAAGGTCGATTTTCGTCTGTGCAACGACAACTTTATGAAATATTGTTAGCTGTACAAAAACATTTAATCAACTATTTAAATTTGGGTGACAATTTAGTAACACGAGAAAAATTAAATTCATTAGCTGATCATTATATGACAAAATATTTACGTGAAGAATCTATTTTTCCGCGAGCAATCGATGATTATCATGCTAAAAATTTAATTCATGTTCTATGTCCAACCGGTGTTAGTCATCATCTCGGTACATAGGGAATTGTATTTTTCAATTAAATCCTATCGTTTACTTTAAGGCCTTGATGTTCACGATTGTGATTTATATTCGTCTTCTGAAAAACTTCAACCCGGAAATATTATTACCATAGAACCTGGTAAGAAATTCAAAAACAAAATTTTTCTTTTTAAATTGACTGTTTGGATGATGCTGGTTAAAAAGAGAAGACAGCTTTTAAGGGGAGTGACAGAAAATAGTATGGCCTCCTACTTCGCATTCTGTAATTCCATACTCTATGGTAACCGGAAATCGCTTATAGAGAACATGTGAAACTCTCGATATGACCATAGAGTCCCTTCTCTGCTAGCCCATCAATAGAAAACTTTCTTTGACATTTATTTACTTTTCATGCATCGCACTGTGAAAAATATGTTGATACTTAGTTTATTTTGTTTTCTTATCTATTTATTTAGGTCTCTATATTCCTTTCAACTGTAAAGATGTTCCACCAATGTATCGTGGCTTTGCATCACGAATAGAAGATGATGTTTTGTTAACAAAGCAAGGTTTTGAAGTATTGTCCAGTATGTGCCCAAAAGAAATCGATGATTTACATCGAATTCTTGATGATAGGGACAAATCCAATATGCACTGAATTTGTTTTCTTTGCTTCTCTATTTTTTTCCTATTAATCAAATTTGAATGCAGCATAAATCAAAATTATGTTTATTTATTAGTAAAAAATAAAGCTTTCACACATTGAAGATTAATAAAAAGATGGAAAACCAAAGAAGCTTTTCTAGAAATATAAGTGTCGCATTCGATTTTCACTCGACATCTTTTTACTTCTATATGATCGTTTGACTATAGAAGTGTAGTCCATCAATAAAAATATATAGCTATTGTTTTCACTGATGACTTTTCCTAAAACGCCGATTTGACTCCAATAAATATTTCAGTCAGTAATTGCAATTAAACGTTGATGAGTTCGAATCGCTGTTTATCATCATTAGTCGCATTGCTCTTACCCAATAGTATTTATGATGTTGCTAGTGTTTTTTTTTAAAATTATCAACAATTCATAATGCTAAGAGCTACAAAATGTTTAAAATTCTTAAAATATATTCTACCGTGAATAAATGAAACAAAATTGGCTTCATCAAACGATACAATCTTTGACAAAAGCAGATACCCCACTCCGAATGTAATGCTGCTATTCTCTACGATATTGAGCTGATATTTTTGATAACTATTTACGATAATAAATTCTTCATTTATCTCATCATCTTTCCTCAGAAATCGTTTTAAAATAACTGACATATCATCTGCTCACTAAGAATATCTGTTCAATAACAAACAATAATTTTTCATCAAAAATCAACTTTGATCTCAGTAAATTTTTCAAATAGCGAAAAAGCATATATTTGAATTATAATTTCCTAGTATATGAATCAGTAGGGATGGATTTATGCTTGCGAATAGATTATATTATTGCACGCATGTATGCAAAATACTAGCTCCATATCATAGTGAGAAGAGTACCATAACATTAGGAAGGGTAGCTACTTTTTTTCTAGGGCTGCAATTACACATACAAAAATCGAACAAAACATTTAACAGAAAAGCAATAATACATCTCATTTTGATATTGTCTTCTTACAAACCGTTATCAAATGGAATGTATGTTTACGATTTGCTATTTGTTGTTGGTCCTTTCGTCTTTTTTTGTGTTGATATCGGAGAAATATATTTAATTTCACGAAATTGCATCTAAACAATAGAACGAAAAATAAAATATTTCTCTTTGCTACGAAGAATTACTCACAAGTTCTACATCAGACGGTAATCTTGATATAAAATCAGCTACTTCATTATTATCAATGAAATCTTTAGGTTTACGAAATCGTTTAGTAAATTTGTTAATAACAAATGCAAGAATCAAATATCGAAGTGGAATATAATAGAGTATGACAGCAACGATTGCAAGTACAATAGTAAGAAGAATGGATAACCATGGAACAGTAAAATTAAATACACTAAACAAGATAAAAAGAATATTTAGTTTTTCTTCTAAAATATATTCACTTTTCTATTACTTTTTAACTCTTTCAAATGTTGAAGCAACAGCATCAAGATAACCTTGTATTTCAAGAATTGTGTCTTGAATAGTCGATATGAAACTGAGAAATGATTTTTTCTGTTCCTAAAACACAAACACAAAAGAATAGAAAAAAATGATTTGAAAAATTTACTGTTAATTTACTTTCGGATTTCCCTCGCTATCTAGCATTTCTTCATCAACAGGTGCTGGTTGTACCATAGCTGCTATTGTTTCATCATTTAAACCAGTATAAGCTTTTCCAAGACGACCTTGACGATATTCTATAACGATATTTCGTGCTAATAATATCACAAATATACATGGTAACATGTACAGTTCAAAATTCCAAACAATAATAAGTGATACCTATAATATGAATCATTAGAAATAATATTTTCGTGAATTTAGTCTTACCATAAATGCAGAAAAACTTAACCATGGATTTTCCCAATGAAAACAATAATCAATAAATTTAAGGACATTTAAAATACTTGTAACTATATTTTCAACTCGTGTTACATGTTGTTTTACAGCCTTAAAAATATATAAACATGAAGAAAAAGTTACAGTGCCAATATCTTACAAAGGAATTCGAAAATATGATATCGATCCAGCAGTAGTGTCAAGCTTGAAACTTGAATTCAGTTGAAAATAGAAAATTTCAACTTTCAACTTATGGCGATATATGTGTGAGTCACTATTTTTCAGAATTTAATATCTCATTTATTACAATGAGAGATCTATAAAGACTCCTGGCGCTGTAATGACTCTTTCAGTTGCTGATTTGAAATGTTTTTAACGAGTACTTTGCTGAAAACTTTGCGAAGTGGCAGTCATAGAATGACCCTAGACTCAAATCACCTATTTAATAGTATACCGGGTTAAACTATGCTATAGGTTTATTCGTACGATTAATTAATGAGTCTATAACGCAAAACCAGAGAGCCTTTGGTAGATTGACATTTTATCTAAACTTTTTACTCGTATCATTTGACTTGTATACTTCAAGACTCTGGTGAAGATCATGTTCTACGAAAGAACAAACTTGATTTTAATAAAAATACATACTGCAACACTGAATTTTTCTTCGGCTTTATAATATGATGTTTGTCTTGGATTGAATGTTCGAATCACTGCCTTGAGCTAAAATCAAAATGAACAATAATTGAAAGACTTCCTTCATTTCCAAAGAAAAATACTCACATTTGTATAAACTAGTGTTGCCTCTATTTCAATAGCACCTTTCATAGGTAATAAACATTTTTCATCTTTTAATCCCATCCATTTCTTTTGTCCATTATTTATCTTAATAAAAATCAACAAAACTAAAAATCATAGAAAGAATAATTTGCCATACAGATAGTAAGGGTATTGAAACTCGTCCAAGAAATTCACTTGTTTTATTAGAATCTTCATCGTAAATTGTTAAATCAAGTGTAGAATGAATATCTTGTACAGGTATAATAAAAGATTTATTCCAGGCAGGACCAAGTGTCTTATAAATTGTATGCGTACGCAAACGATTTCCATCGAGTTCAACAACACAAAATGGATCTGATTTGCCATTTATATCTTTCGAGCTTAGATCACGTGCTTGATAAACTAAATTTTAGTGTATTAAGAGAATTTCATTGGAATAATAAAGACTAAAAAGAAATAATCTTTACTTTTGATTTCTACTTTGCCGACATCAAATATGGGAACGATCGATCGAAATGTCGAGAGAAGTTTCTATGAAATAGAAAAAAAATATTGTCCTATATGAATGAAATTCCCGTTTTTTTTTGGTCTTCAATACGAACATAGCGTCCAATATCTTCGTCAGTTAATTTTGATGGTATATACTCAAGAGCAACATTACATGAACTGTCACCATCATTCGTTGCTTCTTGTAATGGTGTTGTTCCTGTTATAGTTATAAATACATCAATTGTACCAGCATTATCTTCAAGTTCAACAGATAATTTATGTGTTTGTTCTTCTGCTAAATGAGATAGATTACAGATTGCTCTAAAGAAAAAGAAAATAAAATCAAAAAAAATATGACGAAAATAATTTCTTTGATTTAATTACCGGCCTATGAATTCTGCTGAAGCATTTGTGTCATCGTAAACAGTAAATTCTAATGGTGGAAGAATAGTAAGATTTGTATCGTACATAAATGATTGATGCCATTTAGGATTCGAATTAGATTTTATTGTCTGAGAAATAAAATTGAATTACAAAATAAAAATATTTTCTGCACTGCTTCTATAGATAATCTGTATGAAAACGTTTCGCGCATGATTTCCAATTTTTTCAACTTTGGTTCAATTTAGAAAAAAATTCAATTACCTATTTGCATTCTCAATTATTTATATGAAAAAAAATTTTGTTTATGGAAAAACTTCATTTTTCTTACTTGTGTTCGATATTTTCTATTCAGTCCAAATTTCAGTTTAACATAAGCACTACAAGGTTTATTACTATTAAATGATGTTAAATTTCGTCCTTGAATTAGAAAAACATCAATTGTACGTCGAGTTAGTATGACTCCATTATTAACGCCGGAACGACCACCTATTAGTGATCTCATATTTGACTGCTTATTCAACGTGCGAATAACCTTAATTTTGATATAAAAATAAATAAGCTGTTACAGAATTTTTATTCTTACTTCATCACGAAATTCAGATGACTTTGATGTTAATGTCACGCTTATTTTAAGCATACCGGTTTTCCCATCGTTTCTTTGTTCATTTTCTAGTTCAAGCGTTGCAGAATATAATCTATCTATTGGTATTCTACTCAAATCAAGTTTTACTGAACCCATTGATTCATCTCGTCCAATACGATCATGATCAAAAATATTAAATTGAAGTGGAAGATTTAGATCGTGTACAAAAAATGTAAATTTTTCATTCCATGCTGGATTTAAATCACTTGACATGATGTTTGTTGTATATTTTTCTTCGGCGCCATACAAAACTTTAACATAAGGATCGCTCGTGCCATCTATGTCTTTAGAAGATAAATCGTTTCCTCTTTCAATAAAAACTTCAGTCCAATAAACTATATTCTTGTTATTATTTTCATTACTAGCATTAACAGCTGTTGATGTAGTTGTTAAAAGGGATGAAAGCGATGGCGTCTTAGTTATAACCGTACGGGCATGGTGAGTAAATTGATCTTTAAATTTATTAAAATTCAATGCTTTAGTACTCAATGCTCGAGTGAGGCCAGTTTTTTGTGTTGAACTTGCTGCTATTGCGTCATCGCTTCCTGCATTGAAGGAGTCATTTGATACCGTCGTGTTTCTAAATTCATGGCGAGTAGTTGATCTATCACGAGGAGATAATTCTGAAGATGAATCAATTTCATTGTTTTTTGAATTTTGATTTCCTTCACTTGTAGACGATAGTTTTGCCTCCTTAAACAAAAAATAACAATCATATTTTATATTTTAAAATAAAATTTAAATGCAATGAAAATCAATCACCTTGATACAGGCACATAAATATTTCCTAACTACATTGCTGTTATGCGTACTATTGTAGTTCATTTAAAAATAAAATAAACCTTGTATAATTGAAAAACATGAGTCAGTTCATATAGAAGATAGTTTTTCTTCTATCCGATCTGTTTTTCTATCTAGAGCAGAATAAACTTTTAGTCGAGGGACGTCATACGCACATTGAAAATGCAACAGATGATTAATTACAACAAAAATACGTTATTCCTATCGACTATTGAATAGAACATTAAAAGTCGACGTCGAACGAAAGAAATAGAAACTTATGGTCACATTCCCTAGTTTCTCTATTCATTTTTTTTTCCTATTCAATTTTCCTCTACTTAATCATCAAATGTCAGCTACTAGTTATTCATAAAGATATGAAAATATTCTTGATGCATATTGCTCACAAGAGATTTTATTAATACATATAGATATACACTTTTTTTCTTGTATGATTAATATTCAAATGAAACTTTCGAAATTTCTACAAAATTATTTAAATACTCATGTCAACATATGCTTCCTATTAGAACAGAAAACAAAACCCAATAGGATATTAAAAAGAAATCCTATACTCACTGGCTGGAATTTTTTTAATATCGTAGCCATTTATACTGATTTCAACCGTTACGCGTTATGCAGTCAATGTTGGGCAATAGAATATAAATACATGTGCGCAAAAAAATCGATCATGCGGATCGATATGCATAGAGAAGGTGCTATCGTCTGTTTGAATGAAAAATAAAATAAAAAATGGTTAGATACGTGTAATGATTCGTCACTAGTCAATCGGTTAGTAGCGAATAATTGTTAATTTTACACTAGAAAAGTATGTAGAAATGAATTACAGATACTTAAATCTTCTCTAAAAATGTTACGATTGTTGATGTAGACCTTTTCTAGATAAGACTCAGAGTATTAATGAGCTATGCCTAGATTTAGCGCTTGTTTACGTCAATAGAAATGACTTATATCGACAACACATTTCGTCAATTAACAATATTTGTTTGATAGGCAGATCATGTTTGAAAAATACGCTCAATTATCAATTGGGTATGTTATCGAAAACAATATGATTTTCATAGAGCTACTTTGAAACGCATATATAATGAAAACATTTGGTATATTTTAGAATTCTCAATAACTTACAGAAATAGAACAAACAGATGGTAATGGTAAAGGTAAATATTTATTAACACCATTCCATATTGCTGATGGAATTCGATGAGATATATCAGAACCATTAATAGGTGATTTCATTTTCTTGAAGAAAACTAAACGATTGGAAATTGAAGTTGGTGTCGCAGTTCCTAACGCTTTTTTAATACGACGTCTCAATGGAATTCGTCCTATATTACTAATATTAACTGATCGATGCCGTTCAGGAAACCGTGAAACTGATGGAGATTCTTCGATTGTATCCATTTCATATTTACTAGAATTTTCATCGAGAAATGTTCCATTTAAATTACTTAATGATGAATTAGACTGATTATTATTGTTATAGTTCAATGTAGATTGATGAATAGTGTTTTCATTAGACATTTTTCATACTACAATATAAAAATATGTTAAGTATATTAGTCTATTTCTTATTACTAGAAGAAAAAACGAATAATTATCAAAATGAAACTCATAAAGATGATCAGAACACTAACTAGCTTTTGTTAACCGACGATCGCCATAATCAGAATCATTCATCTCGCATCTAACGTAATGCAAATATCAGTACAAGCATATTGACCAAATGAATATCGCACGATCATTACCGTTCTCACAATCCGTAATAGGAAGAAAAATTATTGTCATAGTATTAATATGCAGCGTATTGATCTAGAAAAATTACTATTATATACAAATTACCCTTATGTAATAATTACAATTTAAAATCAATGTCGCTACTGATACTAATAGAATATTGGTAGCCTCCTGTTTTGTTTTCATTCTATCAATACCTATTGAAACGATGTTCCATATCCGTATTGATCGGCTAAAAACAACAACACACTTCTTTCAGTCAAAGATAAATTAATCGTTTTTATACGATTCAGATAAATGGAACAACTGGAAAAGATCAACTTAATTAATAACGATTAGATCTATTGAAAAGGTTACTTTCTCGCTTAAAAATAGATCGCTATCTTACAGATAATGATATTACAGCAGTGTTCTGTTTTTTTTGTTTTAACATAAAATGCCATGTACTTACTTTATCATGATCATCACTAGTAATGCTTTTCGAGCTAAAACGAGAAATGTCATAAACACACAAATCTAACTCAACAATCGATTAGTAATCTATTGATAGAAAGAAAGATATTTTCGATAATATGCACTGTAGTCCTATTAAGAAAGTCGATAAAGACATCATATTAGAATCATAAAAAATGTCGCACTTCTGAGTATAATTTATTTTTCGCTTTATAATTGTTGTGTATCATTTTTCCTTCCCAAAGAGTTCGAAGACGATTATAATAATAAGAGAAACAGAAAAACAACGTCCATTACTATGATAGACTAAGAAAATAAATCTGTAAAGTATCTTGTTTTGTTGATTCTGATGTTTCCAGCAATTGTGCATTGACGCATAGAGAAATGAAAAACAAACACATAAGCTGTTTGCAGTATGTGACTTAGTGCTTAGCAATGTTTCAAGGAGAATATTACTAATGAGATAGAACAAAAACAACGGCTTTTTATTTTTGCCTCATCGAGTTCTCTGTTCTTTTAATTTGAGATCTCTATAAAAAAAATCTTAGAGATACAAAAATAACAATTACAACAAGAAAAAAAAAATGTTCATTACAAAAATATAGTGAATTTAATTCATCCTCATGTTTCCATCTTTGATTGTGTTTGTTGTTGATCATCTAAAAGACAAACATGTAAAAACCACTTGATTTAAATAACACTTATTGATACATACTACTAAGATCATTGAACATAAAATGCTGTTTGTATTCGCGAAGATTATCACTTAAACGAGCTTCATCAAGAAATACTGCATAAACACGTTTAACGTCATCGATTGTTACTTCACGAGCCTAAATAGATATAAACATAAATTCTTCGTTACATGATCGTCTCCGAACAGATCGAATAATCCCAATCAAAGCGATCAAGCAAAAATATTTTCCATATGCTATTTTGCAAAGGTTATTTACTTAGCATCTGGTATCACAATAAATCTTCGACATGAGAAAGTACAGGCTTTTCAATAAAGACCGACCTGATAGCGTACCAGAACCGGATTCTCATAGTGAAAATAAGATAAAATAAGCAAGAAATTTTATTGGAACTTAAAACGGTGTACTTTGTAGTTATCCATATCTAGCAATTCCAAGTAAATTTCATCGATCTCGACTAATAATACTTGATAGAGTAATAGATTGAATAATAATAATAATATAATAATAATATCTCCCATAGGCTTATCGCCCGTTGGGGCCGACGCTAAAGGGTCCACAAGCAGCCAGGTTCTATCGTGTTTTCTCTTTTACAGACGACGGTATCTGCACCTCATTCGTCCAACGCTTTCCCCGCTAATGATATGGGTTGGCGATCATCATAGGATCACGTGACCGTGACATCTATGTTGAAGTTATTGTTTTGACTCTGCATACTGACTAATGATATAATCGATACGCTATCGGATGAGTCATCCGGAACACTNTATGGGTTGGCGATCATCATAGGATCACGTGGCCGTGACATCTATGTTGAAGTTATTGTTTTGACTCTGCATACTGACTAATGATATAATCGATACGCTATCGGATGAGTCATCCGGAACACTTAGCCGTTAGTAACTTGTTCAGGGTTATTTCATGGTTGGTGATACTGTGGTTTGAACACAGTACCTTGTGAATATGTGTCGAATAACATATCCGCTCAACCATGGCGGCTCAATAGATTGAATAGAATATCGTAAAGATGTTTCTTTTCCAATTGTGGTAAATACGTTAAGTGCATCATCCGATATTTCTACATCTTCTTCACATCTAAAAATATATTCGCACTTTCTTTCCCTGTCAAATCGCTTATTAACGAATACCTTATTTTAAGAATTTATTTAATTTCATCAGCTTCATATGGTTCTGTCGTCATAATCAATAGACAATCAAGTAAATCAATTGGAATACCATGTGGACTTTGTTGATTTGTTTCACGTATGCTAATAACATTCACTTTGCCATTATTTTTGTTGTTAAATTTCATCGTATCCTACTTCGTAATTCCTCTATTTGTAGCCATTATTAAAATAAGTACCATATCACTTTCTAAAGCTCGATTTAAAAACGAAAAAAATTCAATATCTAACATATGAACTTCATCGGTGAATAAAACACCAGGTACAATTTCAGCTTTTCCTTCTTCATGCCATTCAGCAACTTTATCATTAATTCGTTCGCGTACTTCAGATTTTATTTGGCCGGTATCACCAGAAAACAATGCAAGAAATGTTACTGCTTACACAACTTCTTTACGTTTTTGTAATTCGCTTTCGGGACATAACATCACTAAGGAAATCAAAGTTGACAATAAATTCTTATTGAAAGATAGAAGGAGGAGATTTTATCCGGCTTGCACTTTTTCTTTAGTTAAGGCTTCAATCATTTTTTGATCAAGATCATAAATTGTTTCCATTTCAGTTGTCTTCAATGTCATTTTACCTATTTATGCACCCTAGAAAATACCTTTTTCTAATGAAAAAATTAATTCTATTGGTACTGATCCAGTTGCAGGTCGATCAATTTGAATTTCAACAAATTCACCTTCAATGAATTCATCTGCTTGTCTTAAATATAGAATAACATATATTCTTTTGTTTTTATAAATTATAATTCATGATTTAGTTAATTCGAACTCCAATCGAACGTCAAAATGCTTGAGTTTTGCTCATTTCTAATGAAAATATTTCCCTACTAGACATAGCCGTGAATGGGGTGTCTGATTTGATCTCAATGCTTGTGCAATACCTAAACAAGTAAAATAAATTCTAAGCAAGACAACCTGAATTGGTGAATCTTAAAAGAATAAATCTCATCATATGTTATTTAAAATAAGATTTTATGAAAACAAGTTTCTATTTTCGTTATCAAGGTTTGTCATTCGTTCAGTTCAAATGGGTTTTGGGAATTTTAAAATGCTTTCCTACGATTCGTATAATCAATCAGTAGTGATGTTGTCAACAGACGTTCTTATGTCCTATGATCAAAAAGAAAATTTACCCATAGCAATAACAGTTTTGCCTGTTCCAGGTTGGCCAGCGATAAGTAAAGCTCGATCAGCAGTTTTTCCTTCTTTAATCAATTCAAGAGTTAATCCAACTACACGACGTGCTATCATTTGACCAACCATTCTTTAACTAACAGCGCGTGCTTCAAGACTATCATTAAGACCAAGTCCATGAATATGCAAATGAGCGCCTAGAAAAACTTCATAAATTCGCATAGTAAAACGATGACTCTTTACCTGAGGTGGGGCAAAATACTCGAAGTACTCGTACTCGTACTCGAGAAAGTCCGTAGTTGCCCCGCTCTACTCTTTACCGATTATTTCTATCCTTGCTATTTTGCGCACTTGTTGAACTTGTGATGTTGATGGCTATTAGTGTAGAAAAACAAATACTGTCATGAAAAATTCTACTCTAATAGCTCCGTACAGCATTCATACTGATTGATAGATTGTTATCGTAAAGAAGAGAATTAGAAATAGCGATTAAACTGTTGCTAAAACGAGACTTGTCTATCTTTCTTTAAAATTTAGTTTCAAACCTGATACGCCAAAATACGAAGCAATCCAATAGTGCATAAATGATGTCACTAAACGACATATCATTAGAACTTTCCTTGAAGGACGATGGTTTGTTCAACATAAGAAATGAATATTGTACAATCGAGAAAAGTAATTCACATCAACTATTCTCTGTATATGAAATCATGATTTTGTATCTATAAGAAAGTTTCTGATTAAGATTGCTTTTTAGGGCTGATGATTCATGTGAGAAGTATTTCACTTTGTTTATCTTTCTCTAGCAGAAATCGAAATAGGAAGTAGTGAAATCATTGAATTTCTTGTTCCATTTCATATAAATTAAAAGATAAATTCCATAGAATCATAGAATATTTAACAAGAATCTTTCATTCCAATGAGAACATTTTTCTTCTTCTTCTTGTCTCTCACTTTCAAGCAGCAATGAATCTCACACATTTCTATTCACGAGAGACTATAAAATAAGATTGCTTAGGAAATTTCTAATTTCTCAATCATAATGCATAAGACAAGTGAATCATGCAATTTTTAAAAGTACTCTGTTTAAGAAGCTCTTCCATTTACTCGATAATATAGACATTCGAAAAAACCAATTTCATCAATTAGCAATGATGCATACAGTAATCACTTTTTCTATTTGTACATTTTCTCAACAAATTCACACATATGGCACTACTATCAATAGCTCCGAGCATCATCATTGAGAGAGAAATCTGACAAATAGTTCTCTTCGTTTTCTCCTCTTAGTTGCGCACTACTTGATCCATACATTCAATAGTACAGATACATAGCTTATTTCTTTTTTTCTTCTTTCTTGAATGCGTGCACGCTTTCTTAAGTTTGATTAGAACGCATGATTACATGCATTTTTGATAGGCGGGAAATCGACAAAAAGAACAGTAGCACCTGGTTTGTTCACCCAATCGAATATATTTGTCTTATGTATACATATATTTGTCAAAAGTGCAGAAAAGAAGAGAAGAAGAAAAAAAACGAACGAAAATGCAAAGTTAATCAATGTCACTTCCACTGCATCCATTTTTTGTCGATGTTGATGCCATGAACATTGGATAGCTTTCTTCATAATTTTTAAGCATTTCATTTAAATACGATTGAAATACATCGACAGCAGCCATTATAGCTGGTGTACCGAAACCGTGTGTTAAAAGAGAAAAAAATAGCAATGATCGTTGCACGGATGGATCGAGAATCGTCGGAAAATTTTGATGAGAAATCAATGATGAATTAGATGTATGTCGAGAAGTAGCACTATTTGGTGATGCAAAATTTACAGGCGATCGATCTTGTTTGAGCAACTCACTAAATTCTTGAATTAATTGCCTAAAATGATTCAGAAAAATCAAATAAGAATTTTTTTTTCGAAATTCATAATTAAAAATTTTTACTTGGCAGCTAAAATCATATTTCGACGTGAGCTTATTTCATTCGGATCTGAATAATGTCTTGCTACATAATGAGCAGTCGTTTTAGTCGGAAATTCCGCTTCACATAAACTACGAAAATCAATAGCTAATTGGTTTGCTTCACCTGAAACGAATAAAATGCTGTTTCATTGAATATTTAAAATAGATTGCGATCTCACCTTCGACAAGAGAAGTAAATAATGTTGTTGTCGATGTTTTACGACGGCCCGCTTGTAGTGTTACACCAATTTTTTCCAATTTATTACGTAGATCTCGACCACCATTTTTCGATTTAGCTCTAAAATAGAGGTTTAATAATTGAATTAATATCACGGAAATAAAAAATCAGCGTAACAATGATGTTAAAAATACTAATTGAATTCGTGTCCAATTTACCGTCTTAAAACGCCACCAAGTAACGATGCATTGAGATTTTCAGGTTGACCAAGACGTCGTTGAATTTCACTTATTGTTACTTTATATTTTGATGATTGACTTAAAAGTGATAATCGACCAGGTACTAATTACATATAAATGTTAGAAAGAAAAAAATGAATTGAATATTAAAAATATTTTTTTATTGTACCTTGGCAAAAAAAATCTGTTGGTGAAATCGAACCATTACCATTAACAGAACACATTGAAGAATATGAACTCGATTCACGAGATCGATCCGAACGTCGACCATCTATAAAATAGTTTTAATAGATATTGGAAAAAAAAACTAATTTTCTAATCATACCTCTACTCGCTGATGATCTATGATAAGATGAATCATCGGTTTGTAACTCATCGCTACCATTAAGAATCTAGAAAAGAAATTATTTTTCCAATAGAATTAAATTCTTCAATATAAATGACAAATTTTTTCTGTCTATGATTAATGTTTGGTTCGATGCATCACATCAAAACTCTCTTATCATAGAAAAAAAAATAAAAGAATTGCTAACTTACACGAGATGTATTATCGACAAGTGAACTGGATGAAGTCTGATGATGTTGAGCATGACGAGAATAAAGTTCAGCTGCTTGTTGATGATGAACGTCAAGAATCGATTGATGATGACGTGCAGCAGTCGTTGCGACATAAGCACTGGCATACGGATCATACGATGATGTATTAAATGTATTATTGCTTGTATTTGCATGATGATGATGCATACCTGTTGTTGCATTTGCATAGGACGATGACGATCCTGAGGAACCGTTTACTGTACCATAATTAAATGTTGGATAATGTTCCATAGCACTTGTTGCTGCATGTATATCGAATTGAGCTACAAATGTTGGATTAAATGGTGGTGGAAAATATGGAAACGATGGATCAGTAATGGTGCCCGTACGAGAACTTGTCGATGTACTGAATGGACCACCGCCAACCGATGATGGCGATGATGATGATGATGAACCATATTTTATATCCTGTAAATCAAAAGAAAAATTCATTGATATATATGCAATGAATAAGGTATTGAAAAAACAAGCTACTACTACTACTGAATGGTTAATTTAATGAGCTGTATGTCAAAGAAAATAATGCGAGTCTGTATTTTGACAATACATAAATGAATAAATAAGCAAGTTTTTTTCCTCTCTTAACCTTGTTGTGCCTAAAGGCTGTTGGAATAGTATAAGAAAACAGTCAAAAAGCAAAAGACACAAAAAAGAAAACGACTTACATCGGTCTGCACACCACTGCCACCGCCTGAATCAATTAGATCAAATGCAGATGGCATACAATGATGTTGTTGAACTTTTTTTTCTTTTTCGTTCTCAAGATCCTGCGGCTGTTCGACAACTGATAATGAGTTGACAACAATAAATACCCGAAGCAACAAAAAAATGCACAGATGAAGAAATTATGTGAATGTAGTAAAATAGGCAATGAAGAAAAAAAAAGAATAATGACAATCGACTTCGTTTTTTTTTTTCTTCTTCTTCTTCTTCTTCTGTAACTAATAGCCAAAATTGGAAGAAAAAAAATCTACGAATATTAATAGGAAAGAAAAATAATCGTATGCACAATATCAATTTTATAAATAGACATATACAAATTCCATTTTTCAAACAAAATTTTATATGTATGTATACTGAGCTAAGTGTACTTCTATTTTCTATGTAGGTTCGTTCTCTGTTTTCGACCAATCATGCCCTGCGGCATCAAATAAACTCATACAAGCCAATCGGCAAAATTTCCTGCGCTCTCGAGCATTGACGATTGGGTAAACGGTTCTTTTTTTTTTCTTTCCTTTTTTTTCTTCTTTTTTTTTACGAACAAGTAAACAAAAGAATTGCTATTACTAATAAACTCATCCTATAATCGATCAACACCAATGTGGGCGGAACTATAATAGACTTATTCGTTCTTCCGTCATCTTTTCCTTTTTTTGTTATCGAAATGATCTACTATTACGCTTCTATCATTATCAATTCCGGTTATTAGTAGTAACAAATGGCAATGAGGGGAGAAAAAAGAAAGTAGTTCGCAACTAAACCAATATCCGGTGCAGCAATCAGCATCCCCCAAAAAAAACATATAAAAATACAATACTATCGGAAACGTGAAATATTGAAGCTCTCTAAAGGATAACAACATTCTCATTGGGATATATATGGCAAAAAAAACAAATGCACAGTATATAAAGAAAAGGATACTTTTTTAAAAGTACATAACAACGATGTTTGAATCGATACAATTTTACTTCTCAGCTTAAATCATTTCTAGAGTTCGCTTCTATCTTGAATAGACAGTACACTATCATGTAATATATCAAAATACGATTAAGATTTTATTGATTGTTTAACGAACCTTGACATAATATCACGCTCGGTGACATCTTCACTAGTCCCTTGCTTTTATTAATGTAACACATTAAGGGAGATGATTTTCACGCCTAGGAAAAACACATTTTCTTAAGATAGATAGTTTTATTGACAAAAAAAAGAAAGAAATAAGAAATAGACATTCAGCTATGTAGTTTATCGACTTTCTATCAAAACACCCTCTAGCGTCATAGAATTCAAAGAAAGTGTCGTAGATTATTATCTATATAACAACGTGCTATTGACAAGTTAAGTTCAATATGTAAATCTTCTTCATTAATAAAACAGAATTCTTTTTATTTTATTTTTATATTCATTTTGAAGATCATATATCAACATCAAACCATATTAAAAGAAAGAAATTCAGTTCCGCATACGGTTTTTTATTTGCATTTTAAAACATTGAATTAAACTCACCTGGTGATATGGCAAAAGAACCATTTTTTTTTATTGCTGCTGTTGCGTGTATACGTAATGAATATTTGTGATGTAGCAGCTATAGACACTATACGTTTAGAGAAATATAAATGCATTCTTCTTCTTATTATTATTATTATTCTCTATTCATATCGATATGCTCTGATTGGTCAAGATATCTTATTGACATTAATGATTCTTTCTTTCCTTTTCTCTCTCTCTCTCGCTTTTCTCCTATTGGAAATAATATCAAGTTTGTTTATAGTTCATTATCATTAATGATGAGTTGAACGAATTCTTTCTTTCGTTTTTTTTTCTCTTTGAGGAAATACAGCTGTTATTCATGTTTGAAATTCAGCGAAATATAATGCTGGGAAAAGATTATCAATCATTGCCTCCTCCCGATCAATAAGCACTCCTTTCACTTGTCGAGTATCTCATTCAAACTAGTAGCTACTGGTGCATATTATATGCCGACTTTGCTCATACACTTTTTCACATCCTAATCATTGTCGTCGAGAATAAGTGGCTCTCTCTCTCCGTTTTCTTCTTGATAATGTAATCTCATATTTGATATTAAAAAGAATAGGTCGAACCACTTCATGGCGACAAAAAAAATTGCTTTCTTTTTAATTGAATGGACTTATATTGTTGAAGAAAACGAATCTATGGACTTCATGGTTGATTGAAAAATAAAAATCAATCGTCTCTCTCATATAATAATGATGTGTGAAATGTAATCATCGATAGTGAGGAATATATTATTGTTATTTAAGGCAAAACACCTTTTCTACACTATCTAAACAAGAGCTCGTGTCTGAGAGAGAGAGAGAGTGAGCGAAATAAAATAATAGTTTAAATCAACAATCAAAACTAAATGATTTTGTTTTTATTTAAGAAAAAAACTAAAATAATCACTCAAATACACATTCGATTAGCTATGCTCCACCCACCGTTATTGGCGTCAGTCGAAAGCTTTCGGAAATAGATTCAAAAAAACAAAAACAAATAAACGTTGACATATTTTGCCAATTTAGCTCAAAAACATTCTTTACACGAGGGGTAATTAGAGAGGGTAGATACAGATAGTATTTATCCTGCTGTGCACATGCCAGCTCACATTCTCTTCTACGTTTGATCTTGAAGAAATGTGACATCATATATATGATTATGTCGTTTTGCCTTTTAATCAAATCAAATTGGTCGTATATACACATGTATTGACTTTTCGATCAACAAGTATCTTGCTGCGATGTATCAATGCGGCGCATACTATCATTCTTTTGATAATACATATGTATATGTAATGAGTTCTTCTCAAGTATTTTGACTCTTATGTTACAAGAAAACATTTTTCTCTCTCCCCTTGATGGCTAATTGATAATCTTACTGCGAAATCTAAATAGAAATGAATTTAACTTTGTTTTATCAGATCGAATAAAATAATCGATTGTATTGACTGACCTATCACCAGATATTATTCTATATTTTCGATCATACGAGTTAATTCATGCATGAAATTGTACGTGTGTATATGTGTGATTATAGAAGACAATAAAAAGAAAAGAAAGACACAAGGAAATGAAACCTATAATAGTTTATATTAAATGTTCACATGCGGACGAATAAATATCGTTTTCTAATGATTCGATATTCTTTTTGTATCTCTAATCTCTATTCAGAATTTTGTTTTTGAAAGAAAAAAATACAAGCAGATCGATGCCGTCGCTTCAATGATATATACGCGTATACATCTGGCGCACTTGATAGACTTCCTTTTCTTATTACTCTCTGATATGAACGAAACAAATTATTCTTTACAAGTTAATGTGAAATAATAAACATCGATTTGTTTTAGTACTCATATTCAATTGCACAATATGCCTTTTGTTCTAGATAATGAATAATTTCTTTAAAGAAAATAATTCATATGATACAGTTCTTGATTTTCTGTCTCGATTCCGTTGCATCAATTCAATCTAATGATTGAATGGAAATTTTCAATATTTTCTTTAGTCAAAAATATATTTTTTAGAAGAATGTCATTTTTTTTTCATCGGCCATACAACAGTATTTGAAGGTATTTTAAACCCTATGGATTTAAATGTCTACTGGTGCACCATAATGATTCGATCTGATGCTAACATTCGATGATCTATTTGGAAAAAGTCATATTTTATCAGCTATTAAGAATTATCGGGATTCTTCAGTTAACTGCGCAACATACTCATCAGAGTAAATACCTGCGTTTTGTTTTTTGTGAAAGACACAGGGTGTCTCAACTATTTTTCTTAGTTTTTCGAAAAGAATTATTTGATAATAATTGTTAATATTCAAATCAATAGAATTAGATTTTCGTTTATTTTCGTCAAATTCAAATATTCATTTTCAATTGCACGAAAATATCGGCCGTAAAATTGGTTGTAGAAGATTTTACTATGTTACTTTTGGACATGAATTCACACACAAATGATATAGTTTGATCGTACATCGAATCAGTTTCGTTTAACAGTAACTTTTTAAGGATTTATTTAAAAATATTCATGCATCTGGTTTTTGTATATTTGAGCACAAGAATTATCTTGGCAAACTAAACTTTCTGCTTTCTTTCTATCGACAACTACAAGATTGCTTCACATTGCACGGACTAAATAGTGAATAATTTTTCACATTTCCATTATCTCATCATCTATTACAGTAATAACGATAATGTAGAACAACTTATTATACTTCTAAAATCAAAATATTAAAAATTTTGTTTGCGTGACTTTACGCGAATTTCAAGGTTAGATATAGAATTTTTCATATATTGATGAAATAAACACACATACGTGAAGTAGAATCAATTGATCGCAGATATCATTATATATATATATATATACGTATATCACATCAAAATGAAATGTACTATTCATATGTCTATATTGGTTGATGATATAAAAACTAATGAAATCAAGGTTTTGAAGAGATTCTGTTCGGATCAACACCGAGTTTTTTCGCTCGAGATCGTGCTGCTTTAGATCTTGATTTCACCATTGGAATAAAAAGAATAGAGAGAATTTCGATGTCTGCAGGATTCTGTAGGCGCCATTCAATTTTTTCAATCTCATCATTCGCTTTAGCAGTATAAGATTTAACTGTTGATGGAAAGGCACGATAAGATTCACTCTTGACAGCACATTCTATTACAGGAAAAAGACATTCATCATCGTACGTGAATGTTACAGCATAGCATGGATCCGAACAATAATGAATACTTGGACTGATGAATATGGCGTTGCAAAAATCGGCGACACCAAATGCTGAGATACCTCGAGCAATATGATTACTGGGAGGGATGACACGCAATCCACTCGAGACTACAGTACTTGGCATTACGAATCCATCCATAAGGATTGAACGAATAACTTGAATCTTCGTTCCATGATAAGCGATATGCGGAAACACACGGGCATTGTGTTCACGAATTTTAAGACAGCGACAAGGCACAGGATCTTGACGTGATATGAGTGGTTTACCAAGAGTATTCTGAAGAAACATGTCGCCAGGAAGACTGAGTAGAGAGGGAATAATTTCTATAGTTTTTATGAATGCGTGAACGCCATCAATCAAAGGTAAACTTGTGTCTCGACTATTAGAAGTAAACCAATATGCTGAAGATTGAGTCCAAGTGTATAGTTGTGCAGTAGTTTCACCAGTAAAGGTTACCGTTGGCATTTTATTGAGACGATTTTCATGATTACTATATCGTGTTTTGAACATACCAATACATCCTTCTAAATAAAAGGACTGAAAATCTGGTGGAAAAATGTAATTAACATAGAGAGTTACACTATTCTCCACACATTCAGGCGGAAAAATAAATGATAAGTTTTTTATTTTGATAGTTTGTGACTCATCTTTTATAGGTCTAATTTTAATTTTTGCCGTTTCAGAGATCTCGTCGAACTTTTTGTGAAACTCACGTACACTAAGATAAGGAAGTTCGGGGCCCATAACATGACCACTATGAGTATATCGTGCTGATTCATGAGCCGTAACACAGAGTGGTAATTCAATAAATTTTGTTTTTCCGTATCGAGCACGACATACCGTTGAAACCACTGGGATATCATCGGTGTTAATATTTAACGGACGTCGAGCCATTGAAAAGTGTGTATAGATCTTGCGTAATCTTTCGGGCATAGACTCTATAAGTTCAGCAAATGTGGCATTACAGGGTAACTGTAATTTGACTAATGGTTCATTTCCATAACTAGTACCATCTCCGAAAAGGTGCACAGAAATAAATCTATTTTCTTTCATGTTTTGTCGGTATTGCTGTAAGAGTTTTTTCATGTCATCCGATCGGGCTTCTTCGAAGACAGTAGCACCATATTTATTCCGAAGGTTTACATCTGCACCATAATTCAATAGTAATTCAACAGTAGATATATGTCCATGATAAACTGCACCATGCAAAGATGTGCTTAGCGATCCATCACGAATTCGCATATTGATATTAGCACCGTGCTCCAAAAGCCATTGGGCTACAGCTGTTTTACCATAGCGACAAGCAACATAGAGTATGGTTACACCAGCAGTATTCGTCGCATCGGGCGACTTATCACCGAAATGATATTGAAACCACCAATCGACACCCTCTGCCGCCATTTTGAACATGTCTTCGTTGCGTATCGATTCAAAGATCCTTTTTACCGATTCTCCTTGAATAGAACCTTCTTGTTCAGCGGTCATACCCCATCTATTAGTGAGCGATGGATTGGCACCATTATCGAGAAGATATTTGATGATAGAACGACTTTTAGCATGTGCCGCCAAATGTAAAGCTGAATTTAAGTTGATATCAACAACGTCTAGATTGCACTTTTTTTTTGCCACGAGCCACTTAACAAGATCTTTATGACCTTTTTTACTAGCACAATGTAATAACGTTTGCGATAGGGTATGATATTGATAATCTGGATGCGGGAGATTTTCGGCATTGATCTTGAACCAATCAAGCTGATCTGCTGCTGCTTGCACGTAAGGATCTTTTTTCAATTCGGTAAAAGAATTCCTGACAGCGCTATTCAAAGCCTCATCTTCAGCTAGATTACCATATGCATTTCGCTGACAATAGTTAGCTCCACTTTCTAGTAAGCATAGAACCACATCTGGATGTCCATAGAAAGAAGCAACGTGCAATGCAGTGCTTTTTGATCGTTGTTTGAGATCTGGATCTGCACCGCATTCCGTTAAATAGCGAACTGCTTTCACATTGCCAGCACGGGCAGCACAATAGAGGGGCGTCTGGCCAGTTTCGGGATGCTGAGAATTGATTTCTCTCAGTGTTGCATTTTGACAACGATTCTCCAATAGAGAGAAAAGATTAGGTTCAGCGACTATTTGCTGTAGTGTGTAATGCTCGACAGGAATATGAAATTCCCATTTCTTTGTTTGCTCATACCTTTTTCGTTTATCAGGGTTTGATAACGTTTCGTAGGCGCGGCATACGAGTCGAAAAGTTTCGATAGAGATCGTTTGTTGTCCAGCTGGTTGCAATTGATCCTGTTTGAATTCTAGGATTTTTTGACGAAAAATGTTAGTTAAATTTTTGTCTACATCCGTCTCATGAATACAGAGTACTTGATATGGCGTACGGTTTGTCGTTTCCATACTAAATAGTTTGCTTTTTTTCAGACGAAACTAATCAATAGCAATGATAAAGTCATAAAATAAATTTCCAATCAACTAAGAACAATTCTTAGATGCAGTCAAATAGTAAAATTAGCCAATTCAAAAACTACAAATATAATAAACACGTACTCAGTTGTTAATAATCGATGGTACAATCTCCCAAAAATTTCAAAAGATTACTGCTTGTCCACATAACGCGCTACTTTTCTAATCAAGTTTTAATAGGTTTTTTCGATACGGACAATCTAAGAGTATTTTCTGGTATCATTTTTTTACGCTGATTGTGCATTTGGACTTTTTTCTTAACAAAATTGAGTTTTGACATCGAAAACGCGTTTTAAAGTTTTCAAAAATCGTATTTTCAATTTTCTTACCAAGAAATTTAAAACAGAAATGCAGACTAATATACCGTTCGATGGAGAATTTGATTCTCTACAAAATGGCCTATTTTATTTTTATTCTCATTCCTCAGAACAACTTCTAAGCTCTTGTACAGTTTCTAACTTACTGTACAATTATTGAGCTCCTATTTCAATGTCGCAACTTGATTTCTTTTATAAAAGGATATATGTACGGCAGTAATCAATACATATAAACATTAAAAATTTTTCAACATGTGAAGTGCTTCAAATTTGGTTGACAAAAACATGTGTTACAGCGTTACGTTTAGACTAGCCAATTATACAGTTTTTTGTGACACTTGAAAACCAGTTTCTTCTATAATTACAATCGGTTTAATCCTATCAAACACAATTTCTGAGGAAGAAAAAAAGCAATGGATTATTTCCGATTACATAATCATTAATCTACGAATATCATGTGTTTGAAAGCTTTACTATGTAGTTTCACACTCAAAATACTTTTTTTTATGCATGTAGTATCCAATACAGTACAAATAGAGATGTGAGTTGTTAAGTTGCAAGTTAATACTAAAAAAATGAACACACCCTCAAATTGACTAATTTACCGAACAAAAAGAGTACATTTGAAAATTAAGGATGGAACTATGCAAAATCTCATTCAAGGAATATTCGCAGATAAACATTACCATATTTCATATAATAGAAAAACAGAGTTTTATCTGGAATCGTTAATGACTTATGATACAACAACGATAGCCAGTTTACATTTAGAAGTAATTTTCAAAGCTAACGTAAAAACAAAAATTGAATTAAAATTAATTTGTAATAGGTTATTATCAAAAATATTAAAATTCCATTAATTGTTCTGGCTAATATCGACTAAACACATAAAATACAATCGATTCTTATTAAAAATGAGTCAAAACAATGAATGAAATTTTAATATTTGCGATTTCTGCTTGATCATAAATTATTCTTAATCGAATAGTCACGGAATTCTTCTCTACACCAATTGCACAAGTGAAATAATGATTAGCGAAAAATTTGTAACAATATCGTCTGGAGTAGTTTGTAAAAACGTTTATCCGATCGAACTAACCACTCACGATTTTTCGTATGATAAAGTCTTGTAAACGCACATTTGATCTCACGATAGAGATCTATATCTAATAGAATTCGATCGCGTCCAATTAGATTTCATTTTCTAATGTTGAGTTCTATGCTAGATGAGTACGTTAAATTAAAAATAATAAGGCAAACATTTCGACATAGGTACAGAACGACTGACACATGAAACAGAGTAGACCATTTGTACATGTCAATGGAAATCTTCCCTGTATCAAATATAATAATCGTCAGAATTGAACAAAATACCCTATTGAAATGTTTATTGCAAGCTCTACATTCTATGCATCTGTCTGTTACAATGTTAGGTAGCATAGTTAGGGTTCAAATAACTCACAATACTCTTCTGCCATCATTTACGATCCTACTTTTCCAATTTTTTTGATTGCGACGAGTCAAAATAATATCATAAGTTGAAAGCTACCTACTTTTATGGTGGTATATGCAGGTAATCGGAAAGAAAACAGGTAGGCAAGAAAAACTGATCATTTATACAAGTAAACATCGATATAGAAGAAAAAAAACAAAGAAGAAAAGCATGACAGAAACTGCATCATTACTAGATAAAAATAAAATGAAAAAAAAACAGGGAGAAATGGTAAGAGAGCAATCATGCGAAGCTTCCTCGTCAACAAATGGCGTTTGAGACATTTGAAACTGTGAATTAAATGTTAACAAAAGCTCGTACCATAAAAAGCATCATAGTCATTTGTAGAATATAGAATTGATAAGTAGTTGTGTAATTCATTGTAGTCGACGAGCTACTGTATTATTGAATAATTCATAGAACGTTAAGTCCTTCAGAAATCATGTGCAGTTGTTTAAAAAAAAAAGAAATTTGATGTGAGTTTTCTAGAATTGTTTCGGATTTCTATATTATCATATTTTTAATTCGAGAACTAAAGAAAATTACTAAATATCCATTGCTTAACTATGAAATATTGTATTGATCTAATTCTGCAGAGTACTTAATAATCAAATGCGAATATTAGTTATGTTATACATAGCCAACCAGTTTAACTATTTCTAGTCTTACTGATAGAACTAAATCTGTTATTCCATTATTTATATTACTAATAAAAAACAGCATCAAAATTATGAATTTTGTTTGTGACGGTTGAGTGATGAAAAACTAACTACTGAATACATAGTCATTTGATAAAATCATCTATTATATTTGATCATATCATCGCTACGAAAATTTGCTCGGACGGAAGCTGTCTTTTTGTTGATTTCAATCTTAATTGGCAACTGACTCATGATAACTTTGTTTTCGTTATAACTTCATAGCTGATGGTCCCTATGTATCAACATTTCAGTTTTACAAGCAACGCAAAATTCACGGCTCTCGACCAAACTTGAGTATATTTCATGATCGATAGATGTTTTGATTAAGAAAAGACTGAATTGAAAATATTTTTCTGCACTAATTGTATTGCACTTTGTTCAGTCTGTATATTGTGAATCACGGTGAATTCCGTCACAAAGAACAATTACAAATCATAGCATGTGAACCTTCGAGAATTTACGAGAAAAAAAACGGTTTGAGCCAACGAACACAAGTACTACTTCACAATCTACAGAAATTAGATGCGCTACAACAGAGTAAGAGAATTGATTTAGTCATATCTTACATTGATATTTACTGCGACGCTAGCTCTACAGACTATCAAGAATTACCAACAAAAACAAAGGGAACTGTTTATCGACGAAAGACGCTTTAAGCTTATCACTATCGTCTGAATTCAGATCGAAGATTTCTGTTCTAGTCCCCGAAAACACCAAAGTTCCAGCATCTAACACGTTTTTACCTATTTGTCATTTTTCTCTTTATCTGTTAAGTTTGATCCAAGTAAAAACGAAACGTCAATTATTTACGCTGAAAATTTACTTTCAACTTGCACAACAATTTTTGAAAACTCATGTTTGCTCCTGTGTTATCTTTGTTGGCAAAAATATCGAAACTAACTATTTACATAAAGTAGTTAAGTACGTGATTCATGCCTGTGCTAGACTGTGTCTGAGGACTAAATGATCATAATTCATTGATTTATAATTTTCCCTAGACTGAAAGGATAGGGTCTAGAAGCCGTAATTCACCTGTGTCTGTCTGCCTGTCTGTAGCAATAGTACAAATGACCATTTCTGTGGTACAAACCATGGATGGGTGCATGACATGGCCACGTAAAACAGTCCGCTCTGGAGATCGGGCGAGTGGAGGGGCGAGCTGATTCTCTACGGAATTTTGAGCTAACCATCACGAAATTTCTGAACCATATATTTTTGTAGATAGGTAAGAGTCAGACTCTGCCCTCCTTAAGGACCTTTGAGTCCCATTTTGTCCGTCTTTCGTCTTCACTTTCAGTGCTTTTACTTGAGATCTTTAATTTTCGTCTAATTCTTACCTCAATTTCATTTATTCCCACTCCCTTTACAGGCCTGTTTGAAAATATCATCACCAGCTGCTCGCACGAACAACCGATTTCCTGTCCTGTCCATGCATTTGTTCTCCTCAGCACTGTCAGCCTAGGGCCCAGTGAGTCGACTTTCGATGCCGATGAACGTTACTTGTGAGTATTGATAATAAATTTTTCATTTCGTACTATTGAATCTCGTTCGATTCTGCTTGTCTAATTGTAATTGGCAGATTTAACTACACAGTTTAAACTAATTACTGAAAATCTTCCAAAATATTTCGACTTCAATAGAATCTTCGAAGACTCTAAATATTGTCTAATGCCGATTTACCGAAGATCATTCGTACAGTACCCATATCATTATAATAATAAATCCTTATGAAAATTAAAGGTGCTTTTTAGGATTATCTATTTTCATCAATTTAGCGCTGGATTTTACTGATAATCGCTTATCATCTACTATGCTTCAAACTTTTGTGTTTTAAACGATGTCGTATCGAGTCAGGAATCTTAAATAGAACTAATTACTGAAATCAATATATATAGAATGTTTGAAAAGAAACAAGCCCGAGATATGAATTCGACAAGATTCAGTAAGAAGCAATGAGTGAGACATAAATTAGAGATGAAATGAATTTTTTCAAGCTTCTATGAACGAAAGAAATTAATACTCACAGAAACATTTTCGTATTTTTAACAGCATACAAGTTGGTTAATAGATACTATCTTCGATTTATATTTTTTGCTTGACCGTCTCTTGATAACACAATAATTCTCTTTCTCATGGAGATGAAATTATATCTGCATTAACTTTCTAATGACGAAATGCTTGCTTTTATGATTAATATAGATTATATTTTGTTTTACGACAAAATTTTAGCGCAAAACTGATATATTGAGACTTCAACAATCCAGGAATTAAAAGGTATTAAATTGACTTATTGCATTGTTTTTTTAAATATGAAACGAATTCATAATATTCATGTATAAAAATGAAAATAATTTAGTGGTTAGTGGGAGAAAAATCGAACAATTTCTAAAATATTCTATGGTGCCATTTTTGACGTTATTATTCATACTCAATGTAAGTTGAACCTATTGTATTAGCTTGTTAGTCTTCGTAATACATTTCAAGAGTAAACTTGAATTCTGAAAATTCTACTATCAGGTATTATAAAATTAAACTAAATTGATATAATCTAAAAGCAAGCCAAATCATTTTATTCAGTAGGTAAATAAAAAGATCATATAATCAATCTATGAAACAATGAGCGATGGATTGAATGATGACACAAATGCTTCGAAAACGATAAATTTATTTCATGAAATAAAAACTGATGGTACTGAGTCAAGTTGTTTGTGATTTATAATTGTGCTCTTCAAACTTCATATCAAATAGATGCTTATTCAATATCTCAACTGATAGCTGAGAAAATTTCTGAATCTGTTCTTATTGATAAATAAAATTCAGTGTGTTAATCTACAGTTTAATAAATTCAGATAAATAATATTCACATTTTTCACTTGGAAAAATTTACTTTGAGGAAATTTTGTTGATATTTTTTATGAAGCAATTTTCAATTATTTATTAATTCGAAGGTCACTGTTATGGTTTCAATGGAATGAGTATTAAAGCCATCGAAGTTCATCGTCAAATGCCATGCAAATTCATAAGTGAATCCGCTTATGCTTCTGTCTGCAATTCATGTTCACATTCGTGGCTTTTAATGAAGTTCATTCTATGTAAAAATAGATTCAAATGAAAACACACAGAAAATATTCTGTTATCTTAGATCAAATATTATCTTTGAAATCTAGAAAACATCTAGAATATTTTTTTTTAGATTGCTTAACTAAGTCGGACATCGCTGTTGAGTGCAGTAAGCGTGTTGACTCGTGAATTTTATAGATTCTCATTCACATATGTCAACAATGTACAACTATCATCTTTTCGATATTTTCATATTACATGATAAATCTTCTAAAATTTTAATCGTGAAACTATCAATATCGATTTATGTATATTTATCAGCGCTGGAACCGGTTCCGGACCGGTTCAGAAAGTCAACTGGGCCGGCAAATACCGGAAAATCACCGGTTGAAATTTTAAAATAACTATCTTCATTTAGCTCTATAAACACAAGCAATACATTTCATTTTCTTTCACAGTAAAGAGAAATCAACGAAAGCGCGACAGCAGATCAATTTGGTTGGCCGATGCACTCTATTTTATTGACAGTGTTATTCTTTTTATCATACATAGTTGTAAAAATACTATTTGATAATAAAATCTGAAACGTCTATCTTTTATTTTCTACAGATTTGTTGATAGCTTTAATCATATTTCATCAAGAAGGTAAATTCTCTAAAGTATATTTTCAAATACTTTTCCTTAGAAGCTTGATCGGAAAATTTAGAGTATTCAGCTATCAGCATTCATAATGTGAGGAGCTGAGTCATACGATTTGAATAGGTCTATTTAACCATTAACTAACTGATATCATTGCTGGAACTCACTCTACCAGTTTTTATCGTATTTTGGCTATCTGAAATAATTTTCAAGGAATTAACTCCATCAGTTGTTGTCCGATTTGCCGGAATTGCACCGGTTTGAGAATAATTTATGTCCAGCCGGACCGGACCGGTAAAAGTTTTTAACTGGCCGAACAGGGCCGGTTTATAGATTTCTTACCGGTTCCACCTCTGATATTTATTAATTCTCATGATATTTCAACATATCATCACCTTTTCATATGCAATATCTAACAAACGACATGAATAATTACAAAAGTGTATCCAATATTTCTAGAGGAGAAATGGTAATTTCTAATTCACTGATTTCTATGTTGATCAAGATTTATGGAAATAATATTTTTTGTTTATAATCAATTTTATATAACGGGAAAACGTATTAGCTTAACAAATCCAGTTTTAATTTTTCCTCTATTAATGTTATAAGTCATATCACGAAAACTGGCTTTTAAAATTACTGCTAGCACGCCAATAATGTGGTGGATGTTTCAAGCTAGTATTACATAGGATGACGTTTTAGACGATTCAAAATAATAATAGGAGTTGAAAGTATTCTTTCTAACAATTTTTATTTAATCGAGAAACGAATGAAAGTTGATTCTGACTGAACTTAATGCTGATGATTTATCGCATTCTTATTTATGGACTTGATGTTTGATTTTTGCTTCGAGAAGTTTTAATTTGGGAAAGTTCTTACTGAAAAATTGTACTGAAGAAAGCGTCGGTAATGCTGGAGCAATTTGCTTGCCATGAGAATAGTCCAGACTTTCTCGCATAATGTGAATAGAAAAACAGGATGTATCGTCGAAAAAAATAAGGCAAAATTTAATAGTTGTCTAGTCAAACCTGAATCTTTATTATTTGAATGATTTATGAAACAATAGAGATAATAATTTTTGTTGCTGTTAATAATGACTGAGTTGAACATTGATCATTAGTGGTATGACAGTTCAGTTTTAGTTCCTATCAAATGAACTATTCAGACAGTTCCTTAGATCTGATCTGCTCGAACAGTTCGTTCGTTCATTTTATCTGAACTTAGATCTGAGAACTGTTACACCCCTATTGATCATAGACATTTTGTTTTTGAAAATTAAGCCTGCAACCGTTTCAGTCATTTTCTTGACTTTTTCTTTCGAAAAATTGATGAGTGAGATTCTAACAATCAGTGTAGTGAGCGTTGTTTGATTGGAAACTATGATCACTCGATCGCCTAAAAGTGTATCCACGAATCAAGTTTTACATCTTGAGTTTTTTATTGTTTTAGAGCAATAAAATTTCTATCTCTCTCTCTCTCTCAAAATGGGCAATTAATCATTTACGATTGACTGATATCATCAAATAGAATAAGTGTTTCTCGATGTCAAACAAATTCGAATTATCACACCAGTAAAAATCACTGCAGATATGTACTTAGGTCAGTCCAGAAGTAGTTGCAGAGGTATGATAATCCTTCAAAGGAGGGTTCGATCATTTTTTTCTATACAGTCTGATAGAGAAAAGAAAGCTCTATTTTTCTATGCTATTTGATCTTATTCAGACTAATCCTATGATAATAAAATTTCGATAAGACTTGTTTTTGTCGGACGTGCGCTAGTCGCACTATATCATATTCTGTGTTTCATACTCGTAATATTCTTGCCGTTCTTGAGGGTGTACGTATTTTGTTGCTATGTATTGCTCTACACTCACGTCCACATCCACATCCACACCCACACCCACACCCATGTTAAACACAGTATTCCGATTCAACGGTTTATTTCATAAGATTGTTTTACTATCTGACTAAATCCATGAATGAAAATCTTTTTCTCTTGAAAAACGTTGAAAACTATTGAAAAAGGTTCTATATAATGTTATCAGCTAGTCGAGTATAGAATATCTTATTGTGTTTCAAAATGCGGCAAAACTCAATTTTCCACTTGAATATAGACAATGGAAGTGACGGCTGAGAAAATTACTCATTTAGCTGGTAGTTATTTTCGAAAGTAGAAAACCAGTATTACTGGTAACCAGTATTTACTGGACCAGTAGACCAGTATAGTACTGGTACTGATGCATCCCTATTCTGAGCTGACCTAAGTATATTTACTTAATTATTCATAAATGCAGTAGTAGTAATAAACGTACTTCTGAAAGATCGAAAAAGATAGAATATCCGTTGGAGTCACGTTCTTAGTGCGTATCAGCTCATGCTTGAAAGAGTTTGAAGCTATACCTACACTTTTGGATTGTTATTCACCTATAAAAAAATACTGTAAAATCACATTTGTGGGTGTGGGCATTTTGTTGCTATGTATTGTTCTACACCCACATCCTCAATTTTATGGCTATAGAAAATTTAAAAAGCTTGGATTAATATCGGCTAATTCTTATTACTGTCCTAGAAAGGATGAAGTAATAAAATTATGTAAAAACGTTTTATCATCTTAGATTCTACTATTAAAAGCGTTTTCTGTCGTTTCATTAATACTACAATATATCTACGCAAAAAGAAATACCTATGAATTTCAACAGCCCGAATAGAGGCGCGAACGCTGACCAACCTTCTTATCCAACATCGAAGACATCTTCAACAGAAACAAATAATTCTAAGATGAGAGCAGTAGTATTGTCCGTTGCCTCAATGACAGTTGGAGTTGGGACATTAATTGTGATGCTTACTCTAATTGCTGTGATACCATTAAGTCAATTGATTGTCGGCGGGTATCATAAGAACCAATGTCCTATGAATCCCATGATTGATAAATACCTGATTGTTGCGGGTGCCGCTGGAATTACAACTATGGTACTTGGAATTCTAGCGGTAAAGTAATCTCTTCATCAAGTTTATAGAATTTCGCGATAGATAATATCTTAAAAATCAGTCGTTTTGATGAAATGCATCTAGTGATTAACTATCCTGGGCTCAATAAATATTGATCACAATACAAAATGCGATGATATTACCACGCCCTAGATATTTCCGAGCAGCTCATTTTGATATGAAAAATATAAATGTTGTTAAACAAAAAAATCAGTATATTCTCAAAAGAAACGCAGATATTAAATAGCTTCTTTGTGAGCATATTTATAACCACCATATATAATACAATTTCTTTTAGAGCAACATCATTTGAATTCTATTAGCTTGTGATATTCTGAAATTTTCTATTCTTTTCAGAAAACTACTGGAAATGCAGGAGTATATTATGTTTCTGTATTGCTTTTATTGGGTTTATTTAATTTCGCCTGGTTCATTGCTGTAAGTAAACTAGTAGATAATTGAAATCAATTCTCTTACACACTTTTCTTGTATTAGGGCAACGTGTGGGTGTTTAAAGCAAAATCTAAAGTTCAATTCGATCATCCTGAGGACCCTAGTACTTATTGCTTTCACGCTGTCTTTAATTGTGCATATGGAAACATTATCGTTACCTATTGTATCGTGGGTTTTCGATGCTGTTTTAGTTGTTTTCGTGCAACTGCGCGTGCATTCAATATATAAATATTATTATTATTTGATTTTTTAGTAACCATGTTACTCTGATCTATTTGATCAAGAAATGAATTCACGTATATTCATGTAATTAATCAGAAAACAAATTCAGTCATAAACTAAATTACTTTTCGCTTAACATATTCTTCTTTTTAACGCAGCATTATTGTATTTATTGCTTAAACATGATGACATATTATAATTTGCTGTCTTTCTTGCTTCACACATCTTTTGTATTTCTGTGTATCATTGTATTAATGAGTCTACTAACAAAACATCTATATTTTATTAAAAGAATTCGAAGAGAGATATGTCGATCATGATCATTTTTTAAATTACATTTCGATCTAACGTGAGTAAGTATTAAAGTTAGTCAAGCAATAGGTGAATGACTTGATGATTATTGTTGTTAACAGTGCGAATTCTAATAAACATACGAGTTAGGCAATTACTAAACGGGTGATTTTCTTTTCGTAATTATTCGAGCAATACTCTCGCATATTCATGATTCACTTCATCGACGACTGTTTGATGATTTAGATGGAAATCAATAATGAATCTAGTTTTTCTCTCGACATTCATTTACAATAGTTAATTGCAATAGATTTATAGCTCTTGTTCATTTTCTTGCTTCTTTCTCAAACAAATTTATATCTGTTTCGGTTCGTAATTTTTATTGTATCAGCTAACAGTCGTTTTAAAGTAGAATCATAGCAATAATTTGTGAAACATTTTCGACTGAAATAGAAATAATTAACATGAAAAATTATTATTTTATTTTATAAATTTTATTATTTATTATTATTTGATGTTAAAATCAAGTGACATTTTTTAGAATTAGTTTCGATCACACCGATGAACCTTTTGAGAAAATTCTAGTCAACACTATTGTTGTCAATCTTGCTAATAGTCCATTAATCAAGGTGCAGGCGAATATAAAATCATCAAATTAGTAGAGACCATAGTATCGTTGAATCAACTGGCTTGTTTGACTTTTATAAATTGACTCGAGATAATGTATGGAATTGAACAGAATTCATTTATACGACAATTGATTCCATAAACTAAATTGGTAGCTAAATGATTAGTGACCGAAAACGTTTTCAGTTCAATCGAAGTCAGTATTTCATAGTAAATGTTGGTGCTTATATTATATATGATCATAGTAACAAGAAGTTACGTTCGTTTTGTTATTTAATATATGAAATAATAGCGATTTCTTAGCTTTTAGTTGGATACGAAGAGTTCATGTTGATGACACGCTTGACAAATGTTAAGTCGTCATGAGATAACTCATTGACTAGATTTCGAATATCAAGTATATCATGAATATTTGCATAAGATTGTGGTCGTTGTTTAGGTTCTCTGCTCAATCTAGTGAAAATTGAACGTTGTCATCATTATAATGCAAACTCAAATAGCGTTATACTCACAAGGATGAAATTAACTTTCTCATAGGAGGCAACCGAATTGTCTCTGGTACTTCGGGCTCCCATAATTGGATTGCAGAAAACTGTTCATATTCTGTCGACCCTAGACATGGATGTTTCCCGTCGGCAACTTCAACTAAAGTAATACCCATGGCCCACATATCAGCCTGAATCGTACGCGGTTTCGGTGGAATATCCACCAGTTCTGGTGAATAATAAGCGGCAGTACTGACAACTGGAGCCTTCGCTGTACCATTTTCATCAATTTCACAACACGTTCCAAGATCGCTGAGTTTAATTACTGCATGATTATTGATGAGCACATTGCATGGCTTGACATCTCCATGAAGATATCCTAGTTTTGTCAAGAAATCAAGTGCTGAAGAAATCTGTAAAACGAAATATAAATAATTATGAATTAATGAAAATTCTTCTTACGGCATGTAGCAAATGGCATAGAAAACGGTCTATAGTGTCGCGAGAAATTTCTTCCATTTGATGGAAACATTCGTAGAATTTTTTGATTGTTGTATTCATTAGCTCCATGAAAATACACAATTCATTATCTTCCTTGAAAAAGAAATATTATCATACAAAAAACACGATCAATTCTCACTTACGTTACAAATCATATCACCATAGTAGTCGATGATGTGTGCACAAGCATTGACGCGTATTTTTCGTGTCATGTTCAGTTCATTTAGCCGTACAGAAACTATTTCGGGGTCTTCCGTACGTGCAGCACGCTAAAAAAATACAAATGTTATCGAGTCTGGTATAGATATTTAATTAAACAGGAATATGCAGGATAGACACTGTTTCTACGTCAAAAAGAACAGATTTTTCTGTTTCTCATCGGACGAGCCATTTTCGAAGTAGAATAAAGTGAATTTAAAGTGGCTTTAAAATATTAATACAAAGTACTCAAAACATTCAATATCAATTGAATCATTACAATAGTTTTTTTTTCAATTAGCGTACTTTGACTGCTATTTCTACATCAGGATGTGTCTTGATTTTGACGCTGTGTACCGAACCATAGCATCCAGAACCAAGATATTTAATAGGTTCTAAATTTTTCGTTGAGACTGTAATGCTTTTACCATAGACATCGATTTCGGTTGATGCTACTGGCGCTTCAGCACGGCTAAACATTAGAAAAAAAAAACTTAACCTTAACGATTGAGACGTTCACTTACGTCTCTCGGGGTGACATTTGTAGCTCGATTTCGTTGAAGAATATTGGCGAGACTGAAAAAAATAATAAAAATTTGGGATTTAACATTAAAAGACGTATTTTATAACTGATATCCTTGATAAGTGCATTAATTCAGTGATTAACTGCGAATTAGAGTTCTCATGATAATAATTTTAATATTTCAGAAACAGAAATAATAATAGTCACCATTCGTTTTATTTAATTCATTAGATTGAATCTTTGAAATACTCGATTATGATTTAGTTGAGAATCAATTCAAACGAAAAGATTTTGAAGCTTTAAAACAAAATCTTTTATTTATTCGAATAAATCGACCAATGATAAGAGATCTGCTCTGCAATAAGAATATTCTATATAGCAGAATTTCAAATAGAATTCAGTCTTTCTCTAGTAATGATAACTTGACTGACAGATGTTTCGACAAACTGATACGGTTATAATCATGTATTTTTCTTAACGAACAAAACATAGGTACAGACTAGCGATATTTTTCTATTACATAATTGGTAGAAATATGTTCTTTAGCTATATGATTTTGTAAACAAATGTTCAGCAGATGATTCTTACCTCTATTCTTTTTGGCACGTTGTGGCCACTTAGAAACACTAGGGGTACTTGAGTTAACTGCACTAACCATGCTCGAATGATCTTGAACTAATGAATATGAAACGAATCAGTTATATAAATTATAATGTTTCTAAAAGACTTTTGCAAACTCACCAGATTCAGTCGGTTGCTCACCCTGTTTATCATCAAGCGGTGGTAAATCATCGAGTAGAGAAAGTTGTCTATAATCATGTCCAACATGATTAACTGATGAAGTTGCAGGTTGTGCCGTGTCAACTAAAGCTAATAATATAGACAAGAAAATCGTTTTATAAGATGACCTTGATACAAGAAAGTTTGTTAAAACTTACATAGACAGGCTGCTTCCGAACAGTGTTTTTCGCCATCAATTGCTTTTGTATCTTGAACGCATACACTAATATTTGCATCGTTAATAGATTCCGGAGTATCCTCTTCGGCAGAACATAGTTCGTCTTTGGTATGCTCCATGTTAATTGTCGTTTTGTAAGTCAAATATTAATCTGAAAATGACAAATTTATTTAACTATCAAAATAGTGCCGAAATTCAATAGTTCTAACTTCATTTATATTTAAGAGACTATGTTTGATATATATGTAAAAGGAAATAATCTCAATGACAAACGAATTACTACTCATCTATATGTTAAACGTCGAATTATCTCATTGATATTACGAACTCGATTTCAATCCTAATATCGACCATGTTCTCTCTTGAAGAGTAAATAGCAATGAATCTTTTACCTCTGTCTGGCTGAAACAATGTTAACTAGCAAGCCTTTATATTGTGTCTAACGACAACTATTCATTTAATAAGCGATACGACGAGAGATATCATCATAACAACAACATAGTCACGTTCTTTTTTCTTCGACACTGCCGAGACAATAAAAACACAAAGCTAGAGAAAAATAACGATGAATTATTCAACAACCAGAGAAAGTAGAAGTTAGAATCAAATGAAATTAAAAAAAATGTTATTGACACACTCACGCACGACAACTAAAACGTGTTGGATTTTTCCTTAGTTTTAATCGTTCCGCGAAATTTGCGATTTGCATTTGAATAAATGATTCATTACATGCGTCTGACATGAAGAAAAATAAACACAAGGTGTGTGTGATGAAACTCAAAACCAGTTACTTTTTACCTGGTATAGTAGACTCTATGCGCTTTCTTTTTTCTTTCCTTTTCGACATCGAGCAGCAGAATAGAAGGAAACCTTTCGGGATTATACTTTCATTGGATGCTTTTACATCGATGAGTAAAATCAAGTTTTTCTTTTTTAAATGTCTTAATGGAGATGAAGCGTCGTCCTATTCTTCTGTGATGGTAATATAACTACCATAGAAACGTTTAGTACAGTACGAGCATGACTTTTTAGCACATGTATTGTTTCTCACACCTACTTTTCACGGTAAAGTCCAGCTCCACCGAATATTATTTTCGGCGACTCCAACTTCGCCGAATAAAAATCTTGACCGAAAAATATCCAATTAAATTTGATCCATTCTAGATATAGAATTTTATCCTAACTAACTACTTTAATAATGACTTGATTAATTAACCCCATCTGACTTAGTAACCAACTGATTTAGTAAATCACACACCCTCAAGATGATTAGGATAAAATTCTATATCTAGAATGAATCAAATTTGATTCAATATTTTTCGGTCAAGATTTTTATTCGGCGAAGTTGGAGTCGGCGAAACTGTACTGATTTATTCTTGTTACTGATTTCATTGAGCCAATAGGGAATTCCCTAGAACCAATCAGCTATCGATTTTGAATTACTTATAGAGTAAATCTTAAATAGTCGTATTAGTAAAAGTTACTCAAATTTAGAGGAATAAAATAGGAAATATTCTCTACCTAATGAATTAGACCTGTAATCTATTCTCGTCACAGTAAAATAAATAAGTTTAGCGTATTGGTGAGACATAACTCAAGATAATTTTCTTATGTGCCTATAATCTTAGTAAGATCTATAGCAAATGTTTTACTCTTCTCATCGCGATGGTGCTCACATCAACATCTTCAATATGAAACAACTCCATGCATTTTCTCTGACAGATCAATCGAAATTATTTGTTTTCTAGGAATTAGTCTAACTTTATCGAATTTTATTTTCGTCGGATAAAATTCTCGAGCTACATATTAATGTACACATCAAATGATTTAGTCTATATAATTGTCGATACTTTCAAAAGCACTACAAATAAATAGATTTCTTTCTATGAAAATGGAATAAAATGATGAATAAGAACTCTTATTATATAAATCTGTTTAGCACAAGACTGGCGTGTAGTAGAATCAAAACTTAAATGTCATGCTTCGTACAGTGGTGTCCAACTTGAAACTTGAATTCAGTTTAAAAGTTGAAAATTTCAATTTTCAATTGAATTCAAGTTTCAAGTTGGACATATATGACTTTGTAGTAATGTGATAGATAAAACACGTATGGGTTTTCATACTTGACCATTAGCAAAAGAGCATTTTCGTGTATTTAACCGGTAAAAAATTGAAAGGATGAGCTATGATGTCGCTCTTATTTATATATGTGCACAGGATTTTTTTCTCAATATATTTTGAAATTCTCCATCTTGTTCTGTTCGTCTTTCTTTTTTGTGCTCTATTGTTTTTTTTACTCTCTATTCGTGTAATATTATGATATATGAAAATAGCGTCTAATAAAAATAAAATTTCAAGTGAAATGAGATCTCTCACGCGATGATGAAGGATATTTGTTGAAAATTTGATTATTTGTCTTGACTTTAATTTATTTGATATTTCTACTTGAACAAATAACAGCTTTGCTGTTAATCGATGAAGATCGCCTGGTCGTATTCATTTTTACACATCAATTTTTACTAGTATTGAGATAGAAATTGAAAGAAATGAAAAACAAGATAATTCTGCAGGTATACACTGTCAATCTCTATATTGAATATGGATCCTAATTTGAATTAACGAACATTTTAAGTGGAAAAAATAAGTTTTCTAATATTTTACAATAAATATAAATTGAATAATAATCATTTCGATTGGTTTTCAAATGGAAGTTAGCACCACTCCTATTCATCATTCTTTAAAAAATATACGTTTTTTCATCGTAACTTTGAAAAACTACTAAACAAATTCAGTTGGAAGTATTTATTAAATAAGCATATAATACAATCTTAACATTATGAGAAAATAAAAACGAGTTGCAACTTATTTCAAATAAGAAAATTATTTCATTCTTTATTGTTATTTAATATAAATTCTATAAAGCCAATGAATATGCTATGCATTGCCGAAATTACATATTTACGAAAGTCCGAATAGGAATTTTCTGTGATAATTTAATAGTAAACAAATCAATAATTCATTGACTTAAAATTAATTTTAAACACAGAAAGTGATATCCAATCATCGCCTGTGCTACAAATACTTTGCTTATCTGTGGATGTCATCTAATATTATTCAAAATGAGTAATAAAAACAAGCAATGACATGTTACAGAACACAGAACGCTTTTTTTTCTATTTGCTGTTTTTGTAAATAACAAGGATGACTTATTAACTTAACACCCATTTTGGTTGAGTATGATTCTCTCAATAAAACATGATTCATATGCGTATTTAACTATTTTTCCTAGTCGAACGGCTGAAAATATAAACTAGTTTACTTGGAAGATTATTGATTTGCAGAATGAATTGGTAGACTTGCGAATGTACAAGTGTAATCTGATGAAAGAATAACCAAGCCTTTTAACAATAATTTTCGCTTGGAATGCATTTTATCGGTGGCATATTGATGTTCAATACGGTGAAGAGAGCGAATTTCTAAATAGAAAGATTTTAAATACTAGTAAATAGAAGTAACCAGAGCGATTGCTGAATGTCAAATGTTGCTATCATCAATTGCAGGGCTAGATCTAAATCTTCTTTTTACGATCAGCGATATTCACGTGTGTCGTTAAGAAATCAAGAAAAAAATCCAATGTGTATTCTATTATTAGTTATTTCACAACTGTCTATTAAAATATAGAGATAACAGATGATATCATACTCATGTTTGTAGATAATTTCAAAAAAAAGTAAACAGAAACGAGACATTAATCATGCATACTATGGCGGTACTTATATTTCGGTACGGAGGGGAAGAGCGGGGGATGCGTCCAAATTTCTACCCTATATACTTCAACACTCCTTTCAGATCGTGTTTCACAAAATATATAGTTAATGAATATATTTTGTTTTTGAGACACATTTCAAATAGCATAGAAATCAAACAAGTGTATATGAAACTGTAACATCAATCAATGAATCTATACTTTTGATAAAATTGCATTAAATTCGCGTTTTGACTTCAATGGAAGGAGAGAGGCACTTTTGCTGAAATAATTCTTTCTCCTAAATGAGATAAAGCTATCGTTACTTTATCAAATAACTTGTTACTATCAAAAAATACTTTATTCTAATTTCTCAATACATGATGAGTAGTGCATCATGAAACTATCAGCTTTTTTTAAAGTTCCATCAAACTTTATTTTAACTCAAGAGATTTACATTTATGAGTCGCTATATGTTTATTCGATCTGGCTTTGATACAGATAGGCTAAATTATATTTTCATTGAGAATGTTGTGGTTCTTCAGTATCGAACAAAGAATCACTTTTAGTTTATCACTGATCGACTCGCAGCACAACAAGACCTGATTTATTTAGAAGTAGAAAAATATCTAAAAGAAATATTAATTGGTTCACAGTTCCATTAATCAAAATTTCACGAATATATGAGTTACCACGTGAGTCTTTCAGAACAGATATCCTATTAGTTTTTTTTGAATAGGTTGCATGCCAAAATAGTAGTAATGTCACACAAAGAAGTGTGAATCCCTGATATAAGTCTTTGTTTATTTCTACCACGAGAAGAACATACTGAGCTTTTAATATTTGAGAATCCTCTTCGTGGGATAATAAGCACGTTTATCTTCTCATAAGACTACACTATGATCAAAGATACAATTGCGTATTACATCTCAAAGTGCATATATATATAATCTTTCTCTTTCATATATTCTTCATAATATTTCCGAACATTCAGGCTTACAAGATACTCAGGTAACATTTCTCTAAATCATAATAGTGGTCAAAATGGTAGACATTGCATTCATCGATTTAATGACCGTACTAGTCTTTCAACGTCTTCAGAGCCGCAACAAAATATTCAAAACTTGTATGTTGAAAAATGGTGTCTGCTACTGTTCTATACCTATTTGGTCTCTCCTGCTCAAGTGCCCATTGATATTTCTTACACTTTCTATCGATCGGTTTTATTTCATAGCCTATTACTCAAAACGCTTTTTTCCAACAAAGATGATGGACAGTAATTTGCATCGGAAGTCCATGAGATGCCTAGTTCGAATTCGAATATAAATGGGCACCCAACTGCATGGTATCAATTCGAAAATAAGTGATAGAAATAGATTTAGTTTCAGATGGAGTGGGTGTGAGTGAAGGGTACCCGTAAGGGGTGCAGAGGTGGGGGGGGTTGTTGAATAGTTTCATTATGCAGTTGTGATGTTATAGATTGTGGTTGCCGGTGATGGATACCATGGAGGAGTGCTCAAATGTGGGTGTGGGTGAAGGGTATATACTATGTATTCATATGTCGCATATATCGGGAAGTTAAACTAAAACTAAATCTAGGAATAGATTTAGTTTTAATTTAACTTTCTCTTTTCTCCATTTATATTCGAACTCGAATCAGACAGCTACTCTCGCTTCGATACTATCATATTGAATATTCCGTATTATGTGTACTCAAGAAATCATATTCGTTCTGAATAATAATAAAAGTCAGTCGCTATTAACGTATTATCTTAAGGCAGGAAAATCGAAGGAACGATTTCAATATATTTCAAAAACAAAGAAACTAAAGCGTTGTTCGAAATTATTTCCTTTTAATTCTTTGGCAAACTTGAAATATTATTTATTTATTTTTCATGTTTAGCATTGTGCTCTTCGAACCTCGATGAATATTTATGCACTAGTGATGATAGTGATAGTCCCTGTATGCATTTCTGTCATCATCAATTTTCTCGTATACAGCCATGTCCGATCTTCAACTCAACGTATTCAACCACAATCTATAACATCACAACTGCATAATGAAACTATTCAACAACCAAAAGTTAGTCGTCGTGATTTGCGCCTATTTTGGCAAATGCTCATCATTGTTCCGTCACTGACTATATCGATACGCTCACTTGCGGCTACACTTCGCTTATTCACGGACATTATTGCTATAGTTGTTCGTGATCGTGACCTATGTAGAAGATTCTACGTACGATTTATACTGTTGAAAACTATTTATTTTTTTTGAATGAATATCAACATATTTGATAGTTATTAACAGTTGACACTTTTGTTCTCATAAGAAAAGCAGTTTTCTAATATTCTAACAAATTATAATGTTCGCAAAAATTCATGCCAAACTTTGTGAATGTCTAAATAAGAAAGAAATATGTATACAGATACCAGTTTGCTTGAGATGATTTAATCGATAAGAGCCAGTGTTATGAAAAGATCAACATATGGGTCGACAATTGACTTGAAATCGTATCGACTAAAATTAATGTCGATCCTATTGCAATAATCGCAACCTTATGATCCACATGACTCTTTCACGTATGAATCCATCTTTGAAAACGCAAAATCATAAATTATTAAATCTTTTATTTTCATGATAGGAGAAGAAATGTTCAATTCAATATTGTCTTGAAAAGAAAACAAAGTGTATCAATTCACTCTTTTATAGCTACTTCATATTCGAGTTCGCAACATTCACAGAATATTTTATGGTTGTGTTTCTAGATACAAAATAGTGATGCAACATATCTTCAGAGTCTTACATGATTTTTATTGGGCATAGATAATTTAATAAAGTGAGAGAAAAAAGAACATCGGCATACATCTATTCGATAGAAAATTGTTGTACTCGATTACTGAAAGAGTCTACAACGTACATATTGCCGTGTCGATCAAAATCTAAGCCCATGGGACTGTTTAACTGATTTTGCTGAAATCCGACACCGTGTCCGCCCACGACGACAGTACCCTGCTTTGCTCCATCTAGCCAACGCAATACTCGTCGATTTCCCGCATCTACTACATATAAAGTACCGGATGCATCGACGAATAGTCCTCTAGGTGCTGACATTTTTGTCATGGCTGAATTACTAGCGACAACAATCCCTTCTTGTGCACCTTTACTCCATTTCATCACACGGTTGTTGAACTTGTCCGATACGTAGATATTCTGATTGGAATCGACGAACAGATAGGTCGGCCAGCTAAATTGATTCAAACCAAAACCTGCTCCATAGCCACCAGCAACAATAGTACCATTCGTGCTACCCATTCGATATTGTGTTACTTCAAAAGTTTCAGTGCTAGAGACATAAATATTTCTCTGTTGATCTATGGCTAATCCAGAACAAAAGATTCCATCGAGAAGGATTTCACCTTGTGTTGTGCCACTTTGAAGGGACCATTGTAAGACTCGTCTATTTCCATAATCGCAGATAATGAGGCTATCTGTATCTTTATCAATCGAAACATCGATCGGATGATACAATTGATTTAACTGATTTCCAGGACCAAAACCACCAGCAACTATTAACCCGTTGCTACCGCCTATATTCCATTGAACGATACGATGATTTCCGTAATCAGCGACAAATATCGTTTGATTGTCATCAACGGTAAGGCCGTCAGGCCACAGGAGTTGATTGGCCCCACTGCCTCCAAAGATGCCTCCAGCAACGGTCACTGCATTTTGTACCCAGCGAGCATTCGTAGGAATAGTTGGGCTAGCTGTAGTAAAGGAAAGATGAAATACATTCATAGTTGTTGTCGAAAAAAAATAAATCTCTCGCAGGAAAGTGCCACAATAGTCACGTTGTCCTTCAATGGAACATTTTATAACACGTGACAGCATGATGATTTGCATGCCAGTGCGTTCAAGTTAAAATTAGAAGGGAACAGCGTTTTTACACTAGTCGTACATTTATTTGTAAATCTCTTTGAAACGAATATGCGACTATACAATATGATCTTTACAAAAATAAGAAAGTGATAACTTTTTCGATCGTATACTTTCTTATTATGCGTTACTACTTTATTCGTATTTTTATAATAACATTAATTGGCTTCGTATCAGCCCTAGTGGATTAATAAGCTCTATATTAAAAATAAATAAATATAAACTTGATTATTCAGGATCTTTCAAAATAATTTATTTTTTCTTCCTAGTATGATTATTTCATCTATTTTATATTACGACGTTTTATCAAAGGTAACTGACGTCATCAAACGACACAATATTATGCAGCAGGTAATGATGTAAACAAACAGCATTATTTTTCTTGCGTCTTAGCTTTCCTTTCATCATTCATCGACACTCGAAAGCATGAAGTAAAACATTTAAAAAATAAAACCTTGCCCATCCTTACCATTTTGTTTGTTTCTCTATCAATACATAAAGTAAAAGGAAAGCGAAAATATAAAATCGTACATTATTTTGTGGGCTTAAATCTCATATGTATAACATTGTTCAGTCGCATGATGCCACCTGTTCTTGACTAACCGTCGCAATAAGAAATGAAGAGAAAATATGCGACTTGTATAGTTTCACATCTGCAAGTGATCAAGCTTAAAGAATTATTTCATGTAAGAATTCACACTTTTTCAGTGTGGAAACATGAACAAACAGAAAGTTAAGCTAACTAATAAAATCTTGTATAAACGCATCATCAGCACATTTTCATTAAAGCACACAACGCATTCGAGATTAAAAAAAGCTGACAGTTGCATCTTAGCCTGAAATTACACCAGTGTTAGTGAATTCAAAGACACCGAGACAATATACTTATCGTACAGTGTTATTATCATCGATTTTACTTACATGTTGTTATACTAGGTGAAGTCGGTGTCGTTGAATAATTATTACTGATGGGAACTATGTAGACATAATTTGAGCCAACTATGTTAATTGAAAATATTGCTTCTGTGAGTATGTTACGGGTTGTAACAATTAAAATATATGGCATATAACTTTGTAGGCTAACGAAAAAGTTTGAATGAAATACATCGATGCCATTATCGTTCAATGTAATTCGATTTGACCATGGATCAGATGGCGTGAAACGAATGACATAAAGATATGTGAATATGGCTGCACTGCTTTGAATCGAAACATTGTAAGAGCCATCTGTTGAAGTATTAAGTAGGAAAGCTCCATAGTAGTGATCTGGCGAGGAACAATCTAAGCAATTGTAGGTTGGCCTGTTTGAAGTTAATTGCGATGAATATGACGACTGAACAGCTGGTAACAAAGGTATGTGTTAAAAATGAAAATATTAGCAGATGCAAAATTTATGGATAAGTGACAAACCACTTAGGTTATCCATCATTTTTGCATGGACAATTTCATTAAGTTTCAGTTGAAGCGATTTCTTTGTATATTATTTTTTCTCTTGAATGCATCAGACTACAGTTCCTTCTTTTTCTTTCATCGACTATTAAATTTCATTACAAGAACAATATTATTATTAAGATTCGATTTCATTTTTCAGATATGAAAGCATGCAGTACTCTATCTCGCACAGAAATCAGCGAAGTCAAGAAATGCGAAAAATAACATACTCGTTCGGGTCATAGCAGTTCCCGATTGACTTTTCACCGCTACTGATAAGACCGGTCCAATTGCCATGAAACCCAAACAAATTATGAACAGCCCTATGAGGAAACCTATATAGATACAACGAGTTCTTTTTTTCACTTGAGTAAGATTTTGATTGGACACCTCCAGATCAGCTGGATGTGAATGTTCAGTGTCATTCACAGAAATAACTGAGATGATGGTTGAATTATCTTGTTTAATTTGAGATACTGTCGATGTTCGCCGTTGAGAAGCTAGCTGTTTCAAATACTCGTCGGATTGTAAATCAGCAACATTGAGTGGTTCTCGAGTCAAGGGACTCGTACCATGTGTCTCAATCCATTTAACAATAGCTGCACGTTCATAGGCATGACCATCTGCAGCTATGACTGGATCACGAAAGAATTGAAGTGTGATTGGACATGTCAAAGTTTCTAAATCTTCGTTTGTTTTTGTTTTACTATCCATATTAGTTGGTGAATACTCTTATATCGATATCATGTTTTTCTGAATTGAATAATATTTATTGCGCTGTCATTTAACATGATCACTGATCAGGAACAAAACTGAAGAGGAGAACAGAAAGCAAAAACGAAGCATATATCGATGCATTTTTTTCCGTCGATCTGTGCTGAAGCAAATGTAATGTACACGTATGTGTCACAAAATCATCAATAGATTGGTCAGCCGAGTGATGCATTTTTTTCCATACCAACTACACTGATTAATACGTTGTTGCAAAAATAAACTTTAAGGTTAATGTACAGTATTGGATCGACAACAATGATTGGATGGTAAAAATTTGTATCGACAGATACGTTTTATGTTTTCGACTAAAAGCAGTTGGTTCGTTTATGGTAGGTAGAAGGTATAATTATGTGAAGTGAAATCAGTAAAGTTTCCTTCGCATGCGCATACACTTCTTGAGCCAAAGAATGTTATGAATAAATCTTGAGAGTTGCACAGGTCAAGTACACGATAAAAAATATTTGCCTAGGAAAGATAACTTAGCTCTTTCTTAGCAAAGACAAAGTTTACAACGAATTAAACTTTTGGTAATTCGGCTAACTTTGCCGTTCATCCATCCGTGCAAGAAAATTGATTGTGATGAAGCATAAGAAACAATCTTTTAAAAATACTTAATCATGAATATTATCGATAGTCAAGGTTCATTGATTCATTCGAATAAAAAAATCAAGAGTTTTGATTCATCTTCAATCATCATCGTGTATACAATTATTTTGCGCAAAGAAAACTAAATGAAACGCTTATTTCTCACAAATCATACATTTATTATCTCAATAATTTGTATTTAATGAAATATTTTCACATACAACTGAAAATAACTTTTATTATGGTTTTCACCGAGAGAGACTGTTTTGTGTTTTTATTGGCGATTGATGTATATGTACTAAATAAATACTATTGAAAATATATTCTTCTATAATCGATTAATAAAATATCGAAACTGTAATTTTCAAAATATGTTTTCCATTAGAATTTTATTCCAAATTGAATTTTACTAAAAAATCTCATATAGAACTCGAACGATTGAGAATTCAATGCTAGAGACAACTATCGATTAAGTTGTGAAATTATTTTTGAAATAATATATTCTAGAAGATAAATAAAAATTTTCTTGAATATTTTATGTTTTCATACGTTTAAGCTAGCCACACTATAAAGGACATAACTAAATGTTATAAAAACTCGACAATATTAAAGGAAATTTTTTCCATAAACAACATATTAGTAATGAAATCTAAACAACTTATGATTGAGTGTTTACGATAGTTTTATAAAGAAGCTAACCGAAACTGAAGAAAACATTTATGACGCTGTTTTCGCTCAAGAAACCCGTCAATTACAAGTCAAAATGTAAATACACGACATTATTAGCTCTATAATCCTGTATATTCAACAAATTTCTCAACATATGCTGCTTGAGGCTAGCCAATAATTAATTTGTTCTTTGTTGTCAAAAAATGAGCTCATTATAAACAATAAATGAGCCCAGACGATGTATTTTTATTTTGATGTGATTATAAAAAAATTAGTCATAAGAAGGACAGCTTCAAAATGTGACGCCATCGTTTGAATGAAAACAAGTACAGACTCAAAAAGAATTGATGTTTAATAATTTTTCTTTCTGATAACAACACTATAAATCCAGCATTGCCACTTCTCACTAACTCGCGTGCATTCTGTATCATATCAGTAGACTTGACAATTATTGATTGATTTTGATGAAATCATTGTTGTCTACTATTTTTTCTTGTGAACTTAAAGTTAAGAATCAGCAACAAGTATTGATAATGATATTTTATTAATAAAAATGATTTAATATCAAAATTACATGGCCCATTGAGGAAAAAAATGCTCGTCATTAATAGTGAAAAAATAGCAACATCAGTTTATACATGATTCTATCGATCATTAATATTCTTTTACAGTTTTTCTTACTCTTTGTTGTTTTTGTTGATGATCATTAGATATCCTTGTGAAAGTTTATCATTTACAGAATAAAGCAATAAAACGAATATGTAGTGTTTTGCCAATCTCACAAGTTATGTTCATTAGAGTTTAAAAGTTTTTGGTTGAAACGATAGATTCTATCAAATAATGATTACAGCAACCATGTCTACATAATAATAAATGAAACCAATAAGAGCCCAATCAAACTCTTTTAAAGCACTCGGTATTAAATTACTAATTGAAATCTTGGTTTCTGAGAGGATCTATTTTTAAAGACTTCGATTAATAGCTATTGTTGCTATATCAATCTAAAAAATAGAACCCAACGAAAGATACTGAGGTGGTATAGTTGAGTAGGAAAAGTAAAAATACATTGTTATCCAAGTATTGAGACTAAGCAAAATCAAGCGACATAACTGCGGCTTATATTTTTCGTCATGCATGCATTGTTCTACCGATATTCAATCAGAAAAAAAGAACTCAAGACAATATGTGAGCATGGTAATCATTATTGTAAATCAGGACTTGAGAGAAAATTTATATTTCATACATAGGTTTTGGATCATATTTATTGCTCATTGGTATCGTGTTTTCATTGCTAACATCGATATTGACATTGAAAATAAAATTGTGACAACTCATTATGTTCTATAGTTCTTGTTTGTTTTTTTGTTTATTTTCACTTGGTGTAAATACAATGGGAGGAGCGAGGCTCCCATACTCCTGAAGTAGAGTGGGAATATAGGTGGAATACAGTAAGAGAAGAGTGCGAGTACAATGAAGTACAGATGGAGTAGATCTCTTCTGTACTTTTCCACCTGTACTCCTACTCTACTCCAAGAGTACGGGAGTCTCGCTTTTTTCGTAAATTCTATTTGAATCAGGCGTCGTTTGATGAATAGTGATAATAATCTAATGTTATATGAAGATATGCGACCGCTAGTCGTATTACATTCGATATCTTTCATTTTTGTTGAGATTTTAATTTCAGATAGAATTTTTATAATTTCACGCATTATAGTTTTAAATTGAATTACATCATATCGAATCTGCATTATGCCACAAAGCATTTGACAACACGTAGGTCTCTGCCCAGCATGGAGAATGTGGCGAGATGAAAAAAAAGTCAACCACGTTGGTTGGCGTTAACCAAGCGCAACTATATGACATCATGATTTCTTTTCTATTAAAATCATCGGGTATAATGCAAAATATGTGTGTGCCTCACAAAATCATTTTTATCCTCGTAAATATCGAATAAATGAGGAAGGGGAATGAATCATTTATCCGTGGCTGATATCGTGTATCATTATTATTTATTATCATCAATGTTAAGCTTTCTTTCACTGACATCAGATGTTCATCAATGAGCTGCTATTACCTAAGGATAATTGAGATTTGTTAATGTTGATAAAATGAATATCGAACATCAATTTGAGATGGAACAAATGTGTTTTAACTGACTAGATGAGAGTTGTTTTTTTCAAAATAGCATAAAATAATATGGATACAAATTGATTCTAAAACTCTAATCATACTGAATGGTATCGAATAAAAGTCAGGGTTTGCTTCAACTCGATTTCGGCTATTAAAATCAGTTATACTTCCCCTTGGATTTTGTTGAAACTAGAATATGAACTTTGCCCAGAATCTTGTGAAAGAAGAAAATTCTAGACCAATCATTTCTTTATCTAAATTAATGAATGAAAGGACCGATCCGAAGATTACTTCAAAATATGGTAGAAGCGAAAACAATATTCGTCGCAAAAATAAACAATGAAGAAAATAAACGATTTTTTAAGCAATATTTATTAAGCGATGTTTCACATTAGTAATAATCGAATGTTTCAGTCGATTTCGATTTACATCGAAATTGATTTAATTTAGTTTTTCTGCCTCGTTTAATGCATACGACTTTTGCAAAGAGAAAAGTACCTAAAGGAAAAACAAATCAAAGCAAAATGAAGTGTGACGAAACTTAGTAATCAATCGTTTTGTATGAGTCAAATTTGTTTATACTGATACAAGCATGATATTCGAGTTTGCTAATGATGTACTTTATTCAGTTCCTATATTCTTAGTCAAATACGGTAGTACATGTCACACGATAAGACAAAATGATTACCCAAGGGGGAAAAGCGGCTCCTGATGGCCCCTGATGGATTCTAGAATCTACCAGGAGCCGTAGATTCCACCAGGATCCATTTTGATTAGTGAATTTATATCAATATTTAAAAAAATTTTCAGTTGCTAAAGAAAACAACGAGACTCATATATGTCGGATCTATATGACTTTGATCGAGTTTTGAAAAAAGTTACGAAAGTGACCATGCATTTTGTTTACAGATCTAAATGGTCTATCTGTCGTTTCTTGAATCTAAATGCTTAGAAAAAAACTTACAGATTTTATTGTACACAGAAAGAGAAGAGCTGAAGGATTCATTGTTCATATTATTCTATGACTGAGAATGTGTTACAATAGTCCTGAAAAAGATATTTAGCCTTTTTGTAATATAGACAATATTGTTGGAAAAATAATATTATTTTGTTTCTACCGGTGACTTTGTCTGTGTATTGATTAATTCTTCATGTTAAATTGCAAAGTTCTAACANGGTACTGATACTATGCAATTTAAGTTGCAATCTGATGAATATAATGGAATTACCAAGGATTCGATCACCAATAAAATACGCCCAGTACGAACACGATATTATCAATCATTTACACAAGCTGAAGACGAAAATTTTCTTGGTAGAATTTATGTGGGTGTTCATTGGCGTATTGATCAAGATGCAGGCAGAACAATGGGGCAACAGATAGCTTCATACATCTTTACACAAAAGCATTAAAGAATGTCCTTCCACAGAAACATTTTCCTATCAATTCACAATAATAGAATACAATGTGTGCAGCTATTAGCCATTTTAGAACTTTTCTTTCCATTTTCGTGTGCTACCTAGATTGAAGTCTTATATCGTACTCTTTATCTTCATTTGTGTTTGTATTTTCTCATTCTTTCTAATATTCAAGATTTTATATTCCATGTTTTCAAATTGTATTTGAAACATTCTATTTTAAATTTTCTCAAATAAACCTGATTCGAAAGTATTATCACTATCAGCTTAGTTAATGGTATTCGTGAAGTTTAACTAGATATTTTCATGTTTAACCATCCGTCTCAATAATGACGGCCATACATAATTTCACAAAAAACATCTTGATAACACATTTTCTCTAATTTGTTCTTTTTTATTTTACTTTTCGCATCTGAATAGGAAAGTGTAAAAGCAAAAAAAAAGCTAGAAATAATGAAACTATCGAAAATGATTTATTTTGCCTTAGATGTGCACAGGTGGTATTTTTAGCATGTATTGCTACATGAAATTTCGATTTTTGTTTTTTATTTGAAAAATTATGGAGACGCAAAAAACTGCAGATTCTATGAGTTTCAGTCTACTTGAGCAATATGCAATGTAAATGCTCAGGAGCGCGTGGATGTAGTGACAACAATCAAAAGAGTTTTGTTTCAAAGTACGCTCTTTTTTCTCTCAAAATAATTAGTTTAAGAGAACAGCACTTACTGTTGGCATGTCAAAGGAAAACCAACGAAATATTTTCCCCATATCATTATGAGACTGCATGCAACATAGAGTTGTATACGTTTGTTGTACGTCGAGAAAATGACTTAGACAAAGAGCTTATTTTAAAATTAGCATCTAATTCATGCTTCTAATTCGTGAGATATTACATATGAACAATTTTAAATTTGCATACGACTATCAGTCACTCAACAAAATAAAACTTCGATAAAATCTTTAGAATTCCTGATAAAACGCATCCTCGCTGATTAATTATCAAGAATCACATAAGTAAGCGTTAGTAACGTTAATTATTTCTTATTAGTACAAAGGAAAGTGGAATTTTAAAGCATAGATTCTTGTTCTGGAACAGTATCAGGCTGTGAATTGTCATCATTTTTCTGTGTTGCCGCTTGTTGAAGTCTTTCCTGCAAGAACAAAAAAGCAATGAAAATAATTAATTTAAAAATTTCTTTAGAAGAATACTAACATTTTTCGATGAAAAACATGGAAATATTTCATTTCGAGATACCAACAATGATGTGTCTATCGGTTTTGAATCTTTCGAATCTAAATAAAAAAAATATTCACTTGTTAATCCCGACTATTTTTTTTACCAAGAATAAATGTGAATATCATCGCAACAACTATAGTAACTATTGCACCATTAAAAATAAACCAAAGAGGAGATATTGAAAATAAGGATAACAATATAGTAGAACTATAATATAAATACTTGTTTTCTATTAATGTATTATAAATATGATTACTTTATATGTGTTGTTGGCGCAGGAGTAACATCAATTGAAGGTATACATCCATCAATAGACGTTGATAATCGTCCACCTTGCTTATTCGCTGGTTTTACAGTGAGTATTGATCCAAAAAGCATAAAGATTTGAAATATTAAAGCAATAAAAAAGGCAACGAGTGCACTCTATTAATACATATACATATGAAAATCAAGCATTTATAAATTACAATTTAAATGTTTTACTCGACTTTTGACTCTTGATGAAAACAATCCAAGTAAAAATACTCCTAAAATTGGCGCTGCAAATGCACCAAAGATTTGTATAATTATCTGAACAAAATCAAGGAGAAAAACAATCAATAACAATTGACATCTCATTTATACGAACTGTAATTATGTTACTTTTCATGTAAGAAACAGCAAATGCCATAGCAACTGTTACACAGCCCAGTATTACAGCTACATGATTGACAACATAATAGATTCCTAATATAATCTGTCAAACTTACACAACAATTTCGATAAAAGGACTTGTTGTTTATTCGATATTGAACTTTGTTTATTTGATATTCGTTTATAAATATCTTCAAAAATAACTGTTGCCATACTGTTGACTCCGCTTGAAAATGTACTTAATGTTGCACTTAATACGCATGAAATAAAAAGACCTGTTAAACCAGGGAATCGTCCTAAAGTTTCTATGACAAATAATGGATATAACTAAAACGATATGTTTTAAGTTTCAAATTTTATCTGTTATTTATATTTTACTTGATCCAGCCTTGATATCAAATTAGCACGAAGTGGATCACATTGATGATATTTTGCATACAATAAACATCCGACACATAAAAAAAGACTTAGCATGAAAACATTAATTGCATAATTCATCCAAGCGACTCTTAACATAACAATTTTTCAAAAAAACAAAAATTATTTTTCACACAAAGCTAAAAATCATACTTCTGTGCTGATCTTTTGTCTTTAACGCACATATATCTTTGTGCTTGAGTTTGAATGCATGCATATTGAGCTGTACTAGAAAATGTATTACCTATTAAAATACTCCAAATAGTATAACGAATAGATGGATCAAATGTAAAACTAAAAATAGAATAATATTCGAATTAAATTAAAGAATTTGTATAAAAAAAAGAACAAAGCAACTATACATACACTGTGAATTGTAATCGATTTCCATTTTTTACTGTTTCAAACACTTTTGATATTCCGCCAGCATCAATTACACCTTTAATTTTGTTTCATTTAAAAAACTTGCAAAAGAAAATTTTTTTCCTAAAATACCTACCGAAAATAATTGATAAAATAAGCCCAATAAACATAACAGATGCTTGTACAACATCAGTCCAAATAACAGCTTTCATTCCACCCTGAAATTCGATTTTACAACTAAAAGGCGGAACACAATTTTAAATAATTTTACAATACTCGTGTAAATAGTACAAATCAAACCACATGATCCAACTGAAAGCCATATATTTAATCCGGTAACTTGACTCAAAGCTAAACTTGGTCCATAAATTATCACAGCCATATAAAGAATCTTCACACGTTTTTTTAATAACAAAATAAAGTAGAACACTAATGAAATTTTCACTTACGGTAACTAATAAAAAACTGCATGTTACCATTATACGAATTGTTAGAGAGAAACGTTGTTCAAGATACTAATATTTATTTAAAAAAAATCTTATTCGAATTTATATCTAATTTTTTTAACCACTTACCGCATAAATACTAGCATTTCCAATCTGATGAAATTTAGGTACGAAAAATTTCATTGTTACATACGTGGCTATTAGCCATGAAAATGCTTTTCAATGAAACAATTATAAAAGATTTCATTGATATTGAAATAAGTCGTGTATTACATACTACAATACATAAACATTGTACCATAGTAATAGGTTTCGACTGGCATTCCAAGAAATGATGCTGCCGATGTAAGACTTGCTACAAGGCTCATCGCTGTTGGGAAAATCTGTTTGAATAAACGAGAAATATTTCATGGAGATATTTGTTTTTTGAAATAAAATTACTCTCATTTGACCACTAGCAACAAGAAATTCTTTTGTTGATGTTTGCTTTGATTTAAAACAACCTTGATAAAGTCCAATACCAGCCGAGAAAACTTTGATGATAATTATATATTAAATAAAGAGCTTTTTCGGTTTATCAAAGACCATCTTGTTCATCAAGACTTACTGAATAGTAAAACTAGAACTGCATAATCAATCCAACCGAGATACATCGTAAATGATTAATTACAATCTAAAGCAACAATAAACCTTTTTCTTCTAAACATTTTACGTTACTATTTGCTGGTGGACTTATTCATTCTAAAGTTTTATAGTAAATGTCTCTAGCTATGAAACAGTTATATTTAGTATACTATTTTTTGCTTTGTTCTTATCGGTTCTTGTCGATTATTTATTTTGTTTGCTTATTAATATCGTAGAGACATACAGTGAGAAAGAGTACAGATGAAATAGTACTTGTCATGAGATAATTTTAAAATGTATGCTTACAATTGAAATATATCAAAATATTTATCATTTAAAAAGAAAATTCAGATGAAACTTCGTTTTTATTTTATCAAAATTTAATATGTGATACCTTTAAGAATACATCGATAGAATATCCAAACCAACCTGCTTCATTTCATGATTACTCAAATAAGTAGATTATATGATTGAGTATTGTTTCTACTTGTTTTATATTGATTTTGTCCATTCTTTGACAGTTTTCCATTTAGCGTTCCTGGTGTCTTATGATAGTTATCGTTTTCTTGTCGAAGAATTTTATGTTTTATTTTACAAGTTTGTGTTGCCCTAGTAATGCTTGCATAGTTTCTATTAAGATTATATTCTTGGAGTTTGTGAAAGACCTATGTTACATGAAGCTACTTGCTAGCGATACCTTATTTTTATTTAATACGAGATGACGCTTTGTGAAAGCAAGTATTATGATTTGAAATATGAAAACATGAATAAAAAAAATATGAGAATAGTAACAAGAAAAAATCTAACAATAACAATATCTGGTCGGATAATTTCAATAGGAGTCTTTGCAAAAATAGAGACGTTAAAGCAGCCGATAATAATCACAATTAAAATTTAATCTTCGAAAATTATGCTTGTAGGTTTGATCATCGGGTTAAAATCGACTTTTTCTTGTTTAATAAACAGAAGATGTTGAAGGTGTAAGTTATAAATGAAACGATTTTCCGCATGCGCTAGATGACGCGATGTAATGGATTTAACACTCAAGTTTTGACATCAATGATGCTTGTCTTTTTTAGAAAACGATTCATTCGTAAAGATTACACGAAACGCGCTTCTGCGTGCATATTGTTCTGACAATTTTTATTCGAAAAATAGCATATGTTTGCATAAAAGATACTTCAGTTCTTTCATTCACCGCCACGATAGAATTTTTTATCTACGCTTACAACGATCAAGTTAGTGCAAAATTCCATGAAAATAAATGTGGTGAAGCACCTCAGATGTTATTTCAGTGACAAATACGCAAAAGATTTTGATGGAACAACTAATAAGATTGTTTAGTTATAGAAAAAAAATCTCGTGTTTTTAATCAAAGTTGATAATTATATTCTAAAACCTTTTGGAAATTATTGCTTCCTGTTACTCAAACATGGAGACTGATCTGTATTTGTTGATTTGATGAAAGAATGTAAATTTGTTCTAAATAAGATCTAATATCAATCTAGTGAAATATTTATCATAACTTGAAAGAATTATATGGCAACAGTCTGTTTCCAGAAGAATAGAACACCGAATGAAAAAACTATTCAAAATATTTTCTATGAGTTTGTTAAATTTTCTATGCACACTAATGATGGCAGGCCCTATTTTCATTCATATTTCTGATCCACAAAATGATATCATCCTTCTCTACACATGCACACATGCCAATATTTTTCCTCTTTTGAAGAGCTTTTACAAACTCACCGTTTTTAGGCACTAATTTATTTAATGAAATATCTATATATGTTGCAGTGCTATATTTTATAGAAGAAATAAACTACAGAATAATGTTATATTTTATATTCAGTGCCTGTTTTCATTTGTGCTCCGAATGATTTCCAAATCTGCATCAAAACAGTAGTATGCTTCCGATCTACACCTATTACCAAATGTAAGGAAATAAAACACGTGGAGTGTCACGTTCGAATTTTTTCCAATCATCACCATGTTTCTTGCTATGATAACCTGCTAAATCTGGTACACTGAGCTTCGCAAAGTAACATAGATCGCAGATGAATTGAAAAGCTCCCAACCAGTAACTTCCGCTAGTTAGAGCTAGGGATGCAACGGTGACGGTAACCGGTTCAGCGGTAACGGGTGCATCTGAATGTATTGTTGACACAAAGCACAGATGTAAATGATATTATTGTAAATGAAAATTAGTTCTTATAGTTATGTAATACGATATAACTGAAATTTTCAGTGTTTAAATTCATCGATGACTAGTACTCATCCCGAGTCTAGTTTTAATTCTTTACTTGATCTATTACTCTGTTTCTAATTCAATTTTACTCTGACTCTTAAAAAAGGGTATTTTTCACATAGTAAGTGTTTGAAAATTGCGTAAGTTTAATCATTACACGAACACTGCTAAAACATGGATATGCGTGCGCGTTGTCAGATACTTTTTTCATTTCGATAAACACATACAGTACTATCTCCAGTTTGGACTCTCAAATTATATACATTTTTCAGCAACCTTAAACTTCCATTCTCATGTATAAATTATCTAGACAATATTAAACAAAAAACTTTAAAACTAAAAACTAGCGATCTTTTAAATATATATTCTAACTTATTTAGAGTCGTATACAACATGGAATAAGAGAATCATAATACTGATAATCTTGTATAGTATTAACCTTTAATGGTTTTGAAACAACTTAAATTCTTTATCGACATTGAAATTCAGAATGGTTGTGCAACACGATCATCCTTAGCATAAAAGTGCAAGTCATCTTATGGTACGTAGTAGTTCAACTATGAGTGCATATATACGTATATAACGTCTGTAAATGAGTACTCAATGCAGTTAAATCTCCTATATATCAGCTCCACTATCAGCAATTCTTAAGAAGATATCTGAAAAAAAGAGAAATGGCCAGCGCCATTAATATATCCTCAACTTAAAATTTTGACTTTGAATAATTACATTTGTGGTAGCTAAAGTACTGTTGAAGCCATGGGAGACCAAAACTAAGTGTGGCCATTAGCAAGTAGTTCCGCTAGTTTAGTACGCCCGGTTACCGAAATAGACCGGTTACTGGTTACCGGTGAACCGGTGATACACCGTCACCGTTGCATCCATACTCGAGATTGAAGATGTGAAGAAAGTATGTGACATTCGGTCAAGTTACCCAACTATAGTTTTTCATATTTTTCTTGACAAAAATTATTCACAATCATAAAACTTGAATAAGCAAGCACAATAAAAAGCACGTTGATGCATGCGAGAATTACTTTTCATCAAGAAAATCAAGTTTATATATGATAGTTCATAGGTAATTATTTCTACTGATTTGATGACCATCAGAAGATTATTTTCTCATTTGATAGGAAGTTTCTGACTGATGTTGATTCTTTCCGAATGACAGAAGACCTTGTCTATGTGATGATGAAGGCAAACTGGCACGAGTGATGAAAATTCGTTATTGAATGTACCGAGACGACTTCTTTAAAAAAAATCGAAGAAACATATATTAATCAAAATACAACGAATACAGGCTTACTGCGTAAAATACGAGACAGATAAATTTGAATTATGCTGATAAGAATAAAGAGAACGATCAATATTCATTTCGACGTTGATTTTGTCATCAGACAGAAATATTGGATTTTTAATCACTGGACAAGGTACATTTGAGTAACCGCTAACGAAGGTGGTCAGATGAGTAGAGAAACATTGGGTTTGAGTATGATTTGTCTTGGGTCCGACCTATATCGGATTCATTCAAGATAATGATAAATGAAACGAAAGAACTTACCAATAAGCCTTCTGATTGCCAGTTATTATTTGGATCGAGATAGTAACATCCCGAAGTGAACGTACGAAGTTCATAGTCAGACGAGAACTTGAATGACTGATCAAATATTGGGGGTGCTGATGTATTATTCGAGCACAGTTCGGTATTGTTTAGCTCACGTAGGCCAACGGTTACAGATCGATGTTTGGCTGTGCGATTATTATCAATAAAGTATCTGTGAATGCCATCGTCGGTTATGTCTGAAATTTGAATATTGATTTAGATGAAGAAAAAATCAACACACTTACTCGAAGAACAGAATAAATACCAATCATCGATGTCCTTGATTGCAGTATTCAATTGAGGTGGACCATCAAACTTGAAAATGAACAAATAGTTAAGATTTCGATTTTGAGGGCGTATTTCAAAATGCAAAGAAACAGTCAGATTTTCATTTGGTTGAGCAATGTCAATCAAATGAAAATAGAACTGTTGATTGGGAATATGTATTGACGTGACATTGAACAATTTCATGTCTGGTATTGTTAAATTGGGATCTCGAGGAATAATGAGTTCAATTGGATGTGTATAATTGGCCTGAATTTGAATTTCCATGCCATTGAAGTCAAACGCTGAAAGCGAAATCATCGTTGACAAACTATTATTAACTTGAGAACCACTAGCACTAGCTATTGCAAGCGGTTGCACCATTGACTAAAAATGTCTTCATCAATACAAGTTGAAAGTGAGACAAAAATAACTCACACGAAGTGATATTCGTTCACTAGAATTCAGATTTAAATTTAACGTGGTTGGAAGGCGGATCTGAGCATTCTCAAACGGTACAATCGTTTTATTTAATAAAGAGTCTCGTGGTGCTGCTTCCCAAGCAGTGAACACTGCTGGTGTGTTTATCGTCATATGCTGACCTTCATTCAGATGAACTTTGAGTGTAGCTGCGATCGATTCCAGAGTTGTTTTGACTTCCATTGCTACCTTTTTTGCCTATTCCGTGAAAAAGGAGACATATATGTTATCGTCTGAAAGTTGTCATCACTAATCTTACAGCAAGTTTTTGGTAGTAAATGTTTCTCTCATGTGATGGTTCATCTTTGCTATCGAATGAATCTATAAAAACAAAATTAACAGGAGTAGAGAGAGAGAGGTTGATGTATTTACTTAGATTGGCCCCATCTAACTCAGAGTTAGTGTCATCATTGTTATCTTCTGAGATGCCACCGGAACGGCTTGAGTCTAGTTCGAGTATTTTTCCTCGCTGCTGCAGTGGCATATTAATGGCCTTTCAAAATAAATTGATGACGTTCATGAACAAAAAGTAGATAGAGTTGTCTTACACTTAAAACATTAGTAGCACATGGAATTATCTGATTAGCAATCATTTCAATATCTTCATAGCTAACCTTCGTTGCTCTTTGATTCAAAGCAATGGCTATTTCACGGCATTTGGCCGATGCGAGTTTCTAGATTGTTCTATGTTGTTGGAGTAAAAATGAAAAAAAGAAAAATCCTACACAAGTTTTTCGCGTGAGTTGATTGGTCGCTTGTGTGAGTCGAGCAAGCGACGATGCTTGGAGCAGTAAATGTCCCCATTCAGAGCTGTTCGTATTCGTTACGCTCTCCATAAGGAATTCACGAGTACTGGCATGATCGTTCAATAGTCGCATATATTCCTTAATTGTTGATTCATTCGCAGACTCAGATGACTATTTTTGATAAGGATGAATTATTTTTTGAAAATGAAAACAATAAAGAATGCTTACTCCCTCTATCTTTTGACCTCCTAATGGGGAAATAAAAATGCTGGCTGCAGGCATACCAGCTAGATAAACAAAATAATAAGTGATTAAAGCTAAACGAACAATTTTTGCTTTTTACTTGCGATGGCTGTTGTGATAGTATTATTGGTTATTTGGTTAACAGTTTGCGAGATGGTTGTGACAAGTTGTGCCACTACAGTTGGACTGCTATTATCCAGAAGTTTTTTCAGACTACTATTGCTCGATACAGCACTGTTCTTTGTGGCAGCTGCTTGAATGGCACTAATAAGCTCATTGATGTCATTTGAATTGGTTACTACCGACACGGTTGTAATATTGAGTTCTGTCACGCAATTGCGACTATCTTGAACTTGAACGCTTACAAGGACTGATGATTTATCCCCACTACCAGCAGGTAATAGCAGCTCAAATGTTGACGATGATACTGACCCTGTTGTTGACCCTGTTGTCGAACCGAGCATTACACGATGCCCAATATCAGCTGTCCATGCTAAAAATGCAAGAAAAATGACTATTTGTAATCTAATTCGAACTTTAGATGATCCTATAATTTCGACAGTAAACATATTTTTTTCTCAACTATGAATCAAAGGTAGGATTCTGTAACTGATAAATTTTCTAAAGAAACAAATATGGATGTAATCTATTCGACTTTACCCAGGTTTTTGCAGGAGGACTATATCACAATAAAAGAGTACTAAATGTAATTTAAGGAACAAGAATTAAATGAATAATTGTTTCAATAAACAAGGTATATTAACAGTGGCTAAACTTGTGAAATTGTGCCTACCATAAAAAGAGAAATCTTTGATTTTGTCCGTGTCATTCCAGCCCCAACATGAAATTTTAAACATGGTACTTGTTGTACCGTTGGAAGGATCAATCGAACAATCGCCAGGTCTAGGTGGCTGATTGATTTCGAAATCGAGAGCACTCGAGCTGTTCACATCGTTAAACGTATAAACAACTTCAAAATGCCAAAAGGTTATGTTACTATTTTGCAGGAAGAGCGCATTGCTTGCAGTAAAATTTGCCGTTTCTCTGCCTGAAAGTTATGTATAAACAATATGATCAATAAGATAAATGTACTCACCAAAAAACCAGTTGTCTGGATAATTAGCAATCTCCTTAAATTGAGTGCGATTTTCTCCATCCGACGATTTATTCATAAACCCTTGATGAACAGTCCATTTTATGCTATTTGGTGTTAACGATTCATTGGCAGGTTGCGAGTAGAGTGAAACTTGAGTGCTAGGATTGATGTATTGAAATTCAAGATTCGGCGAACACATCGTTGTGATGACACACCTAGATATAGAGCTCGGTTTTGTGTGTTAATTCATAGAAGTGACGTGAAAGGGGCTTGAGTAAAACGCAACAACTTCAGCGAGTAGAATTCTCACAAGTTGCCTTTCATTCAATATGAGTTTCATCTAATAGGCTCATACTCACGGTAAGTTCTATAACTCACCCTATTATGACCATGTAAGGGCCAGAATCTACAACGCGTACAAACACATAACCGGTGGCTTGCTGACTGGCATTACGAATATGGTCCATTATCACCCTAAATTGATATGTTTGATTCATCGCTAGTGTATTGCGCAAAATGGTTATCGATGATCGTGACCCGTTTGACCCATAGCGCCATGATTTTTCTTTGTCTAAATGAAAATAAAACAAGAACAGAGATGAAAACCAAGAGCACAATCATACTCGGTGAATTGTAAAAGCATGAATTGCTGTCACTATGATTGTCAATGTCTGCCCATTTTCCAATAGCATCATACTGATGGTAGATCCGACAAGAATATTTGTAGTTCCATTCCTAGTAAAACAAACGAAGTTACTGTTCGATAAAACAAGTGTAATTTACGAGTATGTACAGTCGTAGTGCGTAAGAAAAAAAAGTATTTTTATATTTTCATCAATTTGGATTAAAATGTTCAAAACATCAAGAGCTATCTTACAAATGAATGCGTAACGTATTTTACAGTTCATAGTGTTCGTACTTTTGTAAAGTAAAATCAAAAGGATACTTCTACAGTTTGATGCACTGTGTTAATGATATAGAATGATTCAAAGTTGTAAAAACAACTTTTTATTTCAATATCTTCATTCAATTTTGATCTAACAAACTGATCAGTAATGGTGTGTACAGTCAATGTTATACATAATTATCATGAAAGAATCAATAGATACCTATCACGACATATTGGTATTCTTTTTAAAATGGATAGCAACTTGCTCTTTCTGACTTCTATACGTACGTAAAAGCCTTCAGTATAATTCAAATTTGTAGTCACAATAAGTTTTCCCGCTACATCTTCTTTGGGGGTCAGAAACTAGAATAACTTTTGAGCATTTCATGAAGATGTTTCATATAAATTATGTAAATACTATAGGGTGACTTCGTGAGGTACCGAATTGTATACGAACACAACTGATAGAAGTATTACAGGATAACTGAAATAAGTTAAAACGTGAACTAAATCGTGTGCTTACACTTTATGATCAAAGTTAGGTCTACTATACTATATGTTTGACTGTTTGCGATAGCTTTTCGAGAAAGTTCTATAAATCCATTTCTGCACTGACGATTTGAATGTGACTATCACTAATATCTCCAAGAATATTCTAAACATTTTAGTTCGAACGAGTGTAGTGTCTTCGAGATATTCAGTCTCCGAGAAAAAGTATTTTCCAGTAATGAGCAGTCTTTTGTGACTGAATACCTTGAAGCTAGAATATTAGCATAATTATCAATGATGTCTGTAGACAGACATAAATCTTTCAACAGGTCTTCATCTAAGATCCAGATGAAGTATATCATGAATTAATGAAAACAGAGAGACAAAAACAGAAATTGCATGAAATTTCATCGATAATCTTAGTTGATTTCTCAATATTATGTAGCTCACACTTCGGCAGCATACTCGTTCTTACAATACTATTTTGTATATCGGCAAACAGCATGAAAAATATCGTTTCTGTATATGATTTATGATGTACTATGTCTTGGATTAATAAATAATTTGGAATTTCAGTCTACCAATTTGATTGATTAGTATTATCATTGCTAGCTAAAAGTTTGCTGAAACATGAGCTCATAAAAATGCATAGAGAAGCATTTGAGAGTAGTTGAATCATGATCTATGATAGTATTGTGGTGGCTATTTCAACATTATACAGGTACTCTAAAGGGTACTCTCTTGTATAACATAGATTGTATTCGGTTTTCAAAAATTTATGCATGCGATTATTACTTAAAAACAAAAAGTATCACATCACTATAGTATTTTTATGTGATTGGGCCACGAGATACTATTTTTATTCGGTTTTAGTTGACTTCAGAATCTTCAGATCGATAAAATAAGCAATATTTAGACTTATTTTTACTGTTCTTTATCTGCCAGAGACTTCCGGTCATTCCTTTTTGTCTTGGCTTTAAAAATGGCAAGGGCATTCGAAATCAGCGATCGAATTATGAAAACACATAAGCTACTATGAATTTTCGGAATACATTATTAGAGCGTGGCTGTCAGAATTGTTTGTTCAAGCACTCATCAGCTTTTATAAGGATATGCTTTTTGATCGCACTATATCCTGAAAGTTGATATTGTGCATATGACAGAAAGAAATGAAGAGCATGGAATTGCTGCAGCAGCAGTCAATGCTAAAAGTTATAATATAGGTAGACTTACAGTTGCGTTCAATTTGTCGTTTTCGTCGTCAGGATCACCAGAGTACTGACCTGGATCGAGTATCAGATCATGTTGAAAGCCATGAGTAACCATAGAAGTTCCAAGTTTGATCAGATTAGCAGTGATTCCAGACGGATTGACCATGACATAAGTTATTTCTGATTTACGAATTGGAGTGGTCTCCACTATCGTTACAGTGAGATTAAATGCGTAGAGACCGTACTCCAGGGCTCTAGCACGTACAAGTAATTCATTGGACCTCTTGACAATCGAAGCAGGCAAGGGCTTCCACGACGAACATCCACCGGTACAATTGGCTATCGTCCAATCCGTTGTCATTGACAGATTTTCACAATGTCGATTGATAGTTGCACTGATGTAGAAGTCTTGACTTCGGCGAACTGGAAGAGGCGTTATAGAAGTTGTTATTCCGGTACTCATTGAAATGTCAATATAGCCACAACCTAGAAAAAAAACGATGAAAGACACGCAAGAAAACTAGTACATAAACGCTTTTCTATTGGATTAGCTCTACTCTCTATCGATTGACTTGGCGAATCATGCAAGGGTGCTCAGAATGTTAGCACTCATCGCCATACATGGAACCTATATACCCGCCGGTCTATCGATTCCATTTATACACTGTACACTTTAGTTAAGAATAGTATGCACTCTATAAAAATATGAGAGATCACTGGAACGTGTCTTCAAATTATCAATGATAAATATCATTAGTTTAAATATTTTCAGATAACGTTCAAACATAATTTGGCATCACTAACAAGGAATATACAAAAGAACAATGAAAGTAATATCAAATTATTCTCATATAGCAGTACTAGATGTTACATAATAATATTATAGCAAAAAAATAAAACTTCAACATGAACTAGGTCTGTTTGATGAGTTGTAGTCAGAATTTCCAATGAATAATATGACCTATTTATATTGATCACATCCAAAGTGTATCCGTTGAATTTAAATGAAAGGATAGAAAAATATATTCAAACATATTAAGTGTGGCCATAGGCGGCGGACCCATTAGGCTTGGGGAGGCTCAAGCCTCCCCTAAAAAACGGAGAAGAAGGCTTAGGGAGGCTTATTTAATTTGAAAAAAAGTTGTAGATCTCATCTTTAATGTAGAAACGATTGGCAAAATTTCGATCAATTGTTCTTTAATACTTACTCTATTGCTCATGAAAATTAACAGAATGATAAAAAAACCTGCTAAAAAAAGACACATACGACACAGAACCTTGATGAGCGACAAGTATCGCACGCATTTTTAAAATGTATGCTAGGGTGATCAGTAGAAAATGTTTTTTTGGTTATATTTAGTGTTTTTTATCTTTGTTTTTGTTTGCTCTACTCTCCTGAAATTTGTTTTAGGATTTTTGCGTTCTTATTGATCATTTTCTGAAACATAAATATTACAGTAATATTTTTCATTATTTTACAAGTTTTGAGAAAAGTAGAATCATAAGTAAATTATCAACAGACCACCTATTAGTACCAAATTATTTTTGTTTTTAATTTCACATCTCATCATCTGGAAAAATATGAGCTTCCCCTAGATTGAAATCGTTCCGCCGCCGTTGGATGTGGCTTTAAAATGTACAACCGAATGAGTTTTAATTAAAGCCCAACATTAATACTCCTGCAAATTCATGTGTGTTGTGTAGTAGAAAACGTTTTTTTTGGCGAGTTTATATTGTATTAATTTAGATGGTTCAGTTAAACTGTTGTTACACGCCTTACCAAGAGTTAAAAACTCGTAAAATTCTCATACATTTTAAGTCCTCAATGTCTCGATATTAAAAAAGAATACATACTTATTTCTACTCAAGTTCGTGGGTGCTAGTGCTGTCATTCTTTTCTCTCAGATTTACTTTTTCTTTCTTATATGTAATTCACTTTCCATAGAATTGTCTTGTGCAACCGATTTGTTCTCTGTACGAAATAACTTGTAAAGTTAAAAACATCAAATATGTGTAATACTATAACAGCTTGATCAACTGCGTGGTCTGCCTAGAGAAGTATGCAGTGGAAGCAATTCTTGAAAATTCAGCTAGGAAATGAGATTAAGTAAGATAATATACAAATTTGGTAGTTGCATAGCAATCTATGCTACTCATTAAATAAATTAGCTTAGAATGACATTCAAGTATAGCTTAAAAATTGATATATGATGATTTTATCTAGATCTCAATCCATTTGAAATAAAAATCATATAGAATAATTCAAATATGAGTAAAACTAATAATGCATAGTGCCGAATTAATAGTAAATTGTCCAAGAGTCACTAATACCTCTGAATATTTGCTTCATTTTAATACATTTTCCGCGATCAAATATTTTTTTATGAAGTCTTAAAAATAATAGCATTGAGATAGGTAGAAGAAAATTGGGTTTATCATTATAGATACATGTTTACTAATTTTAAAATGTCAGGGAATAACCTTGCTCTTTACCATTCTTACTATTGAAAATGTTGTTTATAAATCATATGCTTCATAAATCAACAATCAACACTGTATATTTTATGAAAACGTCCTATGAGCGTGGACTCATATTAAATCGTCAACAGGATTTTCATATCAGGTTATCTTTTATAATGGATTAATCCATAAAAATTATTTTTGAGACATACCGCAAGTGTTATTTCCCAGATTGAATTTTTGAATTCGATTATTGCCTACATCACTGACAAAGATATTGCCATAACTGTCGAAAGCAATAGCAGTTGGCCTATATAACTTGTCAGGCGTGGAGCCTCGACTCTCCAAACATCCAGCTACACAGCGAAATCCGACAGATTTCCTTCCAATAATTCTATGATTGCCCCGATCAACGATGAATAGAAAACCATTGGCATCCAACGTGACACCTACTGGACATTTAAGTTGATAGTTTGAATCTACCACCTTGCCTGCCACAGTTGTTCCGATCGAATTGTTATATTGAAACTTTTGAACTCTGTCATTTCCACAGTCTGCTACATACAGATTGAGTTCACTATCAACGAAAATTCCGTAAGGTTGATTAAGCATGTGTGCCGCCTCACCAGCTGTGCCGTTACCAGCAACAGTCATCGGTTGGGTTAGGCTATTGTTAGTTGGCCCAGCCACTACTATATGTCTACTGCGCATGGAGCAGTAGACAATATTTCTACTGTCGACGAAAAGTCCGCTGCATTGTGCACTGACATTCATCACCGTATCACTACTGTTCGTATTTGCTACCCATTTATCGACTCCACCGCTCCAGCCATTGTCAACATAAATATCATTGTTCCTTGTGACGAATAGACTGAGTGGCCATCTCCAATCACCGGAGATGTTTTGTGTTAAATCTATACCATTGTTGGACCTAACAAGAACATTACTTTTAGTGTGTGGAGCCACATAGACTTTGCTATTGATATCGACAAAAAGACTCTGAGTCCAAGTGCCCAGTGTATTGTTATCAGCGAGTGTTATGCCATTTGAATTCCAAAATGCACATGCAGATAAATTTGGTTGATGAAATGATACACCTATAAATTCAGCGACATGCTTTTAAATTATGAAGACAATGAAAAATTACAAACTTAATGATTTTTCGAAACGAATTACTGTCAAAATTTGTAACTATGATTATGTTTATGAAGATGAAAATACATCTGTGTTCATTTTTATCAAATGTATGCACCTTTTCCCTTGTAACGAGATGAAACAATATCAATGAAAAGCTGTATTATACAGGAAAAACAGTGATTGACACAGTTTTCATTCATGCAAAAAATAGTCATTTCTAGAGAAACTCGCGGTGTTTATTTTGATATTTTAGTCTTACATTCTACAAGGAATGAATCCATTACTACAAGAAAATTTGTTGGGTTATTGAAGAAAGAGGTAATTCATTATGCGTAGCTATTTATACACGCAAGTACCTAGTATTTCGATTTTCATCATCGAAAAGGTCGTTGGCAGAATGAAAACGCCGAAGTCAGATAGTAGTTCAAGAATGGTTGTCCATTAATTATTCATGTCTGCTCGATTTTTATATCAAAATATTGGCAGATAAAAGGAATTTCAACTAGCCAAGTAAAAGTCTCATTTTTATCGTATCTAACAGAGAGTATTCAGAATTGGTGCCTTCGAAAACAATTGTAATTTCTAGAGCTCCAACGACCTCCTCTTCACTTATAAACAACTTGTGTCACTGTTTGATCAAGCGTTTTTCAAGCAAGAGTAACTATGGACTCATGAAACGAAGGAAGGCATCGATGAGGAGAACTAATTTATCCACTGTCGATGGTATTCAAGAAAAATTGAATGATAACTATCTAAAAAACGGATACAGCAATCCATAAAGAAGAGAACTGGACTAAATCAACTGCTTTGCTTTATTTTCAGAATTATTAGAATGTATGGAATGAAATACAAGAAAAGTCATTTGAAATCATAGATAGGAATTTCAGTGGCAATCAGCAAAACAACTTTCTACAGCAACTCAGCATTCTCAAATGAAATTCCTCGTTTTCTTTTGCATTGAGAAGACTTTTTATTGCGACCGGTTCTTGACCGAAATTGTGTTTTTCTCCAAGAAACCCATATTACATGATTATCCAAGTAAAGAAACCTGTTTATGTGATATACTATAATGCAACTAACATCATCAGATATATGCAGCTATAGACTAGTAATATTTAACCAAAGACTCCATTTTGTTTAGCTAAAGAAATATTAGAGAATATGAGCATGTTTGATATGTGTAGATCTGAGATAGTTCTTGATTGAAGCTAGCTCTACCCGAGGAAGATTTTCATACTCTATCAGTTTAATGATGTCAGAGCATCTTAGTATCATAGATGACGCCAGATCAGGACTACAGTCCTGTTTCTAAAAGATAAAATCTTTTGTCTTATTTTAGTTTCTGCGAATCATAATAAAATAAATACTATAGCGGTAACGAAATACATTATCATTTTTGCTACATGGGGCATGCGTAGCCTCACTTTAAAATGAATTGGCTGCATGCAACACATATCTAGATTCACAAATAAATTAGAAGGCAAATAAAATCGGTACACACAATTTTATTCAACCAATGCTCGCTTGGGTTTCATCCAGGATTTCTGGTTATGTTAGATCTCAGCTTCGGAGCATAGGACCTAAAGGGAACTTATGGGGGGTGGGGGGGATATTGGAACTCACTGATGAGGTTTCATGAAAATCATTTTGTCATTGGAGTTTGCGAAAATAAAATAATAGTTTTGCTTGCCCTCCTGAAAAAGTTTTTTAACCTTTCGTAGTTTTCCACTTTTTATAATTTCATAGTAAGCTACATCGAATTTCATGGAAAAATAAGCATCCGTTCAGGAGTTATAAAGTTTTGAAATTTGTTGGAATGCTCAAAAATTTTAGCAAAATCTGAAAACATTATAACTCGAGCAGTCATCCTATTCCGCAATGTTGAACATTCTGGAACCAGTTCCACCAATTTCGGAATCAAGTCAAGCCTGAACACTGTCCGATTCCGGAATTAGTTCGTCCAATTCCAGGAATTGCACAGAATTCAGTCCAATTCGGAATTACAACTTGCATAACTATTCTAGCTTCTCTTACCCATCTCGTGATGATCCGATTCCGGTCCGAAATTAGGTGAAAGCGGAATCGTTGGGAATTTGACGGAATTCCGTTCAATTCCTGTTCGATCTAATTCCCGGAATTCCATAAATGAATTGCAGTGTGTGGGTGCTAATGTAAGTGTTGCTATAAGTGTGGGTGTAGATGCCAGTGCGGGTGCACTGAATTCCGGAATCGATGGGAATTGGGCGGAATCCCGAGGAATTCCGTGTGACTCCGGAATTGAGTCGGAGGGGGCAAACAGAATTCCGGGAATCAGATGGAATAGGTAGGCAGTGATTCCGGAATTGTGTTGGAAGTGATAAACGGAATCGCCGGAATTAGATGGAATGGGTTCTGTCAGTGGAACTGGTTCTGGAATGTTCAATATTGCGGAATAGGATGTATTCTCTATAACCCCTGAATGGATGCTTATTTTTCGATGAAATTCGATGTAGCTTACAATGAAATTCTAACAAGTAGAACACTACGAAAAGTAAAAGAACTTTCCTAGGAGGGTAAGCAAAAGATTATTTTGTTTTCACAAACTCCAATAACAAAATGATTTTCATGAAACTTCATCATTGAGCTCCAATATGCCCCCCTCATAAGTTCCACTTAGGTCCCATGCTTCGAAGCTGAGATCTAACGTACCCAGAACTTCTAGATAGAACACTGATGCTCGCTATATATAACTGTTTCGAATTTTACCGAATGCTTGATTGATGATCACTAGTGTTAAGAACCATGTCATGAAGCTTTTAATGTGCGACATTTTGAACAAATGATTGTTTTCTTGGCCACGTCGTTGAATATTGATGTTAGATGATAAAAAGCAACAGAAGCTCAAATGTTACTAGCATTCTGAATTTCTTCGCTAAATAGCTATGATTAAAATTTTGAATAGGTTTTTATTTTTTAGCCCCCTCAATCTCTAATGTTACTGATATTTGATCAGGTCACAAACAAAAAAGATTTTTCTAGAGAGAAAGAGAACCAACAAAATTAAATTAGTAAATAACAATGAGAAATCAGTAAAAATATGTTAGAATAACGTCGAATGCAGGCGCATTTTCAAAGGCTATTCGGATAAGACAAGTGGCAACTTTTTCATCTACATTAACTCTGCTTAATTCAAATCTTTAAAGAAGAACGAATCTAACAACATTATAGTACATAGAGAATATGAACAAGAAAGGGCAATCAAAACGTCTTGTAGATTGATGAGAGTTGAAAAACTGAATTGAACTTGTTTTTGTCTCAGTTCAGATTGGCTATGAATTGTATGTTATATAAGCACTATAAGTTTTATCTTTTATTTTTGACATTTTCCTCAAAGAAAGACCGAATATTCATCAAATAGTCCATAAAATATGTTCCATTATGAAAATTTTGAACATGTCAGGAAAATATGATATTATAACTTTTTCTGCCTCGTCTCATGTGAAGACGTGAAAAAACTCTGAAAATATGCCAACTCAATATATACAAAACGTGACGGGCTGATACTAGGATAATATGATAGAAAAATGTTTATAGATCGTGATGTATTAACTTTTTACAATTGCATTACGATTGTTTGAGTTTAACTCTAGCTCGGACTCAAATTTTCACGCGCAAAACATCACGTAAAAATGAAAAATAATGAGTTTAACATTGGCAACCAGGCTACACTGCAGCTGTGTACGTGCAGTTGTTGGTCTCGAATAATCATATACCGGGATTCAACTTAAATTGAACAGCTAGGATTCAGTATGATTGTGAGTTATGTTAACTTTGTTTCTGTTGATAACGTTGTGATGCGATACGGTTCTAGAAGCATCAGTGTTTTGTTCTAGTCTTTGTTAATGGTGTAAAGAAAGCTATCATACTTCTTATTATTGATATCTACGGAGTGGGTGTTTCAGCAAGGCTTTTTCTTATTTTAACTCCGCCCTTACGCCTACTCCCTTAGGTCTACAGCCACCGTTGGATCTGTAATGCTACTCCGCAAGTTTGTCAATGAACATCTCAAATAAAATATAAATAAGAATACGAAGAAAATTATTGATCTCCAACTTTCAATAAACCGTGAAGGTTTTTTAATATGATCATTGGAAATCTTAAAATTATAGCAAAATCAATTGATAAACTGATTTTGATTGTTGAACAAATTAAAATATACACGCATTTAAATAAAGAAAGTTAACTATTTCCAAGCATTAATTTTTCTGGAGCAAATATTGTAAAAAAAAACTGAATTTGGGATACAGATTTATTTTACTCAATACGAATCCAGTAAATTATGAGGGACTTAAGCAATTATATTATATCTATTGAATGAAAAGTCATTACAAACAACCATACCATGCAGTAATTCATAAAAATCAGTAGTCTGCTTTTTCTCTCTTTTACTCATCTAATTATTTCAATTCTTGTATGTTGATTGGATTCAAGTAAAGGTTCATCAATTTGAAACACAACATGAAAAGATCTTGGTGGAAAATGTCGAAAGTGGAAAATGTCGAAAGAGGAAAATAGCGAAAATTTCAATCGAGGAAAACGTCGAAGAGGAAAATATCGAAAAGGAGAATGCCGAAAAGGAAAATGCCGAAGAGGAAAATGTCGAAAAAGACGAAAGAAAAAGAGCACTTAAGTGAGTTGAAGAAATTTTCGACATTTTCCTTTTCGCTGTTTTCCTCTTCTACATTTTCCTCTCTCTTAGTTCTTCTTTCGACATTTTCCTACTTCGAGTTTCTTTCGACATTTTCCCCTTTCGGCATTTTCCACTATCCCCTTTCATTTATCTGTCTTTTTTAATATTACTGATTATTGTTAAAACCTTTCTTATTGATTATTATATAGGTCTTTTTTATCGATTCTTAAAATCTTTACTATCGATTATCATCAAGTTTCTCATGGATTAATAGAACCCTAATTCACTCTCCCCCGACGACTCCCCGGGGATTTCTCCGGGGAAAATTAATGAAATTTTTTAAAATAAAAAAAAAACTTTTCAATTTTTTTAAATTTTAAAAAATTATTTCTTTCGACATTTTCCTACTTCGAGTTTCTTTCGACATTTTCCTACTTCGAGTTTCTTTCGACATTTTCCTACTTCGAGTTTCTTTCGACATTTTCCCCTTTCGACATTTTCCCCTTTCGGCATTTTCCACTATCCCCCATGAAAATGGCAATGAGTGATAGAATATAGTTTTTCTAAGTTGAAGAAGAAGATATAGGAAAATGTAACAACTACTTGTGAATTATTGTAAATTCATAGTTTATATTGGTCGTATGATATTTCAATAGAATAAGCATTTGGCATATTTTCATACTTTCAATACACATGGGCATCAAAATCATACGCTTCGATAGGCTCTTTCATACACATAACGTGTCATGAATAATGCCAATGACAGACGTCAAGAGTGTCATTGTATAAAAGTTCAAAAGTAATTTTCTAAAACAAATATAGCATTGATATGGTATCTGAAGTATCTGTTTTGATCGTAGTGATATAACTTCAGTACTTCAATGTAATACTTGACAAGATCAATCATTTGTCACAAGCTATCAATGTCAAATAAAACCATATGTGCATAGCATAGTGGTATGTTTTACATCTGCTAAAGAAGTATATATAAATCCATCCTATCAATTTTCTCATTTCACTCTTTCTCGTTCTTTGTGTGTGCGACATTCACAGTATCGACGTTTGTCATTATAGTACCGAGAAGAATCGAAAAAATTGAATTAAATTGAAAACTATTTGATTATATATAATGATGTGGTCTATGTTGTTATTTATGCCGTCGATATGGGTTTTGGTTCGTTCTCAATTGAATTTGTATCACACGGCACACTCTCATTATATAGGTAGCTTAGACCACGATTGTTTATATTATTATGATATTACATGGGGCGTCACAGAAAAAATTCCGTATTGTATTCGTCCGACTGACATCAATAGTGCACGAAGAAATGCTGTTCCAAACATTTATGATCAAAAGTTCACTTTTGAACAGTTGTATCATTTAAATGTTACTGCACAACAGCTTCTTTCATGGTCCGCTTCCATTAATCTCGCTGAACAATATCATCACTATATTAATCAAGTTGACGCTTCATTTTTATCGAATGAAACCTTTTTGAATTGTACTCAATCGTGGTTTGGATCTGATTGTCAATATTCCTTCGAATTGAATGAGGTAATATCTTTCCATGACATTCTACAGATGATTTTTGAAGCCAAATGGAAATACATAAATTTATCGTATACGGCTACAAATCTTACGTGTTATATGCACTTGAAATGTGACCGCGGCGGTTCTTCGTTGTGTCTTGATTGGCGTGAGATATGCAATGGCCGAATCGATTGTCTTGATGGAGGAGCTGATGAGATAGAATGTTTAGAATTAGAAGTGAATGAATGTCACGAAGACGAATATAGATGCCACAACGGACAATGTATTCCAAAAGAATCTTCGGAACTTGAAGACATTGTTTCAGATTGTCTCGATAATTCAGACATACACGAGGAGGAAAGGTGTTATGGTTTAATATTAATATCTCGATTTGAATGTGAAGAACATTTGTGTCGACCAGATGATGGGCAATTTCCATGTGGTGATGGGCAATGTGTAGAGGATTTTGAAGAATGTCGCAATGGACGGCATATCTTACTAATAGAAACAATCAGTGCTCAAGGAACTTTGCCGGACTATTGTTGGATGACTATGGTATGTCTGACTAAAATTAGTGATCAAGTTGCTGGAATTTCTTGTAAGGAATATTTCGCATCATCGTATTCTAGCGCTCATCGTTTCACGTGTGAATCACTCATTCAATTTCCTATAATTCCTGTTCTTCAAAGCCACATCCACTTTCTATATCGTCCGAAAGATATCTATAATGTAAACATCGAATCAGTTCTTACACCTGATTATATTTGCTATGATTATCATTTATGTAAATTTCTTCAAACGACATTCCGCAATAGAAACCATACTTGTCGACATGCTCATGAAATGGGTTTCAGGCCAAATATAACATTTGACAGTTGGAAATCTATGATTGATTTTATTACACCACATTTCCGTGGTTGCTTGACAAGATATAAAATGGAAAATGATTCCGAACCAATTTCACTGTACCGTTGCAAAAATTCATCCAAATACATTTCGAAACATCGCATTATTGATGGCATTTCAGATTGTTATTTAAATGACGACGAACAAGAATACGCACTAAGTTGCTCTATTCAAAATAAGTTTCGTTTTCAATGTTTCAATGAAACCATGTGTCGTTCGCCTTTGATCTCGAAGAATGTATGTCCTTTCAGGAAAAGAACTGATCTAGAGGAAATCACTTTCCAAGAAATATGTGACCGAAATGAACAATTATCGCCTGTAATAATTGATTCACGTATTCATACCGACGAGACAGACTGTCAGCATTGGCAATGCAACAATATTTATACGAGATGTGACAAATTCTGGAGTTGCTCTGATGGAATCGATGAAGAGAACTGTACTCGACCGATTTGCTCTCATAGTAACCTTCCGTGTGTCTCTCCATTCAATTATACGTTAGGATGTTTATCGGCGGATAGAGTTCATGATGGAATCGTAGACTGTCTTGGTGCTGCAGATGAGCTTCAATATTGTCGAACACAAAGCCATGCATTCGGCATCTATCACGGATTTCGTTGTTTGAACGATACAAAATGTGTGGGATCTGCTTATTTGTGCGATTCCTATACACATTGTCTACACAATGATGATGAAGCGTTTTGCGGAGAACGTCGTCGAATATGTGACAAAAATATGATTCTTAACCGTACGAATCTCGAGCATGCTCTTTGTGCCTTTAGTGATCTAAAACAGACGAGTGTTTTTTCGTTTGAAACTTTGTCTAGTTATCCTTCTTCTAGCAAGGCAATGATAAATCGCGTTGCTAAATTGTTACCTGAGCAACCAGACACCATAAATAATACCAAATATAAGATCATCAATTCTTCTCTAGCATGGTTTTGCAATCATGGTATCTATGTGCGTTTTCGACTCAATGGTCAATATAGTAACGTTACTTATAGATGTTTTTGTCCACCGCATTTCTATGGCGATCGATGTCAATATCAGAATCAAAGAGTTAGTCTCACCTTGAAATTGATGGCATTTGATCGACGTGAGATTTATATAATTTTTATCTTCTTGATCGATGATGATGGTGATCGACAAGAAATAAATTCATATGATCAATCTACTTATGTCTCTGATATTACTTGCCAAGCATTTTGGAATATCTATCTATTGTATTCGATGCGACCAAAGAACAATTCAAAGAAATATAGTGTTCATATCGACGCATTTGCTAAGAGTTCATTGACTTATTTGGCAAGTTGGTACTTCAAAATCCCTTTTATTTTTCTACCTGTCAATCGACTAGTCGCCGCTTTATCTGTGCCAATTCATCAAAGCTTTAGCTATCATAATTGTCCTCTGTCATGTCATAATGGGGAATGTATGAAATATGTCAACAACAACAAGCTGTTTTGTCGATGTTATAGAGGGTGGTCAGGTGCTCATTGTAACATTTCTATTTCCTGTGATGACTGTTCAGTTGATTCTGTGTGCATTGGTTCAATTCAGAATCGATCCATATGTGTTTGTCCTCTTAACAAATTTGGTTTACGATGTCTCCTTACATATTCTTGTCCAGCAAACTTCTGTAAAAACGAAGGAAAATGTATAGTCATTGATGAAAGAATGATAGAACAAAGTTACCGTTGCATTTGTTCAGAACAATTTACTGGAGATACGTGCGAGGAATTAAAAAATAAGATAATGATTTCCTTTCATCATATGGCGATACCATCACACATTGTGACTCATATCTTAAATTTTTACGATCAATTTCTACCACCAATGGAAATAATGATACCAAAAAAACTGACTATGTTTGAGCGTACTGTAACACTATATTCTCTGTTGCCATTTCAAATAGTTTTTGTCAAGATCGATGACCGTTATTATTTAGCTGTTCTGCAACAATCGGAACAGTCAAACATCTCAACCTCAATTGATTCATCTCAAAGATGTTCCTCAATCAACGAAGTCCTTGATCCTACATCAATAACACTCCCACAAATTCAAAGAGTTAAATACTACCAATTACCATGTCGAACTTATTCTGATCTCAAATGTTTTTTTGATGAATCCTACATGTGTTTATGTACTGCTGAACGCCATGCCAATTGTTTTAAATTTAATCATAATTTGAATCTAACATGCCAACATAATATTCACTGTCAAAATGGTGGTAAATGCTTGCAAGACAATCCTGCATGTCCATCATATACCATATGTGTTTGTAAGGATTGTTTTTTTGGTGACCGTTGCCAATTTTACGCCAAAGGAATTGGATTGACACTCGATGATATATTACGTTTCGAATTAATATCACACTTAGCATACAGTCATCAACCACTATCAGTAAAAATAAGTTCAATATCCACGATCATAATATTCATTGCTGGTTTTATTAATAGCATTCTCGTGTTTCTTGTGTTTCATAGCAAAGGCTCTCGAGAAGTCGGCTGTGGACTCTATCTTCTAGTATCATCGGGCACGTCATTTTTCACAGTGAGCATAATCACAGTCAAGTTCTGGTTTCTTGTTTTCACTCAAGTCAACCTGCCTGTAAATCGAGGGATCCTTCGAGGAGGTTGTAAATTTCTAGAGCCTATTCTCAAAGTTTTTTTGTACATGGATAGCTGGCTTCATGCATGTGTCGCGATTGAGCGAGCAATAACCGTATTTCAAGGTGTAAATTTCAATAAGACAGCGAGTAAACATGTTGCTCGATGGGTGATTAGTTTCTTACCTATTTTTATTGTTGCTACTATTCTTCACGAAATTTTATATCGTGATTTGTTCGATGATAACGAAGAGCAGCGTGCTTGGTGTGTCGTTTATTATTCTCACTCTGTACGAAACTATAATACAGTCATCTCATTTTTTCATTTTCTCGGTCCTTGCTGCGTCAATATTTTGTCGGCTGTATTTATTGTATTATCAGCTACTCATCGTCAACAAGTGGTTAAAACTCATAAAAGCTATATAAAACATCTCCGTGAACAGTTTCATGAACATAAGCAATTAATCGTCAGTCCGATGATTTTGTTCATTTTATCTCTGCCTCGTCTGATCATTTCATTAATATCTGATTGTGTGAAAAAATCTCATTATCCATGGTTATATCTATCGGGCTATTTTTTGTCCTTCGTTCCATCAATAGCCACCTTTCTTGTATTTGTTATACCATCGAATTTGTATAAACGGCGACTCAAAAAGTCGCTAGAACATTTTCAACAACGAATTAATCAATATCGAAATTTTCTTTCTACTTAAACAAAGCTGTGTATTCATGATCGAATAATTGTAAACATTCATTTTTATGCTAATACATTAAAAAATATTCAGCTCAAACGAGTGGTTAACTTTTGCAATGATCTCCTCGTAACAGTGAGTTGTCCTCATTTTTTGAATGATACAGTACACTTATCAAGGCTGTTTTCATGTTTCATATTTTTTAAATAAATATTACATGTTCAACTAATTTTATTTCGAGTATCCTAATCAAAATGATAACTATTGCAAAACACTGGACAATCAAAAAGGCATATTTCAATGATAACGTCATGCGTATCGACTGGAGTTTTTGTAATTACAAGTCAATCACAGTTAAATCTCATCGCTAAATTCATTTTCTATGGTTCATCTTGAATCAATTACATAGCGCGTGAGATATCTCAAAAGAAAAATAGTTGAGATATCGCAAATATTGTTCGCATGATCAGCTTGCACAACACATATGTAACACTCTGTTGCTGATATACTACAGAGAGAAAAGGGTCCAAGGTAGCAGAACACAAAATTGTGCAGAGAACAACATCATAGGTAGAGGAAGAAAGTAAAATGTACTTTTACTTCGCTACTCATTCTTTGGTTTGACTTGAAGAAAACAAAAAAGTTATGTGTAGTTACACACTTGCTTTGTTGTCAAGAAGCACACGTGTTCAATATAGAGGTAACAAAATAAGGAGTCAGATTAGTTTTAAATGATTCGATTACTTCATACGTGTAGTTTTTTTTTTAATTTTCTTGATTGATTACATTCAAAACAGTGATCATATCTACAATAAAAAAAAGACAATTATCATGTTCCCTATTGTAGCCAGTATAATTTGTCTTGTAGTACTAGCCTCTGAAAAATGTCGTAGGTTTGACCTTTTAGGGAAGTGAAATTGAAAATCACGATTACGGTATTTGTTTCCAGCTCTTATATTCACGAAGCAGAAACACACAATAACAATGAAGAGGGTGGGACTAACTTTTTGATACATATGCCACAACTATATGCACACTTAGTTCAGCGAAAACAAAGAGGAGCAACGCTAATAATGACTACTACTAAAAATAATTTAGAGTACAAGAGAAGCTTTGCCAAGAAAGAAAACGATTGCAAATTATTTCTAAACAAGAAATATTATATTGATAGAGGCCTATTACAGATGAATCTTTAGGTACCGGAAAAGCAGTGTTTCAATATAAACTAAATGCATATAATTTACTATGGGTTAGTTCAAAGTCGTTTGATATAAGCCTTTGTGTACAATAGCGTTCATATTCTGAGCAGGACAGATTTGGAGTACATGCAAATTTTGAACAAAAATATTCGAACGAGAATACCTTTGACTTGGTTAGATATTCTTGAAATCATCATGAAAATAATCATGATCTACTGCTTCTAATCACTATACGAAGTAGTGAAGTCGATTGGCTTCATTTCATTTTCATGATACGTGTAGAGATAAAATTCTTTTCCAAAAAAAAAGAATTGTTAGATCTTACTATTATTATTTTAGATGCATTTCAGGTAACAAATTGAGATGGGAAACTGTTCCAGTTCACCAGCAACACAAGTATCGTCGAGTGAGACGCGGCAAGTTGAAGCTGAAAGTCAAAGTAAAGGTGAAAGTGAAGTAAACATAGATTTGAAACATGCTAAACAAGAATTCGAAGCTAAATATGCACAATCATCGAAACAAACGGTTAAAATAGAAGATTTTCAATTGGGAAGAACCCTTGGCACGGGAGCTTTTGGCTACGTCGTATTAGCCAAATATGAAAATAGATCATTGGCATTAAAAATCATGGAAAAACATGTTATTGTCGAACTTGGTCAAGTTGAACATATTTTATCTGAGAAACATATTTTGCAAGCAATCAATTTTCCATTTATCGTCACTTTTATTTGTGCATTCAAGGATAATGCTCATTTGTATTTGGCACTTGAGTTTGCAAGCGGTGGTGAAATGTTTGTTCATTTTAGGTGAGATTGTTTATCAATCATCGATGATATCAACCATAATAATTTGAATATATAATTGTTTTAAACATTTATTTATATAGAAATATGACGCAACTTCCGGAAGATCAAGTACAATTTTACGCTTCACAAATTGTGCTAGCCTTCGAATATTTACATAACTTAAGTGAGTCAAAATTCTTTAGTTATGTCCACATTATGTGTTGTCTTGATTGGTAGATATCATCTATAGAAATTTGAAAGTAGAAGAAATTTTATTTGAAGCTGATGGCTATTTGAAACTAACTGATTTTGGATTAGCAAAAGTTGTGCAAGAACGAACCTACACACTATGTGGAACGCCTGAGGTAACTATCGATGTTAACGCACTTTCTTTGTTTTATCTGTATTATATATTGCTTGATTATTTAAATGTAGTATTTGGCACCTGAGATCATCACAGGCATTGGTTATAATAAAAGTGTCGACTATTGGACATTAGGGATCCTGATATATGAACTTACAGCGGTACAATTTTAGTTCGATCAAGTCTGAACTTTTGATAATATGTTTTTTTTCTGATCAATTATAGGGTGCGACCCCTTTTCATGATGAAGATCCAACGAGAATCTTCAAAAAAATTCTTCAAGGTTCATTCAACATTCCAGGATACTTTGCATCTGATATCAGAGATTTATTAAGTAAACTGCTTCAAACTCGTCCACTACGACGTTATGGTAATTTACAGAATGGCGTAGATGATATTAAAAATCATCCATGGTTTTCTTCGATCAATTGGGAAAGTCTATTGAAGAAGCGTATCAAAGCACCCTATATACCAGAACCTGATAAAGATCATTATGAAACTTATGAAGAAAAAAAATTGATTCATGCCGAAACAGAATTGTATCCGACGGAATTCGATAGTTTTTAGGAGCTTCTAGTTTATTTGTTGTTTCTTCTTCTCTGGTCATTTTTGTTGTTGTTGCTGTCAACAAGATCACACGGTTATGTGTTACAAAAGAAATTTGTTTATCTTGTCGAACATTGCATACACGCAGATATTTCCTAGTGAATGTCTTTAACTATCATTCGCGCTCGTTTGGAAGCAAATTTTCGAATGTAAGTTATCGATAAAACTTTCAAACATTATATTTTCAGTAAAGTTAAAAGAACATTTTTATAGACTTTTTTTTATCGAATGCATTTATTTATCCGCTTTTATTAACCGAACTAGGTTCTTGCTGTATTATGATTTTTCATTCAGAGAATATATTCTACTTCGAAATTCGGATGACTTTAGGAAAATCATAATAGAAGAATTCATGAGTATTTTATTTGCTTCGCGGTCGATTATTTGACATAAACATAGGTATCGATGACTGAAGATTTATTTAAAATATTTTTTTTCTCTAATTTTAAGAACAGCTAAATAAAATGTCTGATGCGAATAGGTTAATGATCATACGTATCGTGATATCTATTAACCGAATCTCGTTGTTTTTCTTCACATCGACAAACTGCAGATAGTCAACAACTGTTAAATTGGTCTACATTACATATTTGGATAATGAAAATGTGTGAATTTCTAATTGAATTGTAGTCTGATGTCTAATTAACTGCATGGCCAATATTCGGCGTGATCAATTCGTTTGCAATTCAACTGGCTGTGAATAATTAAGCGTGAAAAATATTTTTTAGAATGCACAAAAATAAGTAGCTATATAAATAGCTTTGCTCGATACATCAATATAGAAATAGAAAAAATAATACGAATCTATTGGGAGATTTTCCCGAAATCATGACAATTAAATTATTGATACTATTGACGATATTTTCAACAGTGCAACTTATTACCAATATTCATGCAGGTAAGTTAGTCGTAATAAAATTCGAGACAATGAAACAACATCTTTTCATTGTTCTGATTTTTCTCTCTGAAGTTTTCGTTCATCGATCTATAAGAAATACATAAATTATAATCAAAAAAAAAAAAAAAAAATTAGAAACTTCATTGATTCGTGTATTTCTAGCATTGACATATATTTGCAAGATATAGTATAGAAAGTTGTAAGAAAGAGAAAAACTTCATATTCAAAAGCACCAAACCATACATAACGAAAATCGGCTCCAGTTGTTCAATTTCATCAGGGGTTATGTCGATAGCAGTTTTATTTTCTCATTTTCAAATACTAAAATTATAAAACAAATTTATTCGTATATAGTTTCGTCGAAGTATAGCAACTTTTTGGTATTGAAAGGTCAGAATGTAACTGGCAATCGCTATGAAAATCCTTTCTTTGGTATTTCCATAGAGAAACCAAACGATTGGCATTCTAAGAGTTTTTCAGAGATACGTGCTCTACTGAAACTCGTTCAACCGCTGTCTCTGGCTTCAAACAACAAATCACTAGAACAGAAATTCAAAAACAAAATAGAACGTAGTATACCAATTTTCAATTTCGTGAAAAATCGACTCAGCTCGGTTTACAGCAGTGACAACCCAAGTATATTGGTACTTGCTGAAAAATTGGAAGCAGCACCCGATGTGAAAAATAGTTGCGATTATATTATGTATTCCAGAGAAATGTTGCAGAATCCGTTCATGAAACTCACTAGTACTAGCGACTGTCACGACGTTAATCTGAATGGCGAACAATATGGTATGCAAGAACAAAGCGTAAATATATTTAATTCGATAAATATCAATCAAACGCAATATGTTAAATTCACAAACAATGACTTCATTCTGTGTTTCACACTTAATTATTTCAACGATGACACGAAAAACGAGGTTGACAATATCATGCGTACTATTAAGTTTTCAAAAGAGTTATTCCTATGTTAACAGAATCTCTTCTTATTGTCAATAAGTTAGCTTCTCTTTTGCAAAAATGCCAATAATAAATAATGTCATACACATTAGATCATATGCACTGGTAATATATGGACGAAATTGCAAAGATTAAAATCACTTTTTATATTGTGTTTCGCATAAGACGAGTATGCAATCATTGTGAGTTGAGTTATCGGAATATAGAGATTATGTGAGTGAAAAATGTTCAAGATTCGACATCTTAGACTGCATAACCTTCGAAAAAAAAACTTTTAAACGTCGTAACATAATTTTTATGCCTAGTACAAAAGTCAAGTTCTTAGCAAATCTTACAACATTTTCTGACCATAAATTCGGAGAATGTTCAATTGAAAAAAACAGCTGGCTGCATTTTCTCTTGAAGTCGGTCGAAGTTGGTTTTCACTTTCACCACAACAGTAACTTATTTTCGTCAATGGCACAAGTTTTGAATTGATTTCTAGAACTGACAGTATCTTGAAAATCGACTTTTTCGGAATACTTCGAAAATTTTCTCGACTTCCTATTGTATTCATTGAATGTATTTATATATATATATATATGTGAGTATATTTTTCCTAATATGATTGATATAAAAAAAGCATAGACTTCATCAATAAGAATATAGTGAAAATTTTCCATCCATTTATAAAATGCATTTTGTGTTTTATTTTAATAAATCTGCAGAGCAATTCTTTAAAACTAATCTACATTGTTTTGTTTAACAATAAGATATCTCTAACAAAAACTATCACGTCAATCGACTAAGATGTATTTCACGTATGTTTCGTTTTTCTAATGTCTTTATTTTTCTTGTTTCTTTATATAAAACTTCTTGGTCAATCCATGGATCCACACGAAGAAATTCCAATTTCTCTTGAGTTCTATCACGAATACGCATTACACGATGACCTGTTGCTTGCGACTCACAATTCACAAGTAATTGCCGTCCACTTTTAGCTGCATTTAATATCCATGATAGACGCATGATTTATTCTTATCTAAAAATCAAAACAATAAAAAGAAGATGATATACATAATATTTTTATTATATAAACGAGACTATCTTTTTTGTTTTTTTTTGAAATAAAACTAAAAATTAATTACACAAATCGGACTTATTTTGACTTTCGTCATCTTCATATTCGCTATTACAATGATTCGGATTTGAGTCTTGTTCTTGCTGTTTCATTTTCTTATTCATTCGAATACATTTACCAGCGATAGCATCCCGGCGAAGTTGTAAAAGCGCATTTCGAATTTTCGGCCAAATTGAATAAAGCTCTTGTTCAGTTAAATTCCATGCTGTACAAATGCAATCTAACAACGAACGAGAAAAGATATTAATACAGTTAAAATTCAATGAAAAATGTGCCACTGAACTGAGGTAGCACTTTCTACTAAGGAAAAATTGCCGATGAGAGAAATGATTGTTCTCTAAACTAGCAATGTCTGGGTAGGAAGATTAACATTTTTGATGTTAATTCTTGAATGCGCTTGTGTGAAAATATAATTATTCTTACGTCGAAGAAAAATATCACGTTCATTATTATGGTCCACGTGCAATTTTCCCATAATTTCTTCTCGGGAAAAAAGATCACTGGCAATATGGCGTGCAAAACTAGTTAAAGTTGTTCGTGGCCGAAGATGTTTCATCATGTTTCGTCCTTTGTACATCTATTAAAATTATTCGTGTCTTATCTTACATTTTAAAAAAATATAAATCTACTATAGTTTTTGTTGACATTGGATTCGGAGGAAATGATATATTTGTTGATGTGCTTGCAGGAAAATTGAAGCAATGATTATGATCTGATGTTTCGTCATCATGATCCTCTTCGACTTCAAGTTCCGATGGTTCATTCTTAAACATGAAATCAATGTCTTTTGGATATCGAGAAAAAAAATTTAAATCCATTTTTCCTTACATCCTCCATTTGCTCATGTTTTATATTGGGTTTCGCGTACACAATCGGAGAAGGTGTAGTATCTGATTGTTGATTAATTGTGTCTATATTAGAAGCAAGACGAAGAACAATAGATTGTAAACGATCTATTTGTTGTTGTATATCTAGATATTCAATAGAATAAAAATCATTGGAAATATATGAGAAACTATTTTCAATACCTGATGATTCATTCCTATTTTGCTCTAAGTGACGTTCAGCATATTGAGTTAAACTAGCATCATTATGTTCTTCTATTTGCGATGTTCGATCTAAATTGCATAAAAAAATTCGACGACCAAGTTTGGCAAATATTTTTTCGGCAACGAAACGTATTTGAAGTTATGTATTTTCTTTTACAAATAAAACAAGTATCATATCTTCGTTTCTATCGGTTATTTGTTGTAGATTAAATTGTATATTATTGATTTGATAGAAAAATAAGAGTATTACATTACTCATTTGCTAAGTAAAGAACGCACGCGATTTATACATCGATATTTTTTTAAAGATTCTGATATAATAATAATTAAAATTGCTTGTTCTTTTGTCAAATTAAAAAGTTTCAATAGATTCTTTGTATAGATGAGTATATAGAGCAACTTAATCTCGATTTTTCTTTGTAACATGCGTTTTTCAACCTTGAAACGAATGTCAAAATGAATAATACAAGCGTTGAATATTCAAGCAAAGTCATACTTGATAGAACTAAGTACTAACTGTGTTAGAGATTAGTATTCTTCATGTTAACTTTGAAACCCAATCAATTCTAATCGTCTAGAAAACATGTGCAGTGCAGCAGTTCACTGAAAACAAAAAAAATCTCATCTTTTTCCTGGTACTGATTCGAGTTCGACTGAAAAATTTCATTGAGAATACAAAAATATACCTCGACCGATCGTCACTATTAAACGTACGTCAAATTTACGACTCCTCAATTCGTAAGAAAATTTCGATTTTTCATCTGATCAAGTAAATCTTATTGATGAATGGTATTTTTTTTATCGTTCAACGCTCCATTTTGACTTTTTTTCATCATGGTATATAAACAAGAATCTTACTTGTTTTCACTCGTTTATTAGCAGATACATTCTCGGATATCATTCTATCATGATGCGATCTTTTATCGGGCACTACTTCATGATGTTCCTGTTGTCGTTCTTCATGTTGGTCAACACGCCAAACAAGCCACGAAAGAAATCCTTGGCTCGTGAGTTTATTATCTTCATTTGGTAATAATTTTTTTAACAAATCAAATAATTTATACTGATCAATATATGATAAACGCGTGTCAATAATAAATTTTTCAATAGCAACATAACTTTCAAATAAAGTTATTGAAGCATGTTTATATAAAAGAGGATGATGATATTCATTGTCCATATCTAAAAGAGTAAAAATTTTATAACGTTTCGTTTAGTTTTTTATTATTATTATTAGAAACAGAAGAGAAAAAAACAAACTATGAGAGAAAAACGAAAATATGTTCTTGTCAATATATATTTTTTTTTATCGAAACAAATAAAGAAGCAAAATAATGAGACATAATGCAATGACAAATCCAAGCACAAGTGAATCTTTACGTTTTTTAATTTTAATTTTATGTAGAATATTATTCATTAATGGAAAACGATTGGTTAGATTTTTCACTTTATGAGTGATGTTCATGAAATATCTTCGCTGGTCAGATAGATCTTTTTTCAATAGTGATGCCATTTCTAGATTTCTATCCATTAATTTATGTGAACTATTTAGATGTCCCATTTCACGTGAATAATATTCTTGTCGACGACTACTAAGGCCTGTCGAATTTATATCAGAATTATTATTATTATTGTTCATTAGAAGATCTTCGCGTGTTTGAAAATTTCTTATGTTGGCTTTTGTACGTTCGAATTCACGTCGATAATCTTGACAAATTTCATGATGACGTTGTAATGTATGTGTTGCAGCTGTATTTGGGCCAAGTAATGTTGGTATAGCCTCGTTCATACATTTGTTAATATCGGATAAACGTTCAAGAAGTTTTTCAATTTCAATCGACATTGTTTCGAATGATGTGGGTGTTGATGTTGTCGGAGAATCAATTCCATGATGATTTGTTGTATGATCACGTGCAACATAATTAGAACATAGTTTTGAAAATGACATTAATTTCGTATCAACTTCATTTTCAAGTTGACGTGCTTGTTTACGCAAATCCTCCCAATCGGTAGCTGGTGCTGTTGACATTCGTGAATTTATTGGTGGATACGAATTATTACCGAATGAACGGTTCATAATAGAAAGATCAAATCATCAAATGAAAACATTAAATAGATAGATTTTCTTGTTTGTTTTTGCGTTTAAAGTTATCAGAAATGAAAAAGATACTAGAATGAGAAACGTCACGCACGTCACAGATGATGTGATTTACATTGTATGAGTCATTTGACTTACTGTCGACATTAATAGGCCTATTAAAATAAAATCATGAAAAATAATTTTTATTTCATTGTACAACATTTTCTATGGATTCGATAATGATTATTATGATTTTTTTATGAGATTAAAATTTTTACCATGCACAATTAATAGGGTTGTCAATTAGTGACATCTATGCAATTATGTGTTATCAAGACTTTTTATATCACGTATTTAGAGGTAAATCGCTTGAAAGAATTATGTTAAACTTCTCTATAGAACACATTCTTAAGGCTTTCCATTAAAGATCAGTGTTGGGGAAAATCTATCAATGGCACATGTTTATGAATCAGTTTGCTAGAGTTTTCCGTTATTTTCTATCAATTGCGCATTTGTTTTTCTCTTTTTCCCTATCTTATGGTCTTCTTGCATATAAATAGAATCGATTGATAGCTATATTGTTCTTATATACCAAAACAAAAAGTCTACAAATGCTTCTACATATACTCATACTTATCGCTATTATAAATAGTCTTACAGGTAAAGCAATTATTGCTAGAAATGTTTCAGGTAGGATAATAATGATATGAGTATGATTTCGAATTTTTCGTGTATTATTGTAAATATAGATTGTACTATATCTGAAGATGGAATTCTTCTCTATCATGGTAAACATTCATTTACGAAATTCGACCAAGAATGTTTATCATGGAATGATCTACAAACCATGTATGTTGATATTATAAATGAACCTAATTTTTATAGTGATCCATCAATAAAAGCAGCTAAAAACTACTGTCGCAACCCAAATATGAATGTTGATGGTCCCTGGTGTTTTGTTGAAACTGAAAGTATTGTTTCCATGGAACACTGTAATGTTTGTCAAAGTCTTGGTAGGTTATTTATTGAAAACAAAAAGATTATTAATTTTAATCCTATGATTATTTTTTTAGCATCTAGAGCAACATTACCGACAGATATAGGATTTATCGATGAAGAAGCCACTAATGATACTGATGGTGGATTTTTTCCAACTATTCGCGATGAAGTTAAACGATATGCTGCTTACATTCATGAACGAATGAAAAAGCTTATGGAACATATCAGAAAAAATATCCGAAGATTGAGATCAAGATTTTCGGATCAATCTAACTACAACACATAATCATTTTTCATAATATCTTTTTTAAAGCATGTATTTTTTATAGATAGACATATTTTTGCCCTTGTTCGTGCAGCTAATAACTAGTTATTTTGTACGAAATAAATATAAACGATAAAGCTTGTGAGCAATCGAAGTTTTTGGTAAGTGCTTAAAAATATGTTCAATCAAGTTCTTCAATTTGAAAACGAAAACAATAGCTAACAATATAATTTTAATTCTTCTAACGATAAAACTGGTAGTGTAGCGATTCATATTTTCAAGATTTTATTGAAGTCTTTACCAAATCGAAATTCTGATCTTGAATATGCATATGTACAGAAATGCTTATGACCGCACAGCCAATTATTTTATCAGTTTGAGAATGTCAAAACAAGTATTAATCCCTGAAGAACCAATATTATTACTTCGCTGCTTATAAACATTGATATCGATGATTTTGTTATAATATTGAGAACCCACCAAAATTAGCTTTATATTTGAATGTCAGAATTGTACTTGATTTTCGATGGAAGATTTTTTGGCGATTATATTAAGATACCAACTATCGCATTACTGTTCTCCTTGATGTTGGACTGCAATTGTCTAGTTCACAAGAAGCTCAGCAATCTTTCAAAAATCAGATCGATTTCTAGTACACGAAATTATTTTTCTTGTTTTTCAGTGTAAATCGCATTCGTGTCTGAAACACAATTGCGTATCTAGCTGTAGGATTCAAAACCATTATTTTCTCTTCAGCTACATTTAATTGGGAGACTATAGAAATTTTATTTTTTGCGAGATCAGTTCCGCTTTTTCGATAAGGATATCAGGGTGACCAGATCAAAAATTGAAAAATCAGAAAATATTTTTTCAAAGTCAGAAAACGATCAGAAACGATCTCTGAAAAATCAGAAATTAATCAGAAAGTGGCAGTTTTTGACAAATTACGTACATCTTCCGCTAAAATACTGACTGGAACTTTATTTTCAAAGATATTTAAATAAAATGAAAGAAGCTATAGTGAATATATCGTTTAGCTAATGAGAAAACATCAATAAAAGATACTTAATGGTGAGCTTCTTTTTAAATTTAAAACTCGTTCACAACAACGAGCAAAACTAAATCACATACATTCTGCGTAGATTAAGAAATCCAACGAGAAAGAAAACGTTAAATTCCATCATCTCAGTATTGTTATTCATATTTCGTATCTTTTGGAATTTGCTGTAGGAAGTTTGTTTACGATAACATATGCTAATAAAAACCTTCTCAAGAATAATTATCAATCACTTTTATTTTAAATTAAGCATTATCTGGTTTTATATTACTGGATTACGATAATCGGACTATAAATGCTTCATATAACCGAAAATCACTTCGATTCCAGAATTCGAACGAGGAATATAAAAGATGATTAATACAGAAAATTGATGAAACACTATTGATTTATTATAGTAATGGGTTATAATCGTACCTAATTTCAGTGGCAAAGCAGCGATCTGAAAATATTCGAAATTCAGAAAAAAATCAGAAACATGTTCAAAATTCAGAAATTTCCCCTAGTTTTCAGAAGATCTGGCCACCCTGAAGGATACTGCGTCAATCAGGAGAAAAATAGCGTTATACTATTTGATCCAACGCTGAAAAAAAATATTCCCTTTAACATCTGTAGAAATCAATGATGCATATAGTCAGAATTTTATTCAGATCGAAGAAAGCAGTCATCAAGCATTTAAAAAGTATGAAGTAGTCTCTAACTCAATTCGTTCATGTATTGACTAATTACATAAATAATTGGAAGCAACAAGGAAAAATATGTGAGCATGCGGTACCCGTTCGTTCTCGTCTACTCATTCTAAATCGAATAATATCAGCAAATGTTCTTAAAAAGAAAAGATACACGTTTATCTAAATACCTGTTCATATTTATTTTCCTGATAGATGCTGTAATTAATAGCTTTTGCTCTGTTCTGTCTCGATTAGATGGAATTCACCCATTTCGTCCCTTGACCCTCTATGTGAACGAAATCGTGACATGTTCTGCTTCAGTTTTTTTTTGGATATTTTTTTCTACAGTAATAAGGTCAATCAAGATCCATCGGGGTGTGCGCTAGGTAGAACTCGTCGATATGTAGTTTGGTCTGTAGATTTTGACTTTAGGACGCGTGCCTGTGTGAATTCTGACCTAAGATATCCAACATCAATCGAGTTGATATCGCAATGCTCGATGAACATCATTCAACGAACATTGTATTTAATTTCTTCATGATTTATATTTTCATATTCATAGATAATATATAACGTGTACTCAATATACTTGTTTTACACATACATATGTACACCATGGAAAGAAACAAAAGCAAATGTAAAAATTCTAAATGATACTTCTTGCGATCATCTATACTGCATCACTTATACACAAAGAGCTTCGCCAATCAGTGCACGTATCGGCTGAAGTGGAACTAGACTAAAAATTATTTATGTGAAAGACAAAAATCATATTAGTAAAAAAACAATAGATTCTAATCATTATTGTTAGAGTCGTAAAAATATAGGTGCATTTTCATACGATGGTGTTGGTTCTACATAAAGTGGTTCTGCATAAAGTGGTTCTTCTTCTAAAAATAATCCGTAGAAAAACAACGATTTATTATTGAAGAAACAAAATAAGTACACACACAGACACAGACACACACCTTTTGGATTTTGTTCTTCGTTTTTATTTAATTTTTTATTTGTTCTAACTACTGCATGTTGGTTTGATTCTACCACAAATACACAGATAAAAATGAATTTTATAAAAATTGGCTGACAATACACATACTGTTTTTTTTAGAACTAGTATAGAATGAATAAATAAAAACCATATGGCCTGTACATAATTATATAAGTAATTGAACTTACTTATTAAGGACTAAACGAAAAAAAAATGCAAGTTAATCTTGCAGTAAAATAAAAATTCATATCGGTACCTTGCTTTTTTCGGCGACAATCAAAAATCAGAAAGAACAATAATCCAATAAGTAGGAGACCGCCAATAATAAAGCCAATAATAATAGCAATTTGTTTTCCTAAATAGAGTAAGAAAAAGAATTTTGGAATTCTATGCGACGATGACAATATAACAATGGTAAACTCACACCGGTCGTCATTTTCCCGCGTCTACCATCATTTGGTGGTCTTTGGCGATTAAAATAATCATCATCTTTCCAACCGCCTTTCGAAGGTGGTTTAAAAGCATCGGGAGAATCAATATCAGGATCTATTGGCAAGGCATCTAGAATAATCCAATTTCGTTTTTCTTGCTGCTCATTCGATTTCAATTACCTGTCATTGTAACAACACTATTAAAAGATGAATATACTTGATCGTCGATTAGTAATTCACACGTAAATGTGTCTGGTGTTCTAGAATATGTTCGTTGCAAAAACGTATGTTGATTAGCACAGACAACCCAAGATCCATCAAGTTCTTGTGTTCTTTTTATAGTTATCTCATTTTGATTATCTCCTATTTGATTCATATTAATATTGATATTTTTATAGCCCGACACAGATGCACAACAGAATAAATCAACTTTAGTTTTATCTGCAACTTCAAATGTACTTTGAGTTTCATCTGTTGGATCGTCAAAACGCATGCAGGCGCCTGCTTGAGCATGACATATATAACTCCAATAGAATGAGTCAATATCTAAAATATATTGTTGTTGTTTTTCTTCTCGAATAATTATCTCATAAACACAGAGAGAATACTATTTACCGGCTAAAATCAATTGATAGATCCGGCTCATTTCTAGTCTTCTTTCTGTTGGCCTGCGACAGCCATAATATCCAATATTTTGTGAATCAGCTGCATTCGATTTCAATCGTAAAATATTTTCTTGATTTAAATACATAAAATTCAGGTTTAAATATGAATATTTTTCGTCATCTTCCTGAATTTCTGACCAATCATTTAATTTGCGAGCAAAATAAACTGAATCACCAGTTCGGCAATCAAATGAAAATGAATCTCCTATTGGCACGAGGAGTTGTTCGATAGTCACACACCATGAGCCAGATAGAATAAGAGCAAATAGCAAGTTAATAGAAAAAATATTTAAGATCATTAGGCGAACGACGTATAAATAAATATGTATATATATAAGGATCAAAAATCAAAAATAGAACATATTAAATAGTAATCAAGATATTGAAATTTAAAAAGCTCAAGAAAAGTAAATATGCAAATAAAGAAAAATATATATGGATACACAGTCGAGTGAAGGTTAATTATAATGCCTAGGCGTGAGACGTGACTGAGGAGGAAAAAAAGAGAATGCTTTATGTTTGAAGGCTACCGTTGCCTTCATACATAAAAAGAAACGATATAAATAATATATTTATGTCCTTTTCTCTCTTTTTTTTTGCTGTAGAGTAAAATTGTGATTCAATGATTCATTCGTTTTGTTTACCTTCTCAATATATTTTAAGCAGAGAAAGTGATCGAAATCATATATAGCATCAATGAAGAGCACATATTGAGATAGAATGAAATACAAAATTATGATGTGCAAATTTGTTTATCGACTTTCTTCTGGTTTTTCCCCATTACGCATGGTAAAAGAAAGAAAAAGAGATTTTTCAAAAAAATAAATAACATGAATCACCAGGTAAGAACAGGATAACAAACTTTTATGAGACAGTGATAGTTGCTACAGAGCGAGTTGTTTATTTTCCACTCGAATATTTAGTTTTAGGAGAAAACAATATTAGTAATAATCAAACTCAATAGCTCACCTCTTGCCGTGATTTTGTTATTAGATGATTAATGATCATCTAAACCTTCTGATTTTTATTCATCGAACGCTGTCGAATATTTTCGGTCAACATCAAAATACCTTTAGTTAAATAAAAAAACGTATGTCGCTTCTTTTGCTTTCATTTGACAGAGCAGATTTGCGATATAAAAACATCATTGAAGCAACTGAAGAATATATTTCACTCAGTATTAAAAAGCATTAACTATACTTGTTTCGACAAGAAATCTTGTGTAATTATACTTGCGATTTTATACATCTGAGAAAGCATGTTATTTATGTTTTCAAAGAATTCCATAGAAATGATGAATACGAAAGTGCTGTTGTTGCTTTTTTTGTACAAAAAACTGAAGTGGGACCTAAAAAGGAATTAGTTTTATGTTTCTATTTATTTTATACAAATACAAAAATGTGTTGTTTTTAGATGTTTATTCGATGGAAAAGAATGTTTATAACATAAAACAATTGTTTTTTTCTTTTTTTGAAGGTCGTTTGTCAGCCAATATCCATTTGAAGATACTTCAGTAGTTAGTATTTTGAGAAAAAACTGAAAGCACGATTTTGAACTTTCAGGAATTGATTTACAGAAATCAAAATTTTTGCAATATTTTCTCAATTTACTATAGAGTAAATTGTAAGGAAGACAAACTTGAACTTAACTTTTTCTATATAATACAGAAGTCGAGAAATTGATTTATCTGCGTGCATATTAAACATTAGTGATAATCAGACTTCGGATGCCTGTGCCGTATTTGCTGCATCGTGGTGTCCTTCAAAAAGAAGCATAAAAAAATGTATCCATTTTATGTCCTGTCGATCAAATACTAAGTCACTAGGAGATGAATATAACGAACCATCAATGCTATGCATCATTATTATTCTTCACTTTTGTATTTTTGCGAAAAAAGATAAAAATAAGACTAATAATAATATATTCTTATAAACCGACGATATGAAATATGAACTACTCAAACCAAAAGTTACTGGCTAAAATTCGATGGCTTCTGATGCAACATAACATTGAGGCCACACAATTGTATCGTCCTTCATTGGCGTATTCCAGTATATTATTTGAGGTACAACACTAAATGTAAATGATGTACACGAATATCATTAGTATCCATTTTTTATTTTCTTGCTGTGACTATTTTCATTGCGACAAGCCTTCTTTATATTCAATAGCCTCACACAGCGATAAAAATGTGTCGCAATTTATGATACAATGTCAAACACATTCAAGAGCGACACAAGTTACTCGTTGTGACTCATTCTGAATTTTCATTGAGTACATCGAATTGTTTCGACACAATAGCATTTAAGTGAAAATTGTGATGAATATTATTCTTATGTGCAATTGTTAAATTTTAATCCTCTAACTCCTTGAAGTCCTCATGAAAATCTGATAACACTTACTGAACGATCCAAACTAAAGCTGAATTCTTGAATGTCTTCGTATCACTTGTATTGCCGAAAATCATTAATGTTTTGTTGAGTTTGCCAATTTTAGTTGTTAACTATAGTTGCTATGAAACAAAAGGGATTTACTCATTTTTTCTGATAGGGCTTTTTCAAATCTTTGCAAAAATCAAGTCATAAATATTAGCGAAGTTGAATCTTTATTTTGACGAGCGACGACAATGATTTTTACTCATAAAATCACGATAGTATCGAGACGTTGACAGTTTCAAGTAGAAATAGAATATAGTCATATGTTGTACATAAATCTACCGAAGAAAAATTACCGAATTTTGCAGATATAACTCGAGCGAGACGAACTCTTGAAACATAAGTTATTTTAGAAAATTCAAATATTCAGAAAATCTTATTTTTGTATTTAAAATTAAGCAAATCGATACAGTAAAAAAATGAACCTCCGATTTATTTATGCTTTTCGACTATTGCAAAGAGGTTCAAATAAATTAGGAAAAACTGGATTTGATGATAATACTGCTTGGTAAAACTTTGTCGAACATTTCAAAATTTCTCTTGAATATTTTTAAAGAGAATATCAATGACTCAAAGATTGAGCTGATGAAGACAAACAACATAATGGCAATTTGATTGAGACTCTACTTAAATTTCAATCGTTTTGTTGGCGACAGTGACACCCATATCACTTGTTCACTTAGATGCAAGTAATATTATCGTGATTGATGTAACGAATATTAGTCTGTATGACGTCAGCGTTGAAATGAATACAGATTTTGATTAAATCTTAAATAAATAGGATCTAGAATTTATACACAATAGAATTTCAAACTAGACAGTCGTCTACTAGATGATATTTTAAAATGTTGCCTTATCCTGATCGATCGGTACAGTATACAGCCCAGCCGACAAGTCAAGTTTAGTTAACACTGTTACCTTGACTCGGACATTTTAGCAATCAAAATTTGATAAATCCTCTTATTATTCGGGAGTACTCCGGCAAAGTCAAACATACACACCACACTCTAAAATAGCATATTCTATAATAAAAAAAAAAAAAAAGACATTAAACATGACAAATCCAATCCAGTTTGAAAATAAATGTATGTCATTGACTGTCGTATGCTTCAAATTGGATATAAATATTAATTAATATCTTCCTCGGGGATCCATTCGAAGCTTCATCACTAATCTTTGCGCATTCATTTGAAATTTGATGTTAGAAGACATGAATAGATGAAGAATTTTTCGAAAAATATATAACAAATATAAAGAATTATGCTACCTCTTCGCTACTGGGTGATAAAGTAACATACCATTAGATATGCATATTAGAAGTTATATTGAGTTCGAGATTGATGATTGTGAGTTTGTCCAAGTTAACATACTTACTAGCATGAAGGCCACGTTGTAAGAAACATCCCTCGATAGTAAGATATTCTATGTTGTCATGAACTCGAGGTAATATGTGCATAAACAATCGATCAAGTATTGCATTACTTTTCGAATCATTTGCTTCATTTGGCGATATCATTATCAGATTAAGAATTCGGATAAAGTCAACATCACGTACTACAGTATTGGATTTTCTATTAACATCGATTAGTAAATAGAAAGCATCGAAATTTTCAATTTTTGTTTTTAAACATTAAACAATATTTCATCAAATAGATCCAGACTACTAACAATTGATTTGCATGTATATTCACAATACTCTGAATAACTATAGGTATATATGTATCCTAGCTTTCCACCTTCTGCACAACGTCTACGAGGACAATGTTGCACTGTTACATTGTCAACATTGAATGTTGGTGAAGCTTGCTCATGAATGCATGAATTCATTTCTTTTATGATAGAATGAGTCGGAATGAATTAAGAAACGAAAATAATAAGGTGTCCTGTATCGGCTCTAACCGGCTACTCGAATGTTATTCGTTTGATCGAAAAAAAAAGATATTTTAAAGTATTCTAAAAAGTGAAAGACAAGATTTACATTCTGCAATTGTCATTTATCCTCTGCCACAATACTTGATTCATCTTAATCTTGAGATTTCAGTAGGGCTACAACTAGTCAAAGTAACAATATAAATTTGATTTCCCCAAAAATGAATTCTTTATTGGCGATTGTTTACCATCTCGAATTTCTATCAAAACATAACGTTTTTTGCTCTTCAATCATCCCGATCTACATACAGTTTTCAAGTATTGCACGCAAATATAATACAATACTTCTATATTTACTTGTGACTTCAATTTATTATCTATGAGCTTGTGAATATGAAGATATTAAATTACACTGGGAAGAATTCTACTGTCTTCAAAGTCATTTCATTTTAGTCTATCTTTCGTATCACGTTTTTCATTAATTTATTCATTCGCTTTTTGAAAATCATGCAATAAAAAACGAGGAGTAATTAAGGCAATAAACAAGACATCTAGGAAAACAAGTTTCGAAAAAAGTTTTTCGGAAGAAAAAATTTACAAAAGAAAACAAACGAATAATGATTATTTGATAAAAGTTTCGATTCATTATAACAATAAACAAAAGAAAAAAGTCATTTTCATTCTTATTTATTTTTCATGAAACATACATAGGAGGAAACAAAAATATATCTGCATTCATTCAAATTCAACATTCGAATAAAGAAAAAAATGACTCAACAAAAAATAGATGGTTTCAGAATGAAGTTAAGTGATAACACACTGTTTTATTTTTCTCTTGTTGAATGTATTAGTAACTATGTTTATGATGAATAATATATTGTATCTTTTCTTTCGCGACAACATAATGCCATAGTAAAAATAAAGGTAAGTAACTGAAAATAAAAATTAGAAATATAACATGTAAGACGACAAACACAATAATTACTTCTATAACGAGAACAACTACAGCCGCAGCGATAACCCAAGTCCTGGTAGAATTAAGTAAATCGACTAATTTATTATAGCAACCCTAGAAAATAAGTTTGCGAATTTTATTATCATTATTTTGAATTAATAAATTTACTGTCTCATAAATATTAATTCCATTGAGAGCACAATTAGCTGCTTGTTGTAATCGATCTAAAGGTAAATCATTCCAGTTTTGTTTTAGACTTCCCATCGGACAGCATGTTAATGGATATACGAATTCTTTCATAGTAGGTGGCAACAATGGACTCCACCATGGATTTGTACGATTCCAATTTGTTGCTCCATAAAAATCTAATTTTCCTTCAACACCACAACATTGAAACTAGATTAAATTGAAAAGAAAATTAATATTAAAGAAGAAAAAGAAAAAGAAAAAGAAAAAAACTAATTTACATTATACATAATAAAATCCCAAGCTAATGATATTGGCGATGGTTTAGGCATTTCCTCGTAGATTAATGCAAGTGGTCCTTCATATGTATTTTTAATTGATTGTTGTAGTTTTGGTACAAATTGAATTTTAAAATTTGCTTGAAAAACAACAAAATATATTGTTATCGCTACCTCGACAATGATAATAAGTGCGACAATAAGTCCATACTAAATAAGAAAGAAAATTTTACACATACATACTAAATCCAATATTTAACTTACGCATATTAGAAACAATTTCACTTGTTTCATTGCGCCACAACAGCCCAGAAAGCCAACAACTAATAGAACAGAGCCCAAAACAATAATAGCAATGCCTATTACTTCAAGATACGATAAACCCTTTGCAATTCCTGGATCTTAAATACAAAAGGAAGGGGATTCATTTTTTTTTTCTTCAAATCAAACATGTTAACCTGTACTAAGTGGTAAAAATTCTTTCAGCTTTTGAAATTTTGGATCAACCATAACATAAATGCCAAGTGCAAGAAGAGCAACACCAATTAACTAAACAAATACTTATAACAACGAATACGCCCATGAAATTACTTACAAAAAATACAACATTGAACAATACCATAATTAAACGTACAGTTTTCATTCCACAACTCATACCGCCGTGGCCCATTTTAAAATAAGGTTCTGAAAATATTCTATGCGATCTAAAAAGTAAAATTACTCTTAAATGAATAATTAGCTTCGGCAAGAAAAAAAAACGTGAATCATAATTAGAAGATTCTCGTGTGTTTAGTTTAATATTTCTATTCGACAATGCGCATCACCTGGTCTTACTCGATGGCATAAAAGAAAGAAAAGAAAAAGAAGAATCGTTTTCTCATATATATATATATATACACATTTTTTTTTCATCAGTACCAAGATACTCAATTCGAAAGTATTATATACCGAGAAAAAGAAAACTTCGGTACTAAAAAGAAAAGAATGAATAGATATATGCAAGTAAAGCGTATCGTTGAGAACAAAAAACAACAGTTGGCGCTTGTTTTGTTTTTGTTAAAATGAATAATAGTCTCATGTTGCAAAAGGTTTATGCAGTTTTTCGAAACTTCAATGAAAAAAAAAATCTACGCCACAATAGAAAAACAAGAACAATGACAAATATCGTTTATTTTGTTTGCGGATATTTTTCTCGTATTATTTTCGCTGTCGCACAGAAATCAATTTGTAAAAGGCCTATTACTAATCGACACAAAATCAATATCACGAATCAAAATGCGCCCACGTATTTGTAAAGAGTCATTTGATTCATAGATAGACTAGTAGTGCGAAATAATCATCAATTGCATATCCGAATCGTTATCATGATTTCGTTTTTGAACGTATATCAAAAAGAAAAAATCTTAAATATAATCTTGTATTCAATTAGCTGATTTTATCTAATGAACTTCATTTAATAATCTCTATTTTTTCTTTTGCTCTTTCAAATTCTGTGTAGAATGAATATGAATAATAATTTTTATCACCGTATATAAAATGAACAATTGAGACACCGTCCTACTTGACGTTAAGAGAGTGACCGAGATGAAACATATAATAAACTTGAACTACTAATACTCTACTAACCGTACAATATTCTCATAATAATAAAATAACGGTGACGTGTTTTGGCGTTTGTATATGTGCATATATTGTAGGTCAAAGAAAGTACAATATTGAAAGGGAATGAAAAAGAAAATGATGAAGACAATCAACCGTTTGTAAATATCATAACTCACAATCAATGTACAGATTTGACATTTTTCATATATATGCATGAAGAATCTACTATATAGACATCTTCCACCTCGAAAAAAAATTGGAATACGAACATCGGTCGCTGTTCTTGTTAACATGCGCTTGTGAAAGAATGTGTTTCACTTTCAAAGAACTAACGTGTTAATCAGATTTTTATGCTTATATTAAAAGGAAAAAAATGTATTATAATAAAGTAAGGTTTAAATTGCCTACCCGTATATGCGTATACACTTGCCTAGTCTGTTGAATAGGTTAGAACTGAATGTACATCAAAATTCAATGAACGAGGACAAACTTTTTTTTTTCTCTTTCTTTCTCTCATGATCGATAGGATGATGGAAGGAGTGTCTGTTCGTTATACATAAAGTGTGATGAATACTTTGTCCAGGTCACTCGATGCAAGTAGAATAATCGTGATCGAAAATTCAAGGAATACAGACAAATATATATGTATACATTAACATATTTGTTTCAATCACAAATTCGTCATTATTATTAAGTAGTTTACTTTAGATATTCGTAGAAAATGATAAAAATTTCATAATGAACTCAGAAATGAATAAATGGAACCTGAGGGGAAATTGATTAAAAAATGTTGGAAGAAAAGAAATAACTGAGAACTAAGGGGAGGAAAGAAAAGACGGTGATGTTAGTTCATTAAAACCTTTAGTGTAAATGCATATTGTACACAAACGACGATGGCAGCTGAACAGTTCACCAAATGGAGCCTATTGAAGATGTTACATCATTCATATAAATTACATTATTCTTCGATTGCTTCGAGTATGATTTGTGGAATCAAGAAGAAAAAGAAAACTTCCGTTCAAATGAAATAAAAATCAATTTGACATATTACTTACTTTAAACCTTCGTTTATTTGGCAAAGAAGAAAAAAAAAGAATATGAACTTGTGATTTGTATGTGTGAGTAGGATTAGCACCGAAGCCAAATCAAGAAAGGAAAAGAAGAAGAGGAGGAAGAAAGATTTATTTGTAATGTTTTTGTCATTTATACATAAATAAGAATAGATTTAAAGCACAAACATTCATTGTTATTCGCAACAATTGTAAAGCTACGAATGGCTAATTCAAGGATTTTTCTTTGTCCCTTGAATAACGTATAGATCATTCGAAAAACTAATTTTAAATATTGTGAAATTAATTTTGCAAATATATATGTTATTAGATTGAATAAGAAAAGAGGGAAAATGAGATTTCAATGATCAACAGAACAAGAGAAGAAGAAAAAACTAAGGGGGGGGGGGGTGGGGTTCGTGTAATATATATTAAACGTGGTGTTGCTCTCGTACTCCATAATCGTATACTATGATCATCAGAACCTGTAGCAAGTACTGTACTATCACTACTTAGTGCCATACAATTAATTCCACTTTCATGATCGTAGAAATGGCACTAAAAAATAGCTCCGAATCGAGGAGAAGAAGAAAAAAGTATAATGTCAGTGGTTATATGGTCTCCTTTTTTTTTTGGTGACATTCAATGAATTGTTTGTTTTTTAATTATTTTATGCTGGAAAATTTTTTTAAAATGCTTTGTTTTTTAGAATTAAGTCAATATCAATCAGAGATGGGCAGTGCTGGATCGAAACGTCGAGCAGAACGTGACGAACATGGTCTGATACAAACTTTAGACGATCATGAAAGTGGAATTAATTGTATGGCACTAAGTAGTGATAGTACAGTACTTGCTACAGGTTCTGATGATCATAGTATACGATTATGGAGTACGAGAGCAACACCTATCGAATGTCTTAGTGTACTTTCTGGTCATACGGATTATATAACATATATTGTTATGCATAAAAATTATTTGATTAGTGCAAGCGCCGATCAAACAATGAGAAAATGGGACATGACTACTGGACAATGCATTTTTGTTTGTACCGGTCACACATCGTTAGTTTATCGAATTGTTTGCATTGGTAATTTACTGATTTTCAATATTCCTCGTTTAGTTCTATTATGTTTCGATTAGTAAATGAGTTCTTTTCAGATAAATTCTAGATTCATATATAAGAGGCTATATATATGTTGTACTAGTGTATTTCAAAGAAACTAAAATACCTATATGAAAATTTTTATTCAATTACTTTATATTTCTTTTCATTCATTTTGATATAGTCCTTTGCTTCTAAGAAAACATGTCAACCTACACGAGGATAACTTATTCTTTTTTGTTTTGAATCGTGATCTTTTCTAAACGTTCATCATAAGCTTACATAATAGGTCTTGAGTTGTCGTAATAGATCAAATTTTGTGAGTAAACAAATCATCTAAAATAAGAATTAACAAACTTGATATTTCATTTTGAAAGATGTTCTAATTGACTAAAAACAGATTATGACAATTTTCAGAATAAAACAAAAAAGAAGATTTCTTTCGTAAGTACAAAGATTTATTTGTAAAATAATAAAGGCACATTTTTCTTGTTGGGTTTAGAATGACGTCATAAATTTTATGATATGATTACTTTTGGCTTTATCAGAAAAATGATTTCAAGAGCTACGAATAATTTTTTGATAAAAAGAAAAAATTACAATTATCAGTTATCAAAATTGAAATAATGCATTGATGTTGTATTTTAAACGACTAGAGTAGAAATGGAATGACACAATCTTTAGTATTATTTATATACTATCCGTTTCTTTTTCTCGCATTTCATTCTGTATAAGACCAGTTGATTATGATTCAGAGAATAACTGTTGGTTAACCTAGTAGTGACAAGAAAACCAAGAGTTTCAAATATGAGAGTGTCGCCAATTGATTGTCAATATACCCAGCGGTAATCACCTGATTTGAATCATATGATTGATTGTAAAAAACAGAGAAGAAGGAAACGATTGTCATCATACAAGAATAAGTTGACAACTGTGAATATAGTTTGAAATAGAAGTCAGTATCGGAAAGACAACGATTTACATCGGTCACCTGTAAAAGTCTTTTAGAACATGACTCTTCTTAATTTTTCAATTATCTATTTTCCTATGAATATGCTTAAAATTTGAATATGAAACTTAATCTTTGATCGAGAAAAGAATTGGAATATGTTAAAAGAAACATTATTGAAAGAGCTTAACACTTCCTACTTATCTATTCTAGTTAATCGAATGAGAATATACAAAGATTTGCTTTACCGCATGTTAGCTTTTCTTTTGGGAATCGTTATTCTTAACCATGAAAATTTATCAAATACACTCATTCACAGTAGAAATAATGAATAATCAAGCCGCATAACAACAGACTGATAGATAAAACAGAACGAGAAATTAATATTTAATTTATCTTTATTATAGGAGACTTTCTTCTTTCAACATCATATGATCGAACAGCACGTTGTTGGGATTTCTATACGGGCGATTGTATACGTGTATTTGTTGGTCATTCTCATGGTATATTACCAATATTATTTATTTCCTCGAATCAGGATACTACGGAAAATGATTTTGAAAATGAAATGGATATTTATACCAAAGATATTCTTATAACAGGCTCACAAGATACAACCGCTAAAACATGGTCGTTTGAAACTGGTGAATGTTTAAAAACATTCGAAGGTCACATTGGAGCAATACTTTGTTTGGCAACGGATCCGTCCGGAAAAATTTTATTCACTGGTTCAGGCGACGGAACTATTCGAGTTTGGAGTATTCATCGTGGAACTGAATTACGTATTTATGATCAACATCAAGCAGCCATTATTGACATTCTCGTAAGATTTATAAAGCCAGAAAACAGAAGAACATCTATAACAATTATCTTTTCCCGTGACTTTTATAGGTTACTAATAAATTACTGTATTCAATTAGTGCTGATCATACAGCACGTTGCTGGGTTATTGATGTTGGTGATTGCACAAGAATTTACAAAGGACATCATCATTCAGTTTCATGCATTCTAGTCGAACATGGTCTTGGTATGAGCAGTTTTTTGTTTTTAGATTTTTTCATATTATGAAATTTTTTCGTTTGGTGAAATAGTTTTTACTGGCTGTGGTGATGCTATCGTACGATGTTTTGAAGCACGTTCAGGTGTCATTAAACGATCTTTTAAATCCCACGCACTTGCTATCAATTGTATACAGGTAGATTTTAAAAATCTATTCTTCTAATTGAACTTAAATATTAATGTTTTTCTTAGATCGTTGATAATCGACTATTTAGTGGATCTGTTGATGGTTCATTAAAAGTATGGGATATAAGTGATCTTAAAGGAGAAACTAGTCAAAATCTTAAACCAATAGTTAAATCAAAAATAGCAACAACAACAACAACAACAACAGCTACTATTCGAGCTAATAAAGATAACCGATCAGATATTCAATCACGTATCGATGATCGTGAATATCGTGAACGACGTGCGTTGGATATGGTGTGAAACAAGCGAATTAGAGTCATTACTAGAAAGAATATATATACACAATATGTATATATTTTTTTGTGCAAATATTCCATTTTAAAATAAATAAATCAATATATATATAAATAGAGAAACATTTGAACATAAAACTATATTCTATACATATGTCACAGTACCACGAATAGAAATAGGTGTTCGTGTGTGATCTGTTATCCAGAAACATTGTGTTGGATTGTTTTGCGATTGAGAATCTGTATTCAGTGATAATGTAGTGGAACGTAGAGATGTTATTGGATGAGTTGTAATAGGATGATGAATGTCAAGCGTTTTAATATAATCATCATATGATGGTGGTAATAATGACGATGAATCATTACGACTGTTATTTATAGCTCGATGAGAAGGAAATAACTCTTTATAAGAAGGTAAATCGGTATTCACATTTCTGACAAGACTAGAATAGAATATAAAGAGAAATAAACGAATGAAAAAAGAAGAAATAAATACATACTCAGGATTTTCATTATTGTTTGACGATAATGCTAAATCGTATGCTTGTTGTCGTTCACGTAGTCTCTATATCAAGACAAGAAAAATACGATGATGAAAATGAATGAACATAGTTTGTTTATTTTACTTGTATAAGCCGATTTCTACTATCCAACATAATATGATATCGTCTTAGATGATGGCATGTTCTTATGAATGAAACCATGGAAATGATTAGTAAAATTGAAGCTATTATATAAGATCCTTCTATTTGATTTGATGAATTACTAATCGATAGTTGAAATAGAAAAAATGCAATAACAAATAGAAACAGAGATAATGTAAAGCGACATAATATTCCTGATGCAAATTTACACCCATTTGCTGACATTTCATTTGTCGTTCTTGTATCATTTTGTGGATTCGATGTCGTTGGACGAGTACGAGAATGACAATTTGAATAGTGTTGTCGGTAATATGGCATAAAAATGACCATCGTAAAGGTTTTGTTCTGTTTTCTATTAAATATCGACGATTTATTTGAAATTATTCGTCAACACACTAGAGTACTGTTTCTTCTTCAACTATTTTCCTTCCATCAAGTCTATCAATAAAGAGAATGATAGGAGTAAAAGAAAAAATAAACACACAACCGATGGTTGTGTACCCAGAAACATTTCTCGCTTGGATGTAATGTGTTTTTGTTACGAGAAGTACGATATGGAAGAGGATTGTCAAAATGATCCCAAACGTCTGAGTAAGAAAAAAGTTAGATCGATAAAAGGAAAAGGAAAAAACTGACATTCGTCATCGACAAATAGGAAGCAAATATAATAATACAATACCGAGCCTGCTTGATTATTTTAAGGCCTTGTAATATACGCTGGGATCAATCATCGAGATAATAATGAAAATAATGGTGGTAGACAAGTATGATTATTGTCGAAAAGGATATAGCATAGCTGTTAACAAAGGCAATCTATTATTAGCTGAAAGTTTTTCGTCTTCCATCGCTACTAGACAATTCAACCAGAAGAAACTTTGTCTATCGTCCGTAAAAATGTAGGAGTGTAATTGTTGGTCCATGAAAACAGAGTATCAATTATAGATTTGATTATACATTTTAAAAATAACAATAGTGTTATTCTTTATCTTTGGATTTTTACGAGAGTCTTATCATATCAAATACTAGATACACCGACATTTGAGCCCCGACAGTTGAGTCTCACAAGATTGAAATTTCATCGATTAAGTATAGAACACGCGAAATTAATATTTGATCACTTAATTCACTGGAAAATATTGCACGAAAACATGCGAAATCTTTTAATGGTATTGATGACTGACTATATTTTTCGTGGATAAGTCAATCATCTTTACAGAAATGAGCAAATTTTTCGCATTATATTTCGTTGATTCATAAAGGTTTCATCATTTTTGCTATATTTTTCTATTACTATTAACAATGTCAATTGTAAAATCTTCGAAAACCTTGAGGGTGTGGGTTTATATAAGTAAGAACTATACCCACACCCACACCTTCAAGATTACAGCAATTAGTTTCTTCTTTTTCTATATAATAACAAGAGATATGTACTTTAAACGCGCAAGAGCTTTGTTTCATTTTTGATGTTGCTGTTAAATTTATTCAAATAAATTTCTTTTTGTGAGGCTCATGTGTCGGGAGCTCTACTGTCGGGTTACCCAAAGACTAAAACTACAAGAGTTCAATAAATTGAATGTTCTAAATTTTTCAAGTCAAGAAACGATTAAAGTTGGCATCTTTTATATCTATACAAAAACTAAAGAATTCATCAGCCATTTTGTTCTTTTTTTATGTGTCAGTTCAGTTTTTACGTATAAAACAGTCAATTATCAGATGAATCTCTAGTGTTATTAGTTACGAAGAAAAACTTAGAAGAATGAAAACTCTTATTTTCAATTACGAAAGCACAGCAACGTTCACAATATCTTCATAACCTGATTTGATACGAGTTCATAAGTCAATATATGCAAGCACTTTAACAGCTTTTTAGAGTCGCCAGGAAAAGTACTCTTGCATAACAATTAAGAGAGAAATTTCGATAATCTTCCAAAGGACTGTTCAATCGTTTGTTAATTAACAACAAAACTTCGATATTTTCCTTACTTCTTGCACATAATTGGAACTCAATTATCATAACTACCGTTTTGTTTGTCATTTTTATCTTCAAAAAGATTATTATTTATATTATCACGCCCTATAGCAATATTATTATTTTCTCGTCTGGCATGTTTTCGTGTTTTTTCATCGATACTTTTGATGCACCACATAGTACTTTTCCTCTTTTCTATTGGCGCAGGATATAATTCTCTTCACATGACATTGATAAATTTCGACATGCACACACCAATTGATTTATGTCACGAAAACGTATATCATAATTCATAATTCTATTTTAAACTTAATGTCATCTCATGTTTGGCAAAGTACAATTACGACAGAAACCAGCGTTTAGTGATGTGATATCTATAGAAATGCTTCGAGCCTTTTCAGGAATGAAAATAAAAGAATATTTCAATAGAAACGGAAAACTTGAATCGGCAAAACTCATTCTCTTGTAGAAGACTAATCTGTGGGTAACTGACAAGTAACAAAGAAAAACAAGTGAGTAGAATGAGAGAATAAAGTATCTGAGTGCTAAAACGATGCATACGCGAAAATGTGCTTTTAAGTACACAGATACAAATATTAAATTTCTATTGTTCGACAGCACCATTTTTTCTGAACAAAAAAAAAACAAAAAATGATTTTTACTGGAGAAAAAAATGAAATTATTTGCTTAGCGGTCTGGAGAAAGAAGGGTATTCTATGTCACTATGTCCCTAATGAATGATATCAAAGATGTTCAATGGAATGATTGATTTCTCGTTGGAGAACCTATCTGACGAGACCAATGAAAATAAAATAGTTAAGAAATGTATGCCTGATTCCATTCCGAGTAAAGAAAATATGTATTAATGGGTTGTAAAGTTTCTTTTTCTTTAACTTTTATGTAATAGACTTGATTTCAGTGATGACAAGCCTTTCGTTAACAATTTGATACAATGAATGACTAAAATACTTGTGTCTTTATCGCTGTTGTTGTTCGTAGTTTTCAGTTTGCGTACTTTACGATTTAATGATTGAAGAGACGTCCTATTTTTGTTTTCAAGCGACAAACTATGCGACATAATTTAGATTTCCTTCCGATCAAAACTACTAAAAATATGAGACAAAAAGCATCATTGAAAATAATCAATTTATTGATTACACTCTCTTAAAATGATCTGGTATTTATCAATGTCAGATGTCAACTACTAAGATTAGCTAGAAATTATCAATCGACGATAAAGATCTGCGAAATGTCTGTTTTATTTTTCGCTGTTCAATTATTCTTATTGTTAATTCATTTTGCCCGATGAAAAAAATCTAATTTATATCTGTTTGCCATCATCGTTTATTTCTTGTTTGTAACGAATCTGCACTGATGCCTATTTATTTAAAAACAACAAGGTACGTGTTAATGTTTACGCGATTATCTGTCATAACAATGGAAAAACAATATAATTGTTTCTTGGTTCGTCATGTACGATGTTTACGTAGGCGTTGCCATGATTAAACATTGTCCCATAGGTATTCGTTGTAACGAATTTATATGTAAATCCAAATCAATAAATATTTCTTTCCATTCTATTTGTACTCGACGAGAATCTTCAGTAGTCGAAATATATTTGCATGTGACGGCAATGAAAGATAGCCTTGAATTACCATTCATTCACAATTTTGATTCTACGTTATATTAAAACACATATCATAATAGAAAACACTATTCGTCTCTTTTTCTGTAAGAGAAACTGAATAAAAAACAGTTTTTCTTTTCAACAAAATATCACAGAAAATCGATAAACTCAGCATTATTTGTTCAATTACTGTCGAACAGTGAGATGAGACACTTTCTACCGAATCTTTAGAACCCTCTACTTTTCAAAAAACAAAATCGGCAACCTCAACCATTAATGCAATAATTAATACAATGGCGTGCATGATAAAATTGTATAGACGATTATATATTTCTTCTTTAGCATTAACCTATAAAAAAAATATTAGCAAACATTTTCATCAACCAATATTTGATCCATTATTTGTTGAAATATATTCTGTTGAACAACTTTATTGAAGTAAACTTGGCTATCGACGACGACAAGATGAATAATATTATGTTTACTTACAAGAAGCGACAGGGAACACAAATGGCGCACAGATATAGACTTGTCGATTCCGACAAGTTTTATCTTCTTCGCCAATGAATTTCTTCCAAGAAACGCTTGTTTGCTTACAAAAATATACTTATTCGATCTTTGTTTAAACTATTGTTTTGAAATCTGAACAACCTTTATCAACGAAAGCATAACGCATGTAATAGTTTATATGAGCGGTCTGCGACTACAAAAATTCCATGAAAACGTGAAACCGTTTAGTTGTCTGAGTGTGGGGCATGGCTGGGGTTGGTTCGATATGGTTATGTGTGTCGATGTTACTGATTAAAAGATCTTAACTCTCACCGCATGACCATCATAAGATCATGCGTAATATGTTTTGTGCAACATTGTTTAAATAAAATTTTCTACTGAACAATATTTGGAAGCAAAATATAAGATAAAACAATTCATTCAATTCAGTTACTTTATCATTTATCGATGCAGTAGAATCTGATCTCAGACTAAAGAATAGTAATATAATATATTATTTAGCTGTCGCGTGTATTATTTATATCTTACATATATATCAATATACCAGTATTAAGAGTATCAATCTCAATAAAAACAACATGTAGATATCAGTGTTGTTGTCGTTTTATTATTGGTTTACAAGTATACTATTGCAGAGATGGGGAAGTCAAGTCAAGTCAAAAATGACTGAACTTGATGTATATATTTGAAGGTATTTGATTCACTTCGATGTCGATTTTCTAGCTTGAAATGTAATGGAAAATAGAAATGAAGATCAGGACATATGCTCACATATTGAGATCGCGTGAAACAAGATGATGTTGTTAAAATATGTAGAAAATATTTTTTCTCAATTTCTGTTGGACGTTTCATTTCCCAACAATATGTTTCACGAAAATACGTTGTTTCCTTTGTTTTTATAAAAATTAAATTGATTCATAACTTAGAAAACGATAGTAAAACTATAATATGGGCCAAGGAAACAATGTTGTCGGCAATTTACTTTTAATTTAAGAAAACTTAATGAAAATCGAGTTGAATTCCAACTTGACTTGAATTTTGACTTGCGACTTGACTGGAGCCAAAAAGATCTCTGACTTGCCCATCTCTGTACTATTGTAAGATAACATGAGAAGGTCAACATCAACAAGTGTATGGGTAAGTATAGATTTAAATGAAGTTATCTCTAATCGGTTAGGTGGTCGTTATTTTAGAGGATTGTCGAGAAGACTCTAAAAACTCGGCCAGATGTAATTTTGGTGCCCCGTGGAACATGCTCTGACGTCTAGCAGACTCATCCAACGATACATGTATGAGTTCAGGACTCACCTCTACTTCACCAAGGTGATTCGTGGCTACGAACGCGTCAATATTTATAAAAGTGAATAAAAACAAAAACTTCATTTTCAATCAATTCGATTTATTCAAAAGGAGAATAAAATCAAATCCACGATTCTATACAAGAGAGAATCGTTGAACACGACTACCCAAACTATCCACGACATAGAGATTGCCGTGTTGATCGAATGACAAGCCAACAGGACCTACGAACTGATTTGCTGCTGTCCCTCGACCATGGCCACCTACAACTACAGTGCCCTGTGTTGCCCCTTGAGACCAACGCATCACACGTTCATTATTCCTGTCGGCTATATAAAGAGTACCTAACGCATCCATGATAAGTCCGTTAGGCCAAAACAATTGTTTCAAAGCACTCCCTGTGCCTTGGCCTCCAGCGATGACGATGCCTTCTTTTGCACCTTTATTCCATTTCATAATACGATGATTATTCTCGTCTGATACGTAGACAGTCTGCTGTCGGTCGACAAAAAGATAACCCGCCTCGTTGAATTGATTCACACCAACACCTTTGCCGTTTCCACCAGCAACAACAATACCAATATTGTCTCCCAATTTATACCGTTTGATTTCATGTTTTTCCATGTCAGAGACGTAGAGATATCTCTGATCATCCATGGCTAATCCCTTACAAAAGATGTTGTCGATGAGGATTTCTCCTTTTGTTGTGCCAGTACGACGAGACCATTGCACAACTCGTCGATTGCCTTGATCACAAATAATGAGAGTATCCGTTTCTTTTTCGATCAAAACATCCCTTGGACTACTTAATAGATTAAATCCATTTCCTTGTCCATTGCCGCCAGCAACAACTTGTCCATTCGTATCACCTTTGTTCCATTGGATGATACGATGATTGACAGTATCCGCGATGATCACTGTTTGATTATCATCAACGTAGAGACCTCCAGGATTATTCATTCTATTAGTGGCACTACCTTGCATGCCATTCCCAGCAACAGTCACTCCGTTCTGATTCCATTTGGCATTAGCAGGAATATTGGGCATAACTATGAGAAATAAAAAAAGAATAATAAAACAGCAGATATTGTTCATCTCATTCTCTCTCGCTCGTTGTAGTGCTAGAAAGGCGATATGGAATTGTAGCATGATATCGAGAAATCTTCGCTAATTTGGTGGTATGAGTTACTGAAATCGATTAGTAATAGGCACCATTGTTTAAATCATCTAATTTGGGGCACTAGGGCAAATTCCAAATGTCATGCGAGTCTTTTAGTAATATAACAGCATCGTGTTTTTTCAAATTCATGGTGATTCTCACAAAGATTCTAAAGAAAACTTAAAGGAATTTATTTAGAAAGTTTGATCTGAGATAGATGTAGGAGAATTCTTTCTACCGGTAGTAACCGATAGAAAACTGGAAGGTTCCTGCTAATAATTATTAAAGGATCTTAGGCAATGTTACATAGAGTTCAACTGGAAAATCATGAGGATTCAGAGAAAGATCTTGCGAGATCTTTTTTCAGGGAAAGTAAAAGAATGCCAGAGGACATCTAGATGCTAAATTTTATCAGGTAGCTTTCACCAGTTCACAGAATTAAAGTAAAGAGAAGTGTGCGTTAAAGCATATTATATTCTTGTATATGATTTGATTTGACCAAATTCTGACTAGGGCTGTGACATTATAATTCTTGCTAGGAAAATATTCGCTGCACTATGCACTGCATAGGTTATGAAGTAACACAAAAACTCTTGGATTTCATTTTACTTCCTCAAGATTAGGTACTTTTGGAAGCGTGTTGGTTTTCAATAAAGTTTGAACCAAAGGAACAGAAGAGAGCTTTTGGGGAAAATGTGGTTTGAGGAATTCATTGATACCAATAAAAATTGTACTCGCATATATTCATATCAACAACCATATTCTTGTATGGAAAATTTTGTCTCTGTTTCTCTGGCACCCACATCTGGAGAGAAGCATTTGTATATGTAATGTATGAATACAGGCTAATATATATGAATAAATATTGTTTAATAGAAGTATATAGAAAATATAGTAGTATATGTGTACTCATATCGACGCATCTCTGAGAGAATATCATTTTGCTTAAATTATGCCGCTGCTGGAAGCCATACTGTCTTATAATGAGTCTTTCTCAAATTGACAAGTTGAAAACATATTAGAAATTCTGATAGCATTGTGAAAATCAAAAGAAAATGTTTTTCTCGCAGGACACTTTACTACAAAACAATTTCCTTTTTCTTCTAAAATATGAATATTCTATGAAAAGAAAAGAATACTGTTGAGTATATCTCGCATATATATATTTCATGCAAATGTAGTTACGCGAAGGCGTTCAATTTATTCGTACACGAAACATTAGATCATGAATAAACTTCTCCTATACTCTAATGGAAAAAGTAAAACCGCATTCTTTACTTTACACGAACGTCAATAGTGTTATTCTCTTAATGACTGAATCTATCAATGAAAACTTAACTAAGTAATGCAAGGAGGAAACGACTTGAAGTAGAAAAGTACGACAAAAGTAGGTCAAAGTACATGCTTGCTGAAGCTAAAAAATATTACTCAAGTAGTCCGAAATAAGAAGAAGCAGCTTTACAACTTTGATGTAGCTTCAAGTAACTTTCTATATATACCGCCGAGTGGATAGAAGAATTAAGCAAGATCAAGAAGCGTTAATAAAAAAACTTACAAATTTGTTGGATAGGAATTTTGGTTGTAGTTGTAACTAAAATAAAAGTGTTCATTGCCATTTAGTGTCATAGAAAATATATTTGTAAAAAAGCTTAGATAGTTTTTCATGTGACATAGAGTCTAATATAGAAATTGCTATAATCAAGATTTTATTGCAGTGCCTGAATTTGATAGTATCTGGAAATACAGTCTGCTCTTACCAGTAACTCACTCAGTCTACTGAATCACTGTTACTGAAACTGAACAATAATTTACACATATATAGATAAATTACTGTGCGTGAGTGATTTTGTAAAAATAACTGGTGAATTAACATATTATTCACAGTAATCCATTGACTATATCGCTCAAGTAATTGATGAAGAGAAATATGGCACAGAATAATTGATGTGTACTTTTACAGATACAAATACCTGTAACGCCGTCCATAGAACTCAATCGCATACGATCAATTTTTCCATATGCTTTGACTTTCCCAAGTCGACAAATCCGATGACCAATTCTATCGGATCCTATAACATCCTACTAACCGAGGAAATCCAATTAGATTCTGGGTTTCAGAATTATTGACTGATCCGATGGGAGAATTTAAAAAAATGATCAAAATTCTATTTAGTGCAAAAAAGCTTTTTAGAGATTGATTATAACAGACTGTTTTGGCGTATCGGATCCCAGATTAGGAAACGATCGGATATGTATCGGATTCCGATCATATGGATCCGAATCTCGGTCCAAAACCCGGAATCTGTCGATTCTTGTAGATTTTCATATAAGATCCGAGGTAACCCGTTTTCAGATTCGATTGGATTCAGTTGTAGGAATCAACGACCTGGGTTTAGTATACACAAAGAGTAATAAATGAAACTCATAAGAAGAGCTTTTATTCAGTTACTGCTATTTATTTTCGTTCGACTGCAATTTATCAAAATTTCACAAAGCGTATTCTGGTCTTCCTTGTCACTATCATATCGGTATGAATTTGATAAGTGACGATTTGTAATGAAGGCAAAACTAAATTTCAGAAAGACTCAAGTTCCACTTCAATCTGTAGATCATATTTTGTTCATCTACTTGCTATCGGCGGACATAATTGATTGTTGTAACTCGGTACTGGATAACAAACAGGAATATCACGACATTGAGGATCATGAACACATATATGTTCAGGTTGGCTGCAATTATTCGTTAAGCGGTTGCATGGAGCTAGCTCAGAACAAGTCACCGCATGTCGATTAGTACAGATGCTTGTGCTCGGAGTGCCTGCCCTATGGAAACAGGCACATGCTGAGTTTTTGGAACATTTGCCATATTGAGACATTCCATCACATGCTTGAGATTTTACTCGAACTGTTGATATACTAAATGAATTCGAAGACATAAAATAAAGATAAAAATCAAACCTGTGAGACTGAAAGCAAAAAGAACTTTCAAAATTCGTTAAGTAATAAAATTATGTGTTTTAGAATTACCTAAATAGAACGAATATGAAACAATGTATCAGTGTGGAGAGCATCACTGCAGTTAAAATGAGACAAAATATTGATGGTAACCATACTTATATCTAGTGAATATGAAATTGCTTTTAGATTCATCGTTCTGTAGTCTTTCGATAATTAGAAATTAGATATTGCTTCAATGCTTTCATATTTCATTTTTCTTCAAAAAAACGTAATCCTTAAGAAAAACAATGCAATTAAAGCATCCAGTGATTGTGCTTTTTGCGATGGGAGTCTAGAGATTAATATCATCTTGTATCAAATCAGTCTGTTTCTTTGTTGGTGTATAAAGAGAACGGAAATAATCATGATCAAATTGCTCGGGTCTAATTTCGTCAAAAGCAAGCCGCTTCTCATCTATTTGCATACGCGAACCCTGTAGAATATACTGAGAACTATATTTAATCAAAGTCGATGTTTGGTATAAAATAAAATACTATACTACTAATGATTTAATGATTGAAAAGTACGTGCATTGTCGGTCTTTAAAGAAACGTTAAATCAAAAATAAAATCAAAAAAAGTATTTTTATTTCTTTTTTGTTTTTCTTAAAATGGTCGACGATATTTAAAAAAAGAAAATCAAAGCACATTGTAAATAGTGTCATAATTACCGTAACGTATGGGATATAAAAACAATCGAATATACACCGAAAAGTTATTCGACTGAAATGAATTATATTTAAATTTCATCGTCACCGTCATCGTCATCATCACTGTAATTAATACCAAGAACTCTTTCTCTAAAATTCAATTATTCGATAATAACCAAATTGCAGATAATTTTTAATTTCGATACACTTAATTCTAAAGAATTACATTCGTTTTCTGTGATAGGTTAACTCAAATTCCTTTAGATTAAAAAATAAACTTTCTAATCAATCAAAAAACAATCAAGAAATCCTAATTTTGTCAGAATACTTTATCTAAGGATTTTAGGGCCCAGCGCATAAAATAGAATAAAAATTTAGAAAAATATTCTCCTCATCAGAATTAATCAAAGCAACTCTATTGTAAATGAAGATCACTCGAGTGTTTTAGCTTGAAATATATTGATTGAACATGCATCCACCGAAAACCCGCTTTTTTCGCAATTTGGTCTCAGATAGTCTACGGATTGCTTGGGTGTGAAGGTTTGAATTTGTTTATTCATATAATTCCATCAAATGAACATCTATATAAAGTTTTACTGATATTTCTTAACCCGTATCATACTCAGATTTTAGAATGAGTATCGATGCGAGTGTTTGCTTCTTCTTTTCACATGCACGTTAACGCACTCTATCATTTCGTTCTTTTTACAGAAGGTTGTTTCATAGCAACGATCATTTAATAATGACGTCTGCAAAGACGAAAACACATAACTCATATTGTTGCCAACACAACTTTTATTTTAGCAGTTTTAAGCTTTAGCTCTTTGTCCTCATGGTATATATATATACAGACAAGCATTTTCGTTTTCTATAATAATTATTATCATCTATTATTAAGGCTGATGGTGGTGGAAAAGATAAGAAAAAAGGTCGTGAACCTAAAAATCAAGTCCATCAAGAAGCAATTCTCGTCGAAACAATTCGTAAAGAATTAGCTCAACAAAAACTTTTTACGAATTATTCTGTTAATCCATTCAAGAAATGTAGTTCATGCAATCGAATTGTATTGATTCTATTTATGTATATATTTGATTTTTCACTCTAGCTGAAGCATTAACACCTAAACCAAATGTTTATCCAGATGAAAATGCAGGCGAAGATAGTAAGTGTCTTGGAAAAAACTAAGGTTTGTAATTCATTTATTCTATATTAACAATTTTTATTATTTCAGCATCATTCATTGATATTATACATCGAGCTAATCTTGAACCAGAAAAAAAATATAAACAACCACAAACAACAAACCAAGAAATTGGATGGTTTCATGAACCATTAGTATGTGTGATTTTCTTATTTATATCTTAATATGGAGTTTTATTTTATCTAGTTAAAAGTCAATCGTGCTGATATTCGTCTTAATTTTCCAATGATTAAATCCGAAATTTCTGCATATGCTGAAGAATATTTTAAATTTAAACCAAAAAAATATGACAAAAGCATTCGTGCACCTGGCGAAGATTCAAAAAAAAAATAAACGTTCTATATACATATTCTTTTTTTTCTTTTCATTCTGTATGAAACAAGAAAAAAAAACAATTCCGATATAATACATAGTTCTATTTAAGTTGGATACAGTCGATTATTAAAATTATTATTGTGTTGTTGACGTGTTTGTTGTGGATAATAGGAATTATCATTCGTAGGTGAATTATATTGTTGTTGAAAATTATCTTCGATTAAATATTTTAACGGAATTGGATAAGTAATAATATCACGTTGAATAAATGCTATATGAGTATTAGATCGCATGGTAATCATATCATGTGGTAATGTAAAATTTTGTTGGGAATCTAATAATTGTTGATTTTCCCATCTTGAACGTTTTTTATTTCTATCTGGTGACATATCACGATTTCGTTCATGTACAGATGCGACTGAAGCAGCAGCAGCGGCTGCCGCTGCAAGTTGTTGCTGATGTCTTTCATGGCTTTCAGCAGAAGCATGTTTAACATCAATTTCTTTACCATCAATAATATGAGGACGTGATTCAACAACATGATCAGCTATTTGTGGCGTTGTAAATTGTACAAAACCAAAACATCGTGAAAGTTTTGTTGCCGGATTTTTGATAACAACACAATCAGTTAGCTCTCCAAATACTTGAAAGTATTGATGAAGCATTTCAGTTGTTGTTGATCGTGTTAAACCCCTATGGCAATGAAAGATATATAATAAGGAACGTAATGTTATAGGCGACAGCCTTGTACTGAAATGATATGATCACTTTAAACATATGAATTCGATATGACTAGCTGAGAAATTCTGAGTATTTATATTCGCTAGAAAAGAACGTTTAAGATATCAAAATGGTCAGCAAGTAACAAAACTCGATACTGTATGCTCGAAACGAATTTTAACAAACCTGATCAATGACTTAGAACGTTGAGGAAAATATTTCGATGAGAGCTATTATCTAAATATTCTATTTGATTCGAGTTATCATTCAAAGTAGTCATCAAACTAGACTATTAGTCTCACACTATCCTGTTACATATATGGAAGGAAATCCAAATGCAAATATTGTATTTCAATGAAACCTATCTTCAATTAAGAGAATTGATATTAATTGAAAGATATTTTCATCAAATAAAAGTTTCAGTTCTTTTATGCCTATTGCGAAATTATTTTCGTGTTGATTTGTGAAAAGTTTTTACTCAATATCACGCTTAGGACACTGTGCCACGCTCCACAATCAAGCCAATATGCAGTTATCATATGGTTCTCAACATTCTGAAATCTGAATCTAGTGTAGTTTTCCAAGAAGCGGCTAGCCATTTTCAACATGAAAATAACTTACTCTTACGATAATTTTGAGATACATCCGGTAAGATTTCTGATAACATAGAAATTATGAGAGCAACTCTATATGTACTGAAATATAATTTTAGATGTTAAGTCTTGCTAAGTATTGTGAACTGTTCTGTCTTAAATTTTACAGGGCATCTGGAGCATGAGGGTTGCGTTAAAATTTTTCATAAATGGGATCTCACTGCAATAATCTGCACAACGAGGCAAGTATTTCATTAATAGATTGTTACGAATCTATTCTGGATATGAGCTATATTATCGGTTTTTATATATCTACGAGTAGTACATTTGGAATTGTCCAAGTACTAGACAACTTTTCAGCAAGATACCCTGCTGGAAGCTATCCCAGTATTCGAGTTTCCTGAACTAAGTACTTGTCCTAGGGGTGAGATTTGTTTCGGATTCCAATTATTGAAATATTATAACCGTAGTCTAAAACTAGCTCCAAGATATTTCCTTCCGTTTATTCCATTTTTGTTTTACTGTTACAATACGTGTCTGCATGTATCTCTTCTAAAAACAGGTCCAACAGGAGATGCGCTTGCATACGTTCCATCAACCCCTTATTGTAACCAGGAAAAGAAAAACCTTATCATAAGAACAATACCAATGGATGAAAACAAAAAAATTGAAGTAGCAAATTTCGAAAAGCTAATCACAGATTCGAACTCCGCGACTTCGAGCAAACTTTTTCGATATGGTCTATGATGGATGTCTCAGGTACTACATACTAGGATAATAAATTGATGAACGATGCAAACTCAAATTTTAGTACAGGGAATAGACTAGTTGACTACTTAAGTCGTACGGATGTAACAGTGATGGTTCATCAATATTCCATACAGTTTAATACTGGAATTAACGTGTAAGCATAGATGAATGCTGAATGAAGCATGAAAATATGATGATCTTGCAGGTTTTTGATAGAGAAGATCAGTCATTATATAGAAATAAACTATTCATTCGATCTACTCGAAATGACTCCACGATTCATTGTTCTATAAGTTTATATCTAGATCAAGGTCCCATGTCGCGAATACCGCTTCAATTTTTGCGGTAAACCGCAGTAATTTTAGAAAAGCGGTAAATTTGTATGAAAAGGGAGCCGGTAACCGGAGCTGTAATACCGCGGTTAACCGCTAGTTTTTTCGGTACTCTTTTTTTACCGTCATCATATAGGAAAAAAAGATGCTTAAAATAGCCCGATCAATGACTTTTAGCAACAATTTTTTATAAACGCTCAGCGAACCGGTTAATAGAAAAATACCGGCGGTAAACCGCGGTGTTTCTCGAAACCCCCGGTTTATCGCAGTAAATTTGTGTTGATGGGAGCCGGTAACCGGAGCGGTAAAACCGCGGTAAACCGCCCATTTTACTCCGGTTTTTCCAACATGGGATTGCTCAATACTGTAGCATCCCCTGTCAGTTATGATTAAAACTTAAAAACAAAAATCGAAAACCAAAGTGAGGTTTGAGTTTCACGAATACGCAAATGCTTTCTCATAGTAAAGGTTTTATCAATTTTGAAAAAGTGAAGTTTCGATTAGTAAATAAAAATATTACATTAAATATTAATATGATTAAAAACCGACAAAGCTCATATCATATTTACCCAATGAATAATTTACAAGGATCGTCGTCTCTGTCCATGATTTGCTTTTAAAAATTCTGTACAAAAACAATTATTTTTGTAATAGCCTAAAACCGGACCAAGTGCAAATTTACAATCTAAAATGAAAAACATTTTTCATCACTGATTCTTTCCTTTTACTATCTGTATATATTTGTGTGCAAAAATATCTTCTAGCATTTTTCATCTATGTCAACATGATCAACAACAAAAAAGAAAAAAAACAAAAACCTGATTACTAGTATCTGACTTAATCTATGATATTGCTTGCTTTTTGATAATTATATACATCAAAGAAACGAGAAAAAAAACGACTAAACTTTTTATAATAAAAAAACTAAATGGCCTATCACAAGTATCTATCTCTTATTTGACTCTATTAATCCCAATCTTCAGCTCCACCTGCCGATGCAGTACCACCACTTGGAGCTACACTTTGAGCGTGAGTAAATCCACCGGAACGCATCTAAACATTAAAAAAAATTCAAACACTGATAGAAATAATGTTTCAATCAAATTTACATCTGTATTTTTCGCGGATAAAGCACCACGATTAAATGCTGAGCCACTTTCAGAATATTTCTTGAGAAATTCAGGTACTTCTTGACCAGCCTATTTTAATCAATAAAAAAAAGTATATTTCCGCCGTTAATAATTATCAATAATATTTACTTCGCTTAATTTTAGTGTAAGTTCTGGTGCAATAGTTCGATCAGATTCTCGATCTGGATCAAAAAATGAAATTGATTTACCCAAATGACCAGCACGACCTAAAGAGAAAAATGTTCAATATTGTTTCAAATCAATTTCAATTGATAATAAGACCTGTTCGACCAATACGATGAATGTAAAAATCACTTGAATCTGGTAAATCATAATTAATTACATAACCAATAAGTGGAAAATCTAAGCCTCGTGCGGCAACTGATGTTGCAACAAGTATAGGACATTTTCCAGTAGTAAATTGTTGTACAGCTTCTACACGTTGTCGTTGTGTTCGATCACCATGCATTGTTGTACTCATAAAATTTCGTTGTGAAAGTAAAGCACCAATATAATCAGCTGATCGCTTAGTTTCAACAAAAATCAAACATCGCTCAGATTCTAGAAAAAAAAATCAAAATTGCTAATTAAATAAGTCTAAAGCAAAACTGTGCTTGGTTGTGTTGAAAATAATCGTTTCTTCGAAATTGAATAAAACGATTATTCTAACCTTAGATTTCAGAGACAAATAAGTCGGATATACATGTATCTATGACATCTATAACCGATACTCAATACTTCAGTCATGGATTTTGATTTTATCTTGTCGAAATTCTGATGTCGAAATTAAGAAAAACAAAGTGACTTTTATATTACATTTTTTTTCTAATTAACTGCATGATTCGCAAATCATGCGTCATTTGCACAATATAATTAACACCTGAGAAAGCTATCCTGATTGAATTCTCGAATAGTACAACTTGCTCGATTCCGACGGCTCATCATTCAAATTCTCAAGACAGTTTAAGTCTTACTGCCAATCTAACTCAACCTTTTCATCAGTTGATATTTAATGATTGTTTGATCTTCAACTAGGTCTCTATAACAAAAAAATATTGTTGTTCTTACTAAGATTTGCTTCAAGTAATTCGAAGAGTCGATCTTTTTTATTGGCTTGTTGTACAAGTTCAATAGTTTGTGAAATATCTTCATTAGCACCACCGAGTATGCCAACAGCAAGAAAAACATAATCATCACGAAGAAAATGTTTAGCAAGTCGTTGAACTTCATCAGGAAATGTTGCAGAAAACATTAGTGTAATACGTTCACCTTTTTGTGGTAAACCAAGATCTTCTAATTTACGAATATCAGGTTCAAAACCAGTATCTAGCATTCTTTTAAAATGAGAATGCAATAAAATAAAATCAGCAACGAAATAATTCTTCATTTACCTATCAGCTTCATCAAGAACAAAATATTTAACCTTTTTTAATGAAATCTACAATAAACATTCAAAATATTTATTCAATTCTTGAAATTGCAATTCAATTTACTCGGCCTTTTTCAACCATATCCTTAAGACGACCAGTTGTTGCTGATAATATATGGCAACCTTCACGGAGACGATCCGTAACAGTAAACATATCAAGACCACCAACAGCAGAGCCTAATAAGAAAAAAATCATTCTATTAAAAAGTGAATTGCTTTCGTTTTTCTGGATAATTTACATGGTTTAATAGCAGTTTGATAAGCAAATTTTCTTGCTTCACGTTCTGTTTGTAATGCAAGTTCACGTGTTGGCGAAATAACAAGACAAAGAGGTGCTGGTGGATGATGATTTTCAGATAATTCATCCGCATGATATTCAAGTAAATTTGAAATAATAGGCAAAAGAAAAGCCGCCTAGAAAGATTACTTTTAATATAGTATATCAATCATTTTTATTGCTGAAAAGAATAGCATACCGTTTTACCCGAACCAGTTTGTGCACATGCCATTAAATCATCTTGTTGTCGAGTGCATGGTATTGCATATTTTTGAATTGTTGTCGGCTCATCAAAATGAGCACGACGAATATTGGATAGAACTTGTGTACCAAGATTTGCTTCTTCATACAATTCAATAGGTTTTACTTTGCCTTAAATAAAACAAAAGCAAACAGTCAAAATCAAATAGAAATAATTCATGGCTATTTCTCATTACCTTCCGGTGTACATCGTACTTGTGTTCGATTATATTTACCAAAATTTTCACCTTTACTAACTGCTTCACCGAATATATCAGCCTCACTAGTTGGAGCAGGCGGTGGAACATATCGTTCAACAGGATTTCCACCGTCACGATTACCAGCTAGAATAGATACATTGTAAAAATTCAAAAGAAACTGGTTCTATTAAATGGTTTGGTTTCTCAAGAATATTATAAAAATATCGATTTTTAGTTACAATGTTACGTCGACGAAAGTCCGAAATTGCTTTCGGAAATACTGTTTGATAAGTTTGAGAAAGAAGCTTTTTTCAGATCACCTTTAACTATCATTTAGTAGAATAAAGATCTGATAATACATAGTCTCAAGTGTTTAGGAACCTATAATACGTATAGACGATATAATTTCATATGAAATAACTCCCATGAAAACGCAACGAGTTGAACAAAGATCTAATCGATTGTAGTTGCTTCTATCAGACTACGTAGAAAGTTACATATACTTACGTTGATCAAAAATATCATCAGATACCTAAATCAGACAAAGAAATATGTGTAGTAAAAAAAAAAAATACAAAACATTATCTACTTTATCATTTTTTCGTCCCCCACCAAAGAATGTACCACCACCGCCACCACCTTCTACAAGAGTTTATCATAGAAAAACAAAAAATTCTTATTTACAGACATACCACGACTCTTTTTTGGTTCAGGACAGTCACGAGATTGATGACCTGGTTGATTACTATTTAAAAAAACAGCAATAGGTGAAAACACTGTCATAGAAAAAAAACAGAAATAGAAACCTACCAGTTGAAACAATCTAAGTAAGAAAAACAAACGAGACGTACAACATTACATGACATTTAACTAAAACAAAATTCTTCTTACTTCCATTATTTCGATTGTCTAAAAACAAAAACAAATATTAAAGAAAATACAATTTGAACAAATTCATCAATTACCTCGGTCACCACCATTGAAGCCTCCTCTACCACCGCTAGTGAATCCTCCTCGATCGCCGCCACTACTAAATCCTCCTCGACCACCACTAGTGAATCCTCCTCGATCACCACCACTACTAAATCCTCCTCGATCACCACCACTACTAAATCCTGCTCGATCACCACCACTATTAAATCCTCCTCGGTCACCACCGCCAGTGAAGCCTCCTCGGCCACCTATGTAAAAATTTTCTTTTTTTCATAAAATTAGTAAAATAAAAATTAATTACCTCGAGATCCACTAGCACTAGTAAAGCCACCTCGCGTAGATGAATTATTGTCAAATGTTGAACGTTTAGGAGCATCGTCTGAATCGTTATTTTCTGCACCTCCTCGCCATCCAGTAAAGTTTGGTTTCGAATCATTATTATCATTTTGATTTCTCGTATTACGAAATGTATTTGCACCATTATCAGATGATCTGAAGCTGGGCTTACGATCACCACCATCACCTGAATTGAAATCGCCACGGCCACCACGAGTATCTTTTCGTGGTTCTGGACAATCGCGACTCATATGACCAGTTTCCTTACAATTGTAACACGCTTTCAAGACGAAAAAACAGATGAAATAAAAATTTCAATTAATCAGATATTTATATAAAACTTACCACGAGAATTTCCTTCATTACCACTTCGAAATCCTCCACTACTCCCATTATTGAATCCACTTTGTCCGTTGCGAGCTATTCAAACATAGTTATTTCGAATGGAAAACAAACATGAGTCAGAGGTACCTCCAAAACTATTACCAGTATTGCGAGAGCCAAAGTTTCCATCATCATTCGGTTTACTATTTTCAATGTTACTGTTACGAAAACTACTGAAACTACCTATTGTACTAGTGGCAGTGGCAGTGGCGCTACCGCCACTGTTCCATTTAGATGTTGGTGCAGGTTCTAAAATAAAAATAGTCAAAGTATTCTTCTGCTTATCACACAACCTACGAGTAAAAAGTCGTAGGGTAATACTTTCAAGTCACGAAAAACAGCAAGGATTTCATATTCTTTGTGCTTATTTAGGAAGAGTTGTATTTTACGACTTCCAATTAGCTCATTCAGATTAAATCATTGATGACAGACAACAATTTTTGTAAGAAGAAAAACATCGTCATATTATGTCGTTACATATATTATCTTATTTTTCCTGAAAATTAGACCCATTTCTTTTGTCTACTGGATGGTAAAAAGAAAGAAATGAATTCAGCGAATGTGAAATTTCTGCCTTGAATAATGGACGAAAATTGATTACAAATGTTATATCATTTCTAAACGTAACATAGAGAGAAAAAACAAGGTACAAAAATGTTTACCATTATCATTATTCGATGGAAATGATAGTTTTCCACGTCCAATACCTAATTTTTGTACTATTGGTGGCTGTTCAAGAAAAAACAAAACAAAATGAAAACTTCATCACTAAAATTTTTATCTCATTTTCTTTCAAAACAAACCTGTTGAAATGTTTTAGGTGTTTCATCATCATCCCAAGTTTCTTCAATCATAATTTTAAAAGCAAGAAACAAAAACGAAAAAAAAAAGAAAACTAAACCAGTATCTAGAATCAAGCAAATAGTTACTAAACAAGAATCATAGTTGTTCGTTTATAGTTTCTATGTTTTTATTATTCTTCTTATTTCTTTATTTTCTTTCAAGTTGTTCAATAAGCAAAGAAACAAACATTTAACAACAAAGATTATGCTCATTTTGAATTGTTCTTGTTTATTTCTTTTTGGCAGCTGGTGCTGTTGCAGCAAAAATCTTAAATTTATTTGCAATACGTTGTGATTTGGCAACAAATTTACGAGGTTTGCTCTTCTTTGTTTTAGCAGCCAATTTGGTGATGTTTTTCTTCTTTAAACGATTGTATTCATGACCTACAATACGATTATATGCTTGTTTAGCTTTTAATAATTTGAATCGATCAAAATCAGTCATGTTTGCACGTAAATGTTTAGCTTGTATTTTTTTACACCAACGTGATGATTGCCATTTCTGGTTGATTTCATGTTTGTCCCAAAGAGCTTTAACTGTTTTCGAACGAGCTCCAGGTAAAAGCTTAAGAACATATTTAGTTAAATGTAAAGCTTTAATATTTATTGCTTGACGAGCAACATGTGATGATGGGCCATCGATGAGAACACGAGTCTGATCGATAATATTTGTGATACAACATATTTTGCCTGTTTCGGGACCAAAAGCAACGTAGGCAACACGGCCTACTTGAACAAGACGATCGTAAGGCATGAGTTATTCTTTCTAAAATTAAAGGAAAAAAATTAGAAGCAAATTCAACTTAGGGATTGTTCGAAACACAGTGAAATGAAAAGTGATGATAAATAAACAAATATTCGATTGGTGGAAATGTAATGAACTGAAATCATAATGTTGGATCATCGACATAAACTTTAAAGGAATAATCAAAATGAAAATTATATATAAGATGAATATAAAAATTGAAAATTAAGTTTTTGAAACAGAAAAAAGATTTTTTATATAAATATATCAAGCAATACTTGACAGTGACCTCTGTTTGAAGACAAAAAAAAATATTTATATCGAAGGCGAACAAATCAAATGATGCATGGATTACATTCATATTGTAATAGTATCCAACATATTATAAAGAAAAATTAAATAAATTTAGGAAAAGAATCTCAAGAATTTAAGACAATAATATCTTACACTATCGTACAGGTCATAATCTGCCAGATGTCATTAGAAGATTATGTCTTTTCTCGCTTTTGATATAGTGAAAACCAAATTGAACTCATTTTCCATTGTTTCCGTTGAGACTTTTCGTTTCTTAATCGATTTGTAAATACTCTTTGATCATTATTATGCAGAGATATTGTACGCAAAAACAAATGTGAATAGATGGCGCGAAATCATTGTTTATATTCGCTTGAAGCTTGATGTAAACTATCCAATGGAAAACCACATACCCTATTATTGTCCTTCATAGATGAGTCATCTTTCATAACTTTTCTGTGTTTGTCAACGGGCTTGCAATTGTTATTCGTATATTGAAAAAGCAGAAATCAATTAAATAATCTCTACTCAGTTCAATGATATGATTAAAAGTTAAATAATGGTAGCCACAGGCTCACGTGATCGACGTTCATCGTCATTGACAACTCCTTCAAATAAACGATGCATATCGTCATCAGTTCAAGATAAAAAAGTTAGCTTGTATTCTCATTAGTGTTTTTCTCTCAATTTAGATTTTTATTTTTCTAGAAAGTCGTTAAACCACTTGGAATATGTAGCTTTTGCTTGGGTGATGAAGAGAAAAACGCAAATGGTGTACCTGAAGATATGATAAGTTGTTCCGAATGTGGAAATTGCGGTATGATCAACATATCTTTATTCTCCTTGAAAGTATAATATTAATTTTTTTTTCATAGGTCATCCATCATGTTTAAAATATTCAGACAAACTTGTTAAAAAAATAAAAACTATTCGATGGCAATGCCTCGATTGTAAACGTTGTGTGATTTGTACCAAAGCCGATGATTCGGTAAGTAATGTTCGAATGATTGACAGATGCTGTTTTTTATCAACATATTGTTAGGAACAATACGGTACTTGATCTTAGAAAAAATCATTTAAATATAGACTTGTCTTCAGAGAATTCTAGTTTTATATTTTTCTTTTATTTTTTTTCTATCTATGTTTCATTGATGATAATGCAGTGAGATTGACTTTATTTTGTATTAGAAGTCATATATCATTTTGAATTTTTTTTTGTCATTTTCACAATAAAACGAGCACTTATGAACATCTACTACAAAAAAAGATGCTTTTCCCATATTTCGAAATAAATTCTATTTCATTTAGTTACTTTTCTGTGATTTTTGTGATGCTGCGACTCATCCAAAATGTTGCACACCACCGTTAAATCACATTCCTAAAGGTGACTTTGCTTGTCATAATTGTCGTGAAGATAGAACAATGAAATCATCAGGAAGAAAATCTTTAACAACAGCATCATCTACACGTTCTCTTCGTAGTCATAATTATAATGACGACGAAATGCCTATCGTTATGTCTCGTCCTGTTGCTCAATTAATTGATGGAATGTCAAATTTTTTCTTACCAAAAAAACATCAAAATAATAATAGTCAACGACAGCAGTCAGTGCAAAAAGCAATGAACTATTTAAGAAATAAAACAATTAAATCGTCAAGTCAAACTATACTTAAACGATTGAATACAAGATTACAATCAACAAATAAAAAGGAAAAAGATAAAAATCAATTATTAGCAAGAAATATTCTAGCTTCATCAAAAACATCACGTATACGACGAAAACCATTAAGTTTATCTGATGATCCTCATGTCAAGTTAGTTCTCATTTGATATTTTGACTTTATAGAAAATATTTTAAATTTAGTTCTGAAATCGATACAACTACACCAACAATGACACGTCGTTCAATAAATAAGAAAGCATTAACGTCTGGACCGATAACGCCAACTCCTCGAATTAGCCGGCGATCAGGTACTCATCCAATTGCAGAATCAAGTAAAACAAATTCCCCTCGATTGCATACTAAGCGAAAACATTCAGCATCACCAATACCTCAAACACCGATAACAATAAAAAAACGAACAAAAAATGATTCTTCGATAAAGAAAACACCTTCAATACGAAAAGAAGTTAAAATTGAAGAAGACGAAGTGGAAGATGACACAAACGAGCAGCAAGATAAATCAACAGTTGGTAAACGAAAAATTAATTTGGACTTATCCAGTAAGTTCTTGAACCCATAATTACATATTCCTGAAAAACAAATATCACTCGATGAGATCTTCAAAGAAAATTTCTTTTATGATACACCATTTCATTTAAATTCATCACGCTTAAGCGAACTTGTAGTGATGCGCGTTCGATCTTCTTATTATATCTATTTTATATTTGTGTAGAATACAAAACTCCACCAGCATTTCTTCATGATTCACTTCCAGACACAATAGCCGCCAATGATGTTTATATATTTCTTGATGCACGTAAAAATTCTACAAAACTCATTTTAGATGTAAGTATTTACTACATACAACAAAGAAAAAAAACCCAAATATCCCATTAATTCTATGTTTATATAGTGTTCAGAAAAATTTCATCATTCAACTGAATCAATGGAAGAAGATGATCCAAATAATATTCGTTGGCCACCATATATCGTTTTTGGTTCAGAATTAATTAAAACATGGTATTCATCATCTTATCCTCAAGAATATGCACGTGTTCCTCGGTTATATATATGTGAATTTTGCTTAAAATATATGAAATGTGAAGAAGTTTACGATCGACATCGTGTACGTATTTTGTTTTCACTATACGCACTAAAACACCATTCTGAAATATAAGGAGAAGCTAAAAAAACATTGAAAATATTTTTCAGGATTCTTTTTTAGGAGATTTTCCCGAAGTTTTCCTATCGTTAGGTTTCAATGGAGATATTATTCTAATAGATGTGTTCGTTTGTTTTTAGAATAAATGTCAAACATTTCATCCGCCTGCCAATGAAATCTATCACAAAGATAATCTATCAGTATTTGAAGTCGATGGAAATATCAATCGAATCTATTGTCAAAACTTGTGTCTTTTAGCAAAATTATTTCTTGATCATAAAACTCTTTACTATGATGTTGAACCATTTTTATTTTATGTGTTAACTAAAAATGATTCAAGTGGTTGCCATTTTGTGGGTTATTTTTCTAAAGAAAAACATTGTCCACAAAAATATAATCTATCATGCATAACTGTTCTACCGAATCGTCAACGTCAAGGTTACGGACGTTTTTTAATTGAATTAAGTTACTTATTATCACAGAAAGAACGTCAAATCGGTACACCAGAAAGACCATTGTCTACTCATGGTGCACAAACTTATGAAGCCTATTGGAAAATAAAAATAGCGCAACAACTATTTAATTATTATAATAAAAAGAGAGATAAATGTAAATTAAAAGATCTGATGAGTGACACGGGTATGACCATTGATGATATTATTGATACATTACAAAATTTAGGAATTTTAACAATGAAAACAAATCAAAAGTAAGTTGAAAACTGATTTAATATCTCGAATGAGCAAAATATGTTATGTTAAATGTACAGAATAGAATAGTTGGTGGAAAAAATCCAGAGAATGAATTTGTAGTTGCATAAATATTGAACCCGAATGTTTAAATTAAATCTAGAGAAGATTAGTATGAAATTCTGATTATTGAACTATTTTCGATGCTTCTAATATTTGTCAGTCACACTCCATTGGATTTGTTTACTCCGATTGAATAGATTTGCAAATATTTTGATTTTCTTTATAAGGATTCTTAATTTCTTCTTTGTTTTGCTTTTAGACCTGTCATTATTGTTGATGGTCAACAATTAGCAACCATAATTAAAACTGAAAAGATCAAACATGCTCATTGGGTTTCATTAGATAGTGAATTTGTTCGTTTTACACCAGTTCTCAAACCCATGTTATTCATTCATGATGAAAATTCAATTGAAAATCGATTTAAAGATGTACAAATTGTTTTCAAAAAAATTCAATCCGATATTGTCGAGTAAGTTTTGCTTATTCTCTAAAACAAATCTCTCACTTTTCTTTGTTGAATATTTAGACCTGTAGGAAATCTTTCGGAGTCAGCCGATGGACTGAATCAAACGAAAACAACTGAAATTGTTCGTTATGTTCGTAGACGAAAATTTGGTAAAAAACGTCGTTCAACCTATATTAAATGTCGAGTATCAAACAAAAATGAATCGAACATAGTTAATCATGATGATGATCAATCGCAAGAATATATTGCTCGTCGACGAGATTCAATAGTAAACGAATCAGTTAAAGAAGAAGAAAAACCTCCACCATTGTCACCAATCAAATCTTCTCCGAAGCAACCAATATTTAAACAATTAACAATCGATCAATTTCTTAAAAAAACTCCCACAACTTCACCGGTTACGGACAAAATAAAACAAGAGAAAACTATAGAAACAATACCAACAAACAATAATAATACAAATGAAACGACTACAGTAGTAAAAAACGAAGATAATGAAGAATTCTCTACACCAAAACAACCTAAACGATTATCAAATGCTTCTCATATATCAAAATCCGAAACTGATTTAGCTCAAATTGCAAATGGAATTTCTACAGAAACTTTAAACAAATCAAATCGTAAGTACTGATAGCCACAATGAACTTAGATCTAGATAATACTTCTATGCTATTGGAGGCCATTTGTAACTATTTCGGTTACTGAGGAATCGGAATGATTCTATAACGATGTTTGATTTCTGTCGAAATACTAGAAGCGTTTGTTCTATTCTTTTTGTTGATATGTAATAATTGTGATTTAATTCTTTTAGTTAACAATCATGGCTTATTAGTAAGGCAATTAAGTGATGTAACTATATCATCAAATGATAGTTCAATAACTACCGTTAATTCGCCGTTACCATTTAAAAAACGAGCGTGGACTTCAACAACTTTACAAGCTTTAATAGATGCACCGTCTAATGCTGAGGTTTAAATGCTTTTACTATGAAAATAGATTCTTAAATAAAACTTAATTTAGAAAAATGATCACTCATTTACATTAAGTCCCGAAACAAGTATTACAACACCTTCAACTTCATCAGATATTCTTACTAATCCGCTAATGAAACCTACCTCATCACTTCAGAGTAGCGACGAAGAACTAAAATCTACTCCTATTGAATCTGAATTAAAAACTTCAACTGGAGAAGTTGAAACAAACGATGATCAATCATCAATGTCAAACAATACGTCACAATCAAATCATTTTAATTATACAACCCGAAGTAGTGTTGCTAAAAGACAGCAACAACAACAGTCGATAGCAATGAATACTTTCAATAGTTCAAACAATATGACATTTAATTATGGAGAACCATCATATCCATATCCATATCCATATCCATACTCCACTGGACCATCTATGGATATGCAATCATTTTATTATCCATCACCAATGCCAATGGACTATATGCCCTATTATCCGACACCATCATCGCCTATGCATGGATCAGCACAACAAATATGTTATCCACCGAATGGTACCAATCCATTGCCGTATACTGGTAATTCAACATCTCATTCGTCGTCAAATGGACGAAATTAGACATAGACATGAGTATTAGCATGTAGAATCCAGTTCGGTCAGATAGGATGATGAACTTATTTTTGTTTTTGTTTTTGCCTGTGTATCTCTTCATGTAAACGGAAAGAACACAATGTTTTTATTTATTTCCTATCTCGTATTTTGTTTATTTCTGCAATAATATATATGTATATGTACGAAAATAAAACCAAAAACAAAGAGAGAACTATCAAATGCATAAAATCTTTGTTTGCGATTTCTTTTCTTTTGTTGAGTTTTTTTTTAATGTATATAGTGTTTGTCATGTAAAACAGTGTTTCCGTCTCTTTTTTTGGTCCTGTCTTTTTTTTCGTCTTCTGTTTATATTAACGAAAGGAATTAACTATGTTGCTCAAACAGCAATATAATAGGATTACGCATTAATATAGAAATTAACATATTTTGTCCTTTTTTTTCTGAAATATTTTGTCTATTAAACTATTGATCTCAATGTGAGCGAACATATGGATCTATTGACTGTGAGTCAAATTCGTGTCTTGACGATAGAACCTTACGGATTGGTGAGGATGTTCGAATGAATATAGAAATGATGAATACTACTGCTTGATGTGACATTCATAGATTTTGAAAAAAATAGTTTTTTTATTTTTCCGTAAGACAGAAAAATTCGATGTATGCTTAAAATACAATTTATTAAAGTGAACAGATTCCTCGCTGTTTATCGATCGATTTGAAGACCTTTGAAAATATCAAAGTCCTACTGATTGTTCTCTGAAAATGTCTTTGTAAAGATAAGACTGCAGTGAACCCATTATCGACTAGGAGAAAAAAAAGAAGAAAATATTTCAGTTCTTTCCATTGCGTTTATGCTATCGACGTCTAAGTTTTTGCTGTATTGGTCTAGCAAGCATGTTTTCGCCTCTATTTTGACTATGCCAGTTCTCCGTTCTTTTACTCGTCCATCATTAGGCTGGATAGAAAAAAAATTAATGTCGACTCTATTCGACGAGCACTCGTTTTCTTCCGATTCAACGCTAGAGAGAGAGACAGAGAGAGAAGCAAAAACTTGGTGTGCCATAAACGCAGAACGAACAAGAAATTCTAGCTGGTTCTTTTTTTGTGTGAGTAACACAATTGGTTGCTGTTGTTTTTCTCTGGAAATACTGAAAATAGTAAGTCAGTTGTTGACAAATAACATTTTCTTTTTCTTAAAATATCAATTAGTTTAATCGTTTGATATTTTTCTCTTGTAGATATAACGATTAACTGTCAATACAATGTCGCGGCCAAAAGTTCTCTTTTATAATTCAAAATCATACGATGTAGCAACATTTCGTAGAGCGAGAGAAAAGTTCAATGCGTACGACAAACTTCATTTCACCTTTCTTCAAAGTAAATTTAATGAAGAAACAGCGAGTGAAGCTGCAGGATGCGCTGGCATTTGCATATTTTCTAATGAAACTCTAAGCGATTCACTTCTGGAAACAATACATAAACACGCTAGTTCGGTGAAATTCATAGCTGTACGTACACTCGGTTATAATGATACTCACAAAGAAGCAATGGAAAAATATGGAATTAAAGTTGTTGGTGTTCCAAGTTATTCACCATATGCAGTTGCTGAACATTCAATTGCACTTCTACTATCACTCAATCGTAATATGCATCATGCTTTCTTTCGTACGAAACAACACAATTTTAGTCTTGACGGCTTAGTCGGTATCGATCTCTTTGGAAAAACAGTGGGCATCATTGGAACTGGTGCCATTGGCATGTGTGCTGTTAAAATATTTTTAGGTTTTGGATGTAAAGTCATTGCTTATGATATTAAACCTGATGAACAAGCTGCGAAAGAGAAAGGTTTCGTGTACAAATCTTTGGATGAATTACTTCAGGAGAGTGATGTCGGTAAGTGATCTTATATATTTACTTGTTTAATCGTTAAAATCCTTTACCAATGAATTTCTGTTTTTCAAAATTTTATCTAGTCTCACTCTATGCACCATTGAATAAATCGACGCATCATTTAATTGATAGTGTTGCATTGAACAAGATGAAACAAGGCGCTATGTTGATCAATACAAGTAGTGGTGGTTTAGTCGATGCTGAAGCATTAGTTAATTGTCTTAAAGCGAGCAAATTACGAGGAGCTGCATTGGATGTTTATGAAAACGAAAAAGATTATTTTTACAAGGATTACAGTCAACGGGTATATTTATCTTTTAATCATCTCAACAGAAGTCAGACTTTTAATATTCTTTGTATCATAGGTTATGAATGATGATACATTGGCACGTTTAATTTCAATGCCCAATACTATTGTTACATCGCATCAAGCGTTTCTTACTGAAGAAGCACTTAAAAATATAGCGGAATCATTAGTACAAAAGTTACTTGAATTTTTCTGTGCAAGTTCAGAAGTCAAACCATCATCATAAGAGAATTAAAATGCCAAAGAATATCCATAAAACTATCATCTAGATGCTTATTCCAATGAACATGAATCTCTATTATTCAGTCAACACAATTTAGTGTCTTAATTATTTTAGATCCTAATGTATACAAGAATGACAACAGCAGAGAAAAAAAAATATCCATTCATTTTTATGTATCGTAGAATATTTTTTTCCATTCAATAAATCATGATTATCCCTTGACTATTGTAACATAACGTTCATTCATACACTCGCATATTCTCATAGCTGAATATGGCCGATTGTTCAAAAGGGCACAGAATTCTACTTACAAAGATGTGCACTTTTATTTTGTTTCAAAGTCAAAAAGTCAATTTCCATCAATCTTTGACTGTTGCCATAAAATGATGGCTTTAACTGGATGGATATACCAATGAATAATTTGTTTGTTACTATTTTCTTTTCTTTCTATTTGACCTGGTTGCATTGTCACTGTTTACGTTCATCGTAGATACACGCTAGTGTCAACGAAACAAGAAAATGCCAATACATTCTTGCTTATTTTTGGAATAGATTCATTTCGATAGTTAGCTCTTGAAAACTTCCAATAGATTCGAAACTAGATAGTATTTATCATTTTTTTAATCTAGCGTTATTTTATTCAGAACTTATCTGCTGATAATTATTTTAATTCTCAATATTTTTAATATTTTGTGAGATCTCCATTCTACACATTGCGTTGATTTGAATCCTTGATATTTAAAGGTTTTTTTAAATTTTTATTTCAAATTACAAGAAAAAAAATCGGGAGTATTCTATATAATTTTGCGGAGGAGCCCCTTCAGTGTGATTTACACTGAAGATATTCGTTTTAAAAAATGAGTCATATTTGAATGATCGCTTCTGTTCATATCGTGCCATGTTCATCGAATATATTTATGAAGAATTCCTGTTGCATTGACGATGAGAATAATTGTATTTATCGAAGGCATTTCTATTACCATTCGTTTCGTCCACATATGCCAATAATTCTCTAAAATAAAATAAAATCGTTTTACTCTATTTCTTTAATCTATTCTACTTACAGAACGGCAGAATTTCGTCCATCAATATCTCGTAACGTTACCATATGATAGTTGATTGGTATGTCTTCGCCCTTAATGAATGTGAATTTTCGTACTATTTTGCACGTGCCACAACATGGTAGTGTGTAAATACTATGCCATTCAGCATTCTAGAGAGAAAAAAACGTGCGTTCAACTCTGTACTACTTTTTTTTTCTTACCCAAATTTCTCTCGAGTCTATTTCAGATGGTGTACATTCGGTAGTTGTCGTTGCTATGACATAATAATGTGTTCGACATTGACGTTGACTGATAGAACCAATATATGGATATTTTTTAATTATTTTACCAGTTTCAAAAGCGGCTGAGAGACTGTCACGAAGGTTATTTACTCCACCCTCTTCAAAAAGCTAAAATAATGAAGAGATCATGATTCACTGTAATTGTGTTAGAATGGATATACATACTTCACGAAACCCTCCTTCTCTGATAGTTTCTCCAATATTGGGCTTACCTTTAGGGAATCCAACATTAAAATTTCTTTCAGGTTTATCGCTGACGTATGAGATAACCAGGACCTGAAAAACATATATTTGAAAATTTTTTAAATATCAAAAATTCCAAGAAAATAACTTACCTTCTCTACAGTTTCTACGATAGTTGAAATTAAAATTACACCTACACGTGGGCCCCAAAGTCGTTCGAAGCACCAACCTCTCCAAATATAGTTTGCACACAGCATACGTAATTTTGCAATTGCGGGTGTCACTTTATTATGTTTATCATCTGTCTCATTAGATTCTAAAATCATAATATGGGAATATTTCTTTGCTTAAGAAAAAAATTAATATTTACCGAAATATTTGTTATCGACAGACTCATCATTGGAAGGTAGATATAATTCCTGTTGCATATATAATACAGAGAGCATCATTGCTATAGCTTAAAAATAAAATATGCAGTCAATTTTATGTTTAGTTTAAAAAAAGAGCAAGAATCTTACTAGGAACAGCAAAGGTTTTCCAATCATTCTTGTTTTGTTGTCTTTTACGTTTTCGTGCATCCCAATCCTCATAAAAACGATAATCTATTGTAGACAATTCATAAAGCATCCTATTGTATGCAACTTCTTTGGTTATATGGCTAAAATCTCGAGTTGATCGTAATTTGTCTTCAGTATCAAAGTAATATATTATACATCTAATTTAAAAATAAAGATAAAAATTAGGAAGTCTACATTAATCTTTTGATTTAAAATGAAATTTTACTTTTGTATCTGATCTTTACATCTATTAGATAGTGAATAGACCTTGTTACGATTTGTGTTGTTCATTGATTAAAATTTTGTAATTTATAAATACAGGTTTTAATTTAATCTTTTTATGTTAGAATTATACAGTAAATGATCTATTGTATTTAGATTTTGTGCGATGTTTATTCTTTATATGTGAATTGAACTTGGATTTTCCCATCACTTTCAATGCCATGATGAATATTGCTGGAAAATTTCAATGATTCGGAATATTGCATCATTATTGACCGACATTGAGAAAGATTTTTAAGAAGCAATTAAAAATAGGAGCTTTTTTCTTTTTCTCGCCCACGATTCTTTCAAATAAAAACAATGACGCATCGTGCTGGGCAATTTTTCAGAGCGTATTTTTACCGCAGCGATTGGGTTTTTTTGGATGCGAAAGAAAAACATGTGTCGAATTCATGATGGATTTATTTTGAATAGTAAAATAAAGAGTTTTTGTATCAACACTTTGTAGTATGGAATTCGGAATAATTCGTTTTAATATGTTATGTGTATTTATTTTGGTCTGTTTTGATTCAATACAAATATATAGTTAGAATTTCTTCTTATTTTATTTTTCAAAAAAAACTTTGAAAATGAGAAAAAACATCAAATGATCGTAATGAAACAGATAAAAAGAGAATAGATTCAACACATTTTTGTATTGTTCTGGACTTTCTTCTTTAGATGTTTCTCATCTAATTTTTCAATGGATGCGAACGATTGCTTAACTATTGTAACAACAGGTCCGATGAGTTCTTTTGTAAATTTCGTAAGCATTTTGATTTCCATGTATCTCATCCACCTTTTTAATAATATCCCTGAAAATAATTGATAGAAAAACTAGTTCTAGAACTAAAAATGTTTTGATACTTACTCTACAAGTGATGTATTATCTGTACTCTTGTAATTGCAAATAACCATAAAATAATTTGATTCTTTTGAAAGATCAGCAGAATCAATCAAATTTACTACATCACAATGTAAACTGCTTGGCAAACGATAAACACTGCGCCATTCAACATCCTATTGAATGCAATAAAACGCATCTTCATAATTTACTGAATAACATAGAAATAAAACGAATACGTACAGTTACTTCATTTTCGTTTAATTTGAAACTTATATCTGTCGAGCGAACCTGAACCAAAAAATAATAGTGTTCTTTCAGTGAACCAGTGATATCATCGAAGACTAGTTTTTTAATAGGAACACTATTTTTTATATAATTATATACATCTTTTGCATTCACACCAATCTCTTCGGATGTCTACAAAAAAAGATTCGAGTTTGGTTTAAAAATAAAAATGGTGTCTTTTAAATCTACTTCGCGAGATGCACATTTTTCAATGGTCTCACCAAATTCTATTTTCCCTTTCGGAAAACCATATATAATACAATTATTTTTGTTATATTTTATAAGCAGAACCTACATCAAAATAGATATTGATAATTGTGAATAGATTTTGAAAATAACGAACCTTTATGCCATCCGATTCGCTAAGATGAACAAAAATTGTGCCGGCTCGAGGACTTTGTGTTCGCTCTTTACACCATGTTTTCCAAATATGTTTTGCAATTTTATCATCTTTAGGTTTACACTTGATCCAATCTTTTAAATGCAAGCATGAAATACAGAAAATATAGGAAAAATTTATATCCTAGAGTACGAATTTACCTTCATTATTTATATTGGCTGATTCTTCAACTTTCGAGTGATTTTTAATTCGTTTTTGACGAAGTGTTTGTAATTTTGTTAAGATTTCTAAAGTGTTCATATTTGCAAATATTTGTGGCTTAGTTTTAAAATAAGAAATAACTCACTACGAGTGGCATAATCTTTCATATCTTCTGCTGATTTGTCTCTTTGCTGTTCGAATGTAAGATGTGAATAGTTATTTTGACTAGAACATCCTTCTTCTTCTATCTTGATTAGTAGAATGACTATTGATTTATATTCTTCTTCAAATTCTGATTGAATTATGTTGCCGTAATCTTCTTTTTCATATTTTTGTACTTGAAAGCCAAGATATTGCTGAATCTTCCTATTAATTATCATACAATATAACAACGTTTTGATACACGGAACACAGTTACCTTATAATATTGTTTTTAAATCCATCCGATGGCTTATATTTATTATGCCTATTAAATGGCATGTGTTGTAAAAGTGAGCGGAAATCTAATGTCATTCTATATATATACTAATGATTTATATAATTGTGCAAGATCAAGTGTAACGCCGGCATTTTTCAACTGTTTATACGTTGGCTTCATAATTTGCTCTAGAAAAATCTTCATTTTAATTCTCGAAAATTTATCAAAATAAATTGTAAAGAAGCACTTGGTTTTTTTTAAAGCTGTAGCATCACTCGAAGCATTAAACGCCACCAGAGAGGCTGAAGTAAAAAGTTCTTTGCATGTAATGATTCACTCAAAAGCAAACAATGAGATTTTACAAAAAAAAAGAATTTTTTCACAGGAATTTGATCGCATGAATTGAATAGAACTGTAAAAGGAGATCCTTATGTACTTTCATTACCAATAAAAGATATTGAATTTAGTGCCTTGGCTTATGCGCGCAATGATACTTACTGATGACGTCTTGCAAAAGTTAAAAATATTTTGCAAAACTTTAGTGTATTATGATCATTAAATATAAAATGTGGTTTCGCTAGCACAATATTGAATGTAAACTATAATCAGAATAGTAAAGGAAAACAAATCTTTCTAGTATAATCAAAACATAATAATAAATATCTGATCGGTAACTTGACGTGAAGAATTTAAATGTCATTGATTAAAACTTGAAAAGAAGTAAAAGTTTGATTCGACAATAGACTTCATGGATATTTCAATTTAATAATACAACTATTTTAATAATCGAGAATATCAATTTATTGCAACTTTCTGTTACGATTCATTTAATTCTGACGACATAATCTATGAATACTATTGTATGGTTCAGAAGCAATTTGATTTCTATTTTCTCGTCTAAATATAAAAGATCATCTTAAAATTGTATTCTGTTTTATTATTTTTTATTAGTTCATCAAGTGTCTTAGGATTCAAGCCGAGTTCTTTGACAGCCTATTAAATAAAAAGAATCCTATCTTTAAGTTCAACGAAAATTTTTCTCAAACTACTTCACGAACTGGACAATTCCAAATCATTTTTCGGCATTCGATGTTACCTTTAGCATATCTATAATGAATAGAATCATTTTTTAGAATATTTTGTTAAAAGAATCCAGAGAAAAATAACTAAATTGTCAATAAAGTTTTAGAAAAGAATTTACATTTTTGCTAAATCTTGGGTATTAATATATAATAGAATAATATTCGCGTGAGGATAACATTCACGCTCACGATACCATATGCATATTGCAGGTTGTTCTGATAAGTTCGTTCTCTTTAATTTCACATATGATTCGGTGTTCTATCGCGGGTATTTGTTTACTTCGTTTTGTTGAAGTTCAGATTGAATCTCTGAATTATCTATATCAAACTATTCTGTATATCATGAAATGAAATGCTTACTCAACTAGATGGTATTCGAGTTTCACTCGACTACGAAATGCGGTGCGAAGCACACGAGTCGAATTTTCGAAAGTAGCGAGAATAAGATTTAAAAAATAAATGATCCACTTTAAGATTCATTACAAACGTTTATTTTTTTTTTAATTTCCGGATACGAATTCTAAATAAAAATTTTGCATTCACTATTCTTAAATCGACCATTTTGAAATTCATCACTAGAAAAT